AGTAGCTAGTTAGGAGGCGCTAAAACCCCCGAGGACAGTAGTTAGAGTCTATATTACGGACCTATAGGAGCAAAAGGAAATCTAAGGACTTATAGGGAAAGAGATTATAGAAAGAATTATAGTTAAAGAGGTAATTAGGGCTAGGAACGAAGGTAAAGGGGTAATTAAGCTGTTTATAGTACAAGAGTAGGACAAAAAGAAGCTAGAAACACAAAAAGAATAGACAACTAAGATAGGGAAAACAGCAAAGGTCTCCTAACAGTAGTTTATAATTATAGCCTATAGTATAATAAGAAGCTTTAAGGAAGAACGGGATGTTAAGAGCCTATAGAGACAAAACTAAGCTATATGCCTAGGCCTAAAGATTACAAAAGTAGTATAGATTAAAAGGAAAATCGAAGAGACTAAGAAGCAGTCTTCCCTAATTATCTAGGTAGGGAGTATAGAGTAAGCTAATATAGTACTAGACTAGGGATTGTTCTAGGACTTTAAAAGATTGGAAATAGAGATATATAGAAGCAACTATAGGATAATGCAGTACTTCAAATATTAATACTATAGATACTTAGCAGCTAAGTGCACAAAGACAACTAATACTTGCTCCTATTATATAGGGGATTACTAGGTCAAAGAATACAAAGCATATAAGGGAGAAGCAAGATATATATACTATACTAAAAGATACCCCTCTTAGGCGAAGGAATGCCCGGTAAGAATATAGGCAGCTAGGAAGGCAAAGGAAGCTAGAATTAACACACTAAAAAGATACACAATAAGCTAGGGCAGCTAGGTGCAGAAGCAACCTAGCCAAGTGCTATAAAAGAGGTCTAGGTAAGATAATAGGTTCACATTTAGGGCCTTACTAGTATAGGAGAGTTACTAGCAACTAGGGAGACTAAGATACCTTAATATTATAGGAAAGGAAGCAGGGTAGACAAAGCTTAGTCAAATATTAGTCTAAAGTAAGGGAAGACTAAAGGAAAACTTATAGGGAAATAATATAGATAAAACCTAATAAACATTATAACATTACTAAACATTATATAGTACAATATTAACAAGAGTAAAAACAAGGTATAGAGGAGCTTCCTTTAAGCACTAAACCTAAAAGAACATTATATTATTGCAATCTAAGAGCCCTAGCTCAACCTATATACAAAGAGACTAGTAATAGTCAAAGACCTAAGATACTACCTAATTATCTATAACTAGGGAGCCCTAAGGATATGCATCTACATTAGTAAGGAGATAGATATAGAAACCTAGCAGGCTATACTATAGGAGGATAGGGACCTAATATTAGTTCAAGTAGAGACATCCTAAGGTATACTCTAAGTCTACTATATATACAACCTACTACTAGACTTAAGAAGCAGTACCTAACTGAAAACCCTAGAAAGACTACCTAGAGTTATCTAGGGGACTACCTACTAAATCCTACTTAGGGATTTCAACCTCTACTACCCCCTTTAGGGCTTAGACTTTACCCTAGCTTACTACTTCCTAGTAGGAAGACTAATTAACATATTAGAGAGGGAAGGAATAGAAATTATTACCCTAAAGGGACTAATTACTTAGGAGGCAAGAGGAAGCAGTAGTATACTAGACCTATACTTTGTATTATATTAGATTAGGAATAGGATTATAAGATATAGGGTTAACTAGGAACTAGAAGAATCATTAGACTACTTCCCGGTACAGATTAAGCTAAATGTCTAAGCTAATTAGAAAAGGGAACTAGAGGAGAAGCTTAACTAGAAAGGTACTAAATAGGGCAGGATTAGGGAGGAGCTAGAAAGGGACCTAAAACTAGAGGAACTCTTAATAAAGCACCTACTAAGGCTAGAGGATATTAATAAGGCAGTAGAAGAACTAATAGGAATCCTAAAACAGGTAGCTAGAAAGCATACCCTAGTAAAGAAACATTCACTATACTAGCAACTATACTAGACTAGTAAGTATATAAGGAAGGTTAAAGCAGTAAGGAAGGCTAGGAGGTAGTAGACATAAACCTATACCTAGGAAGTATAGGACAACTATAACAAAGCCTGCTAGGAAAAGAAGATCTAGATTAAGAAAGACAAAATACAAGAATAGAGATCTATAATAGGAATGATTACAAAGAAACTAGAGGAGATATAGAGGATAGCTAAATAGGCAAGGAGGCCTAAACAGGAAAAGAATATACTACTACAATTCCTAGACATTATAGACTAATAAGGACAAATACAGACTATAATAGAAGGGAAAGCAAGAGCCCTAGGCTAACACTTCTTCTATAGAAAAGTATAAGCAGACCTATTAGATATAAAGGAGGAAGAATAAGAGACTCTACTACTAGGCATACTAAGAGACACCTAGGTTAAACCCGAAACTATTAAGAGGATCCTAAAGAAAATTCTAGGTAATAAGGCACTAGGAGAAGACAAGGTCTACAATAAACTTCTAAAAGCATATAGGAAGGGGCTAGCCCTAGCACTAGCTAATATCTTTTTATAAAGCCTAGCACTAGGACACTACCTAAGACTATTTAGGAAGTCCCTAACAGTAGTGCTAAGGAAGCCCTAGAAGGAAGACTATATACAGCTTAAGGCCTATAGACTAATAGCCCTACTTAATATAATAGGCAAGGTGCTAGAGAAAATTATCGCTAAAAGGCTAACAACCTTTACTAAGGAAAGGAATATCTTTCCTAAAGGCTAGATAGGAGGAAGAAAGAAGAGGTTAACACTAACAGCTATAGAACTAATTATAGAACAGATCAAGTATATCTAGTACTATAGTTAAAACTAGGTAGCAACCCTCCTCTCCCTTAATATCTTAGGAGCCTTTAATAATATCTCCTATAAAAGACTCCTATATATACTTAAACAGAAAGCTATACTAAACTAGATAGTCCAATTTATCTAGTCCTTCCTATAGGAAAGATCGACATAGCTTATTCTAGGCAAATTTAAATTAGACCTAATACTAACTAAAAAGGGAATCCCCTAAGGATTAATACTCTCCCTAATCCTCTTCCTTATCTTTATAGTAGACCTACTCCTACTCCTAGAATCAAAAAACACATTAGCATTAGGGTTTATAGATGATACAAACATCCTAGCCTAGTCTAAGACAACAGAAACTAACTACAAGATCCTAGAAGAGAAGTACTAGGAGTATAAAAAATAGGCAAAAAGGCATAGAGCAAAATTCGCCCTAGAAAAGTACTAGCTTATCTACTTTAGCAAGGCTAAATCAACCTATAATATAAAGCAATTAATTACTATCTAAGGCTTTGAAACCTAACTATTAGTAGAGCTTAGGGTACTAGGGATCTAGCTAGATCCAAAACTGAATTAGGGACTATAAGTAAAGAAGGCAAAGCAGAGGGCAGATGCTAATATACAATCTATTAATAGACTTATAGCCTCTATATAGGGGGCTATATTCGAGAAAGCCAAAGTTATATATAAAGCAATTATCAAGCTAGCAATACTATATAGAGTATAGATATAGACAGCCTAAGAGAAAACACTAAAGAGGATTAAGCAACTAGTTAGTAGGTCCTAAACCTAAAGCCTAAAGAAAATCCTAGGAGTATACAAAACTATACTAATAAGGGTAGTAGAAATGGAATTAGGGATCCTACTAGTTAAACAATACTTTAAGGGACTAAGACACTAATATACGGCAAAGACAATAGAATACCTAGTCTAATAGACTATCTAAAAGGCACTAGATAAGATAAAAGCCTAGTATATTAGGACTAGGAGGCGAGACAGACTATAAATAACTCCCTAGAAAGTTAAAGACCTAGAGCAATATAGAGTCTTAATAAGAGAAATGCTAGAGAAAGAGCTTTAGGGACTAAATATAAGGCTAAAGGAAGATAAGCTAAAGGGAGAGAAACAAAGCCTAGTAGAGTCAATTGCTAGATACCTATAGGAGTAGGAATAGAATAAAATACAAGTTAGACTAGGAACCCTAAAGGCACTAATTAAATTTGGTCAATACAACTACTAGCTCTATAAGGACCTAAATAGGGCTAAAGTAAGCCTAGCTATCTAAATTAGATCTAAATACATTAGACTTAGGTCTTACCTGTTTAGAAGAAACGTCCTAGGAATTGAAAGTAGAGCGTACTAATATAGCTACTAATCTTAGAACCCTAAGTATATACTACTAGTCTGCCCTTAGTAGTTAGAAGGCAGAAGTAATTAGAGACTAAAAGTAATAGAAAGGGAATACGACAAGCTAATCTAGAGCAAAGAAGACCTAAAGAGGATAGTAAAGTAGATTATTAAATAGGGATTTATACAACAATTCGCACTAGCAAGGGAAACTAAGGAGTAGATAAGAAGGAGGGAAGAAGAGGGGGAAAGAAGGGCAGGGTAGTAGGCAAGGTAGTTAGAGGGTAACAACTATAACACTAGTATACCCTAGAGGAAGGAAAACAAGGAAACGAGGAAGATTAACACTTATAAATAGGATAGGAGGGAGGTTTTTACTAACTAAGTTAGTTTCCTACCTAAAACAATATATAGAAATAGACCTATATAGGCCGAAAGGTACTACAATAGGTAAATGAAATATCTATCTAATATCTTCTTATAGCCCTAGAAAATATTCTATTAGAGATTAATACTAAAACTCGCCTATAGAATAGTTAAAACTAATATAGTCCCTAGTATAGCTAGTAATTATAGCTAGTAGTCGAATAAGAGTATACTTATAGTAAAACTAATATAGTTTCTAGTTCTAACTAAGAATCTATATAGTTTAAAAAAACAACCCGGAACTAGGGAGCTAGTTTGCCGCTAAGAAACTAAACTTTATACGTTTTGTAGTTCGTAGACCGAACTACTACGGGGTCTAGTCGCGATAGAGGAAACGAGCAAGCCGGCCTTCAATTCTACGCTTTCTTAACTAAGTAGCATCCTTATCCGCTTCGTCTTCTTCTTCTTACCGCGCTTCTTAGGCGCAGGACCCTTAAATTCATTCGGATCGACGGCGGCCTAACGTTTACGATTTCTCCGTTTTGCTATTATTTGTTTGACAATTCCCTTGACGTCGCGAGCGAGTTTGGATGGCGAGAGCAGAATCTCTCGCTGTGGGACTCGATCTCTCCTAGGTGGCCTGCGGGCAGGTGGTGTATTGAGATCGAAGATCTCGATGGGAGAGTCTGGGGTTCCCTTCCCAGATGCAGGACCCGGGGTCTGGAATACGTCCTCGAACTTGTCCATGGCCTTGGCAATTTTCGCTCCTTGTGGCGTGTATTTCCTTGGAGTCGCTGTTGAAGGCTCATTCGCATAAGGAACATTGGTTTCAGTCGTTCCTCGAATCGTCGGCTGGGCGCGTCGCAGAGTAGGTCCTACGCTCAGAGGGGCTTCGTCTAGCGACATCGCCTGTGCTGGCTTTTTGATGGTTTTTCCGGGCCGTGGGCGAGGCATCGCTGGCGCTCTGGAAGGTCGTTTCTTTGCCATCCTTACAGATTCTGTATGGCATGTGAGTATAAGGACGAAGAGGACCCTGAAGCATATAAGGGCCTTCGCAAACGATGGCAGCAGTTCACCCGCCTGATGCCTATAACTATAGTGAATAGTCGCCGAAGTGAGTACCAGCAACAGCCTAGGGCTCTTCACACAATGCTTTGTATCGAATTCTTGGTCCAGGCAGAAGCGCTCAGATTGATTAGGGCTTTTGAACAAAGAAAACTTCCGTCGTAAGACAGTCTCTATGCTGGTAAGCGAGACATTGGGTAACCAGCAAGCAGCTTGAGCGCTGCGTATATGAGGGCCGACAGTGTCGATTTTCAGGATCGGCGCGGTAGAGCAAGAACGTTTTCTTAGAGGCCAGGCCGAAAGCAACGCGACTGGAGTATGTGGCGATTTCGATGCTTTGCCAGGCGTACACGCCCATCATTCACTTCCCTTCCGTTCACCGTTCTGCTGTTCGTGAAATGTACTGTATATTCACATCTCTAGCCGCGAGGCTTTATAAAATTTCCGACTTCAAATCCCTTGAATCTTAGGCTAAGGGACTCGCACATCAGTAGTGCGATACATACGGTCGTTGCAGATTCATTCCTACCTAGGACGTTCGGCCGCCTCGATATCGTCTCGCGGGCCTGCAGCACAGCACCGCGCAAGATGGTCGACTCCGCTTTATAGCAGTCCGTGAACTGGAGAGTTCATGATCGGCTCCGACGGATGTGATGAATGTTATTACGGTACCTGTATTGGTATAACCAAAGCAGACGCGACGCAGATTGCCAAGTGGTACTGCCCAGGTTGCACAGAGCAAGGAATGAGTGCCGTGCCGAAGCCGCTGATCCATCCGTGGAGACAACAGCAGTCCAACATGCCAGAGGTGGACCTTTACCAAGCGCAACCAGGCGAGCAGCAGTATGATACCTTTGTCGACACCTCAGACACAAGCAAGCCTTCTTCGGACACCAGCATTGTGAAAGTAATTATGGACTACCTTCCAAAGCAGCCATGGAGCAAGCCGCGTGTCAAGCCGTGGTGGGAAGAGTTCAATGCTCTCGACCTTGACGGCGACCTTCGATCGACAGTGATCATGCAGACCTGGGAGATCAAGATAGAGCCCCAGTTTCCTGGCGACATTCGCCTGAGCGAGAGAGATGTTGAGCATGCTTTTCTTGCCGTTACAAATCGGCTCTACGCTCGAGTCACCAAAGCCAAGACATGTCGTTCTCAGTACTCCGTACTGCGACCAAGAAAGCATTCGTGACTGTGACTGGTGGTCAGCACGTGAGGTGGAAGAATGATCAAGGATACTCGGAAGCTCGGCAAGAATGCCTCCATCCAGGCACATCCAGATCCAGGGTCCACATGAGATTGACCAGCAACGCGACCAAGCGACCTTTGGCTCGTATTGCAGGGTGTTCTAAGGTGCCACTATCAATTGATCCTTTTCCTTTGACATACACGGATTCCTGCTCCTGAAGCGCCATTTCTGCCCACATCGTAAATCCGTCTTGGCCGCGGCATTGACCGCGACCATCGCCGAGTACCATCGACCAGACATCCCGCCAGCTGTCCCGACCCTGCCCGTACATCAATGTTTCAGGCGTATGCATGCGCATGCCGACGATTGAGATGAGAGCACAGTTGTACCTTCTTCACCACCAGCGGCATCCTCGATGAGCTGGAACTTGCTCGAGCGCTTCATACAGTCCGAGCACTTCAACAGAGATCCCTCGCTCACCGTCTCCTACCTTGCGTGAGTTCGCAACGAATACTGATGACCCTGAGCACGCCAAAGCACATACACTGACTGCTATATACACCTCAGCCGGTATGCCGAGCACGTGGGAATCCACTATGTGCTCTGTTCGAAGCTGCGAGCCTTTAGCTACGAGGAGATCGAGTTCTTCCTCCCACAATTATGCCACCTCGTCATATCGATCGACAATGAGTCCATGGCCTTGGAGGAGTTCGTCTTAGATCTATGCGAAGAGTCTGTCAATGGCGCGTTGCTGGTATGGACACGGCAAGAGAAGCTGCAACGAGCGCGCCCACTGATTGCACGATAGACCTTCTGGCTATTTCAGACCTACCTCCATGACCTCTCGAGCAAGCCTGCATCGACCGCCTTCCAGACCTGCCGAAGATTGTACAACAAAGTTCAGCATATCGTCTTTGGTGGCGGCGAGCCTTTGCGACGACCTCGCATACACGAAAACGTCCTCCCGGTAACAGTGCTTTCAAGCTTGGTGCTGGCAGGCATTGGTATGCCTTTGCTGCCTCAGCATGCTGGTCCTCTTGCAATAGCACAAGCGCGAAGACCGCGACCCATTGAGGAAGGCGGAGGTGGATCAGATGCGACACCAAGCATTCAAAAGCAAGGACTGCAAAGGAGCGCGACAGTGACGGGAAACACGAGTGGAGCAGCAAGATCAAGACCACAACCAGGCGATGGCAGGGATGCGCCAAGACGAAAGTCGCGAAAGCCAGCAAGTATTGTGGTCAATGGCGCGAAGGTCTCCGCGTCAACGCCAAATACACCTGCCTTGGCTACGTCTGGCCACGGAGAACGTAAGGCTCATGTCTCGCGACATTCGCTTGCAATCACCATGGGCAGCGAAGGAATGTATAGCACGTCGTCTCTGCCAGAACACCAGCGCAAGCCAAGCAGGCCTGCGTTGAGTCTTCCTGCGACACCTGGCGTCCCAAGGAGGAGCGCAGGCGACCGTGAACTATCCAGGCGGCATTCTCAAATGCTTCGACCTGTCACGCCCTCCTCAATGTCGCGCAATCAGAAAATCCGAGCACTTCGCCAGAACTACTTCAGGCACGAAAGTCAGTTCCTGGCAGCTTTGGAAGGCATCTCCAATCGGCTTGTGTCAGTGCCCAAGGCTGCACGTCTCAGTGCACTGCGAGCAGAGCTAGGACTTATCGCGCAAGATCTGCCTGCTGAGGTCGACATTCCTCTCATTTGTCCAGCGACATTGGTTGATGGATCTGCCAGTCGAAGTCGACATCATCGCATTGTCAGGCTCAACCCAGCCGAAGCAACAAGCTTGAATAGTGCCGAGAAAGTGCCATATCTACTCATGCTAGAAGTGATCCGGGAAGATTTTGACTTCGATCCAGAGAGTCAACAGAATCGCGACTTGCTCGCCAAATTGCTATCGGAGAGAGCCAAGCAGAAACGTCGGTTGTTCGATACCACCGATGCAGCAAGACACGCTGCTATTACATCGCCACTGGGAGAGACCAAAAATGATAGCGTGCTCGAGCCGACGAGTGGAGATCTATCAAGCGCGGCGCTGTTGGAGGATCTTGACAACCCAGCAAAGTCGAATAGTCCAAAGTTGCAAGCCGCACTGGCCAACAGCAAAGAACCACCGCGACTATCGAGCGGAGTCAGCACTATCTCGACAGCCACCGTGCCAACGCCAAGGAACTCGGATTCTCTCGGCGTGCGTCCAGACAGCGGGGGTCGAGTGTCACCCTACCTGCGCCCTCCCCAGGCGACGCAAGCAGACGTCTCAGCCCTTGCCGACCACATGCGAACTGCTTCTCAGATGCTGGCTCAGCTGGATATGAGTGCGTCAAAACGGCCGAAGGCGGAAGTCGCTGCTATCCGAGCCAAGATCATTGCCAGCATGCAATCCTTGGAGGAACAGAGTTTCCTATCCGATGAGCAAGGACCAAGTTTCGAAACAATCATGGCGAAGACTGGTAGTGATCCGAACAATGCCGAGGACATAGGCGACAACATGGACGAGCCCGCTGGGACAGACCTGGTGAATACCGGCAAGGGTGCCGCTCGAATGGAAAACGATGCCATGACAGCTGGTATCCAACGCAAAGGTGATCGCGATGACCCTTCAGCCGCGACCTTTGGTGAGGCGTGGGAGCAAAAGAAAGAACGCATTCGGCGATCCTCTCCTTACGGATGGATCAAGCACTGGGACTTGATCTCGGTGATCGTCAAGACTGGAGCCGACTTGCGACAAGAGGCATTTGCATGCCAGCTGATCGCCGTCTGCAGCAAGATCTTCGCTGAGCACGATGTTGATGTTTGGGTGAAGAACATGCGGATATTGGTGACTGGGGAGACATCGGGACTCATCGAAACCATCACGAATGCCGTTTCTCTACATTCCATCAAACGAAGTCTGACCATCGCAAGCATCGCTGCTGGGACAAATCCAAAGAAGAGAATCGCGACCCTTCAGGACCACTACGCAAAGACCTTTGGGCCTGCGGACAGCCCTGCTTATACGAAAGCGATTGACTGCTTCATTCGAAGTCTCGCTGCATACAGCATCATCAGCTATGTCTTGCAGCTCAAGGATCGACACAATGGTAATATCCTCATTGATTCTGATGGCCATGCGATACACATCGATTTTGGATTTATGCTGTCCAACTCTCCTGGTAACATGGGCTTTGAAGCCGCACCTTTCAAGCTGACGCTGGAGTACGTAGAACTTCTTGGCGGTCCTGAAGGTGAAGCATTCGTCCGCTTCAAAGACTTGATGAAGGATGCTTTCCAGGCCTTGAGGAGAGAAGCAGAGAGGATCATCACCCTGGTCGAACTGATGGGACGAGAAAGCAAAATGCCATGCTATGGCGGGGGTCTTATTAACGTAGTGAGCGCATTGCGTGCAAGATTCGTTCTTGAGAAGAGCAAAGAAGAGGCACGAGAGTGGGTGGAAGACTTGGTTAACAAGTCTATCGGCAGCTACTATACGAGGCTGTACGATACTTTCCAGTATAGGACGCAGGGAATCTATTGAGACGGCACAATACGAGACAGGCAAAAGCATAAAGACGGCGTTAGATCGGAAGTATAGGAGGCAGAAGACATGTTTGAGGAGTTCCGATCATGCATTTGCGGGCGTCTAGATAGAAACTTAGGTCTCGAAAGTGTTCCTACGAATGCTATATAATGCGATTAAGGAACGGTCTATCTATATCGAGAATTAAGAAAATCTTAATACTAGGTAACGGAGTGTCTTTAGTTATAATATTAGTAACCTTATATACCCGTTACTTTAGAGCTAGCTATCTTAAAGAATTTATCTACGCTTAGCTTGTCTAGGTATAAATAGGTAAATATAAAGTCGATCTTCTATAATAATAAGCTTTCTATATACCTCTAGACCTTTTAGGTTTAGACTATAACGCTACCTAGGCGAGGATCTCTCCTACTTAGGGTTAAATGTACAGAGCAGGTCCTATATAGGAACATGAATGGCTTAGAAGGAATCCCGGGGCTACAACTTGGTGTCAAATGTCGCAGACCTTGGACACGGTTTACGTAGATACGAGGGCTGTCAGCGGAATGTGATTTCCATCGAATGATAAAGTGGATGTGTGCTCCGATGCATCCAAGATATCCATCACCACTGCTGCTAGAGTCGAAGCTTCTCCATTCGTTCATTCATGCTCTCTAATATCGTACCGCAATTCGTGGAGATGCCGTCCTAATGTGCAAAGCTGCTGAAATGCGGCTCTAAAGTCTTCCATCCGGACATTAAGCGGCATTTGTCCAGGGACTTTGCTCGTATTCGTGTGCCAGCGCGGCCGATCCGAGAAGATTTCGTCGCAGCAAATGGAAAAAGATTCCAATGGCGTGATTCGATGCATTTGCAAATGGCACGGCCGTCTGAATGCACTCGAGCCAAATGGAAACTTCCACACAAAGTCCATCCAAGCTTTCTTGGCAGTAGTCTGGCGCACTCTGACTTTCGGGACGCCTCGCTGATTCCATCTCCGAGTCCATAAACGCCGATGCTATGGCGTTCCTCAGTCTTGGGCCATACCGGTATCGCCCTCCCCAAACACATCCTCCATCCTGCCCGCACCTTCCTCATCCTCATCCAACCCATCCATTCCACCCATCTTCTCATCCTCATCCTTCCTCTGACTCGCATTTCTACTCATAACCGGCGCCTCCTCAAGCTTCACATCCTCATCACTCTCCCACTCATCCTTCAAACCCCAACCCACACCCGTCAAACAATACTTCTCCGGTGGCAACTGCACACCATAAGTCCTCTCCACCTTCGGCAATTGAATCCGATTCCTCTCCGTAGCCTGCTCCATCATATACTCTTTCGGCAAGGGACCGACAAAAGTATGTCCATGCCGACTCGCAATGGCTCCCCTGAGTGCCGACATCGTGATATTGTTCATGTCTTCTTGTTGATTCCTCCGTCCTCCTGTGCCTGTCTGCTGTGATGCGTAACCTTCCGCGCTGAGACGAAGACTGTCATTGAGGACGCCGGATGTGTAACGGTAGGCGAAGTCGAGGAGTTGGAGTGGTACTCTTTCTTGGTAGGAGTGGATGCCGAGATTGCTTAGAATCGCGTGGATGAGTCGCGCATCGCGAGGTCGTTTCGAGGTGCCGTCGTCTTGGGCAGATGTGAGAGGGACTTCGGGTTCGCTGGGCTTGACTGGTTCTGGCTTGATGGATGGGTCTGAGGGCGGAGGTGTTGCTGGGTGGCCGTTGGCGGCCATGTTGGAGGTGCGTCAACGCTTGGTCATTCAGGTCGGGTACTACAACTACGGTGTGTAATATGCTGCTTGGCAAAGTCGTTGATTTGTGAGGTTGGTTGATTGAACACTCATCTTCATGCTGGTCGCGACTCCTGCGACGCGAAGTGAAGCAGAAAGCTTGGACGCGGAGTTCGGACCGAGCCCCGCGGTTGACAAGGATCAAGATTCACATGCACCCGACATCACTTCTGGACATTGCTTCCTCCATCAACATAGCGCTGATACGTCTTCTGGATCTACTTCAGCCTCGATTGACAGATTGAGTACCTGGAATTTGGAGTTTTGATATCCATCACACAAGTCGAGACACAAGAAGATTCCTCCAAGCAAAGCGTAGCCGACGATCGGTGACACTTTTACCTCGGCGATCCTTCAAAACCTATATACTCCTGCTATCCTCTTTTGATCTCACACACCACACAACCAACTCCCACTCCAAAAACATGCAGATCAAAGACACAACCTTCATCATCTCCGGCGGCGCGAGCGGTCTCGGTCTCGCCACAGCCGAAGACCTGCACAGCCATGGCGCCCACATTGCAATACTGGACATGAACTCAGAAACAGGATCCAAAGTCGTCTCCTCTCTAGGTTCAGACCGCAGCAGATTCTTCGAAGTCGACGTCACAGACTCAGATTCCCTCTCGAAAGCCGTAGATGGCGTAGCGACATGGGCGAAGCAAACTGGAAAGCCGATCCGAGGACTGATCCCAGCTGCTGGTGTTGGACATCCTGCAAAGCTTCTGGACAAGAACCTGAACCCCGTTGGAATGGAGAAGATTGATTTCGTGATCGATATTAATCTGCGGGGTGTGCTGAATTTGATTCGATTGACGCTTCCGCATATCGCTAGGACGGAGCCACTGAATGCAGACAATTCCCGTGGCATTGTGGTTCTGGTGTCGAGTTCGAGTGCCTTTGAAGGACAAGTCGGTCAGCTCTCGTATGCTGCCACGAAAGGTGCTATTCGTAGCATGACCCTGGTTCTGGCCAGAGATCTGGCGCCGAATGGTATCCGAGCTGTGTCAATTGCGCCGTCTCTATTCGAGACGAATATGTCCAAGCAGTTGCCTCCGAAGGTACAAGAGAGCTTGCGCAGAGTGGCAGAGTATCCGAAGCGGTTGGGTAATGCAAAAGAGTTCGCGCATGCTGTGCGATTCTTGGTGGAGAATGATTACATGAACGGAGACTGCTTGAGGTTGGACGCTGCGACGAGAATGCCGGCGAAGATGTAAACGCCAGAGCAAATTGGGTATCTCATGCGATGTATAGATATGAAGCAAGCAAGCAAGCGTTGAAGGAAACAGACTCATCTCTTCCGCTGCCTTATCTTGAACCTCTGCCCGTTCTTGTTCGTTCCGCCAGTTGTGCCGTTCATCTTCGCACGCTGATGCTCCACTGCTTGTAATGCAGCGCTAAGTTTTTCCTCCTGCTCTTCGAGTGCATCCAGCTTTCTCTGCCTTACTTCAAGTGCGTGTCGTTTTCTTTGTCGCACAGCCCTCTCTTCAGGTGTCAAACCCTCCTCCCCATCACTTCCCTCTTCACTAGGATCGTCAAGCCCATCAAAATCCATATCAAAGTCCGCATCCCCCTGCTCAGGCTGCTCTGGCAAAGCAGGCACACCCACATCCTCCGCTTCCGCACTGTCCACGAAAACCTTCCTCCTCCCTCTCCCACTCCCCTCAACATCAACCCCAATCTCAGCAACAACAACCTCCTTCTCCAACCTGCCCCGCTCATTCCTAACCCTCTGCAACTGCGTCCTCAAATACCCCAAATCCTGCGTCTTCATCAACTTCACCACATCAACATCCAAACTCCCCGTAGTACCCCCAGCATTCTCCGCCCCACGTTTCGCAACCTTGACACCGCCCCGACTCTGCGCATTAACCATTCCAAAATAAAATTCATCTTCGTTGCGTTCCGAAGCTTTTTGCGCGAGAGCTTTGATTTTCGCTTGTTTGGATTTGTGATCTGCGGCGCGGAGTTTGTAGTCTTTGCGTTTTTCGAGAAGGCCCCATTTTTTGCGTTCTTCGGGTTGGTCGCGCTCGCGGTGGTTGCGGCGTTGGACTGCGTTGCGGAGCGAGGACATTTTTTCGCGTCGGTTGTGGAAGAGGTAGAGATTGAGATTGGGCTTTGGAGATTTTGTGTAGGCTGGGGATAAGGTTTTTATCTCCGATGCAGGCTTGACAGGGATCGCCCAACAATCCAGATCAGAGTCAACTTTCTATCCAGGGTTCCGTCACACACTCCTCCCCGCTGTTCGCGGGGTTTCTAGCCATCCCTTTGAAAGTTCGTCGGCTGGAGTGGTTCATGCAAGAGCCCCTACACAGCTAGGGTGTATAGGACGCGCTTTACTATAGATAGTATAGTAAATTATCGCTTGCTAGGCTAGTATTAGGGATAGCGCCATTGCTATTTTTTATACTCCGTAACCGGCTCTTCTTTAACTCGTTAATTGTCCGATTAACTTTAAGCCTCGAAGGCTATTTTAACTACTCTTTTATATAAATGGCTTCTTCTTAGTATTATAATAGCGCTCTATTTAGTAGCGATAATAGTAACGATAGCTACTAGTCCGATATCGATAAGAATGCGGTTTACGACGTTAGTACGCTTAGTATAGAGCCGGAAGAGGAAATAGGCGAGATTAAGGCGCAAGAGATAGTTGCAGGTTGCGAGAAGATTAGAGCGACTTATAGTATAGAATACGAGCCGAATAGTAGAGATAATAAGCCTCTCGTTGCTAGCGATATTATTAATAGTATATCGGTCGAGGAGGGTATACTAGACGTATTAAACCTAGTAATAGCACCGGATTAGTCGCGTTTAATAGATAGTATAAAGTACGTACCTTTAGAAGGTATAAAGTGCGAGGTAGAAGTGCGCCTACTACTAAATAAGGCCTTCTTCGAGGATATAGATTACTGCGGTAAGGCCTTCGAGAAGTTAACTTCTAAAGACTACTAGAATATACTATAGCGATATTTCTAGCAGTTATAGACTAATAAGGTCTATAAGAAGTTAGCATTCTATACTAACGAGTATGCGAGGGATCCGAAGTTTAAGAAGATAAACAATAGTAGTATAATTGAGGTAGTAGTATCTAGAGCTAGGTAGAAGAAGACCTATCTATATAAGATAGCGATCTTCGTAGGAATTATTATTTATATATCCGCTGTCTAAATAGACGATAAGTCGGACTTCTAGCGGTCTAATAGATATTAGCCGTCTTATTCTATTACTAAGAATATGTCCGAGAAGAGGTTTAAGCAGTTAAAGGCCTGTCTGTAATATAGCGAGCCTATCGAGTCGGGTAAGGGCAACCCGCCGTAGTTATAGGTTCAGTAGATAGCTAACTACCTAAGAAGCCGGATTTCGAAGGTTTATATACCTAGTACTAACGTTAGCCTAGATAAGGTCCTCGTACGGTTTACTAGACGCTCTTCTTATATAATAATAATAAAAGGCAAGCCCTGCCCTATCGGCTATTATGTGCTAGCTCTGTGTTATACTAGATTTATCGTTTCTTAGTTATTCTCGTTACCTACTAAGAAGTAGGGTTTTAAGAAGGCAAGAATACCTCCTAGCTTCGAAGGTCTAATTCTCGTCTATAAAGAGCTTACCGAGGACTAAACAAACAAGCGGAGCTAGCGCAACCGTCGCACTATTAAAGCCGATAGTTAGAAAGGTAGAAACCGGCGTAGAAGGGTAAAGAATATTAATATAGGTAATTAGGTTGATGCTCCGCCGAGCCTTTACAAGTACGCCGACCTCTACGCGAGGCCGCTAGCGGTTACAACCGAGCTAGTTATAGCGTAGTCTATTAACCTTAGGTCGCAGTTATCGAGGCTTTATCGAGCCGTTCTATCACTTCTATTACAACTACTATTCTAGGAGCGATTCTACTACGTTTACCTAGATAATCTATTTAATAATATACCTCTCTTTGCTATCCTTAGATAGTATAGTATCGCTGCAACTAGTACGGTACGAGCTAGGTCGAAGAACTAGCTATAGGCGGGTACCTTATTCTCGACACCCTCTAGTAAGACTATTAAGCTATATCGCAAGTCGATACGGTTTCCCTTCGATATACAGCTTTATAGGGCAATTTACAATGTAGCGGCGCCTATCTAGTAGGACAGAAATCTCGTTCAAATACTAACAACTAGTTACTAGCCTATAGACCGAGAATCGAGGGAACGACGGAAGCCGAGAGATACTAACGCCTACATTCGCAACTACGTTAGGCTATACTAGACCGAAGGTAAGGAGGTTAAATATATACCGAAATACGCCGCTTATTACAATAACTATATAGGTAGTATCGACATTTACGACTAGCTTAGGTTCTATTATAGCACTTAATATAAGGCCTTTAAGCCGTAGCATCCGCTATTCTACTTCCTTCTCGACGTAGCCGTAATTAACGCCTATCTCCTATGCCGCAACGCCTCTATAGCTAACAAGGTAAGGGATCTAACCCTTATATAGCAGCGTAACTTCCGTATACGACTCGCCTAGAATTTAGTCTAATAAGGAGCCTTAGTATTAGGTCCTATTCGAATAGCAGAGAGAGAGGCTGCCGTAGTAGCAGCAAGAAGCCTGCCTCGCATACCTAATAGCCGCTTTACGAGTAGCTATACATACGCTAATTACAACGTAGGCGTAGCGAGGCCTCGTCGTTACTACTTTAAGAAGGGAGATAGTATTCCGGACAACTTACTATAGCTTAATCGCAGTTATAGGTATGTAATAAAGGTTACTCTTGTAAAGCCGAAGAGATACTAGCTCTATAAACTAACTCGTACTAGTTAGAAGCTTAAGTGGTGGCCTATTAACCTATATAGAAGACGAGAACACGAGGCTACGAAGACCTGCCTTAATTACGGACCTAAATATAACCTATGCAGTCTATGCTGCTATAACTAGTATAATATTGACGATATCCGCGCTTACCGAGAGGCTTAGAGGCTAGTATTTGCTAACGACCGACCTTTAACTGCTAACAACTCGACTTCTACGAGTACTTTAGCTATTGTAATACCGGCTCGGCGGCCTTCTATTAAGCCTGCAATAACGACGACAATAACACCTTTAGCTCCTTTACTTCCTTCGTTAAATCCACTATATTAGACGCTAATTGATTAAACTCGGAGGCTCTAATAACCTCTTCCTTAATTTGAGAGCCTTCTATAGTAGTAGGCTCTTCCTTTACTACAACCCCCTTACGTACGGCCTGCGCTTGCTACTACTACTATACGTTCAAATCTACCCTTAAGTCCTTTACCTGCGCTTCTACCTTATTAAGGCGCTTAAGAATTGCCTTAGACTAGTTACTAGTAGTCGACAATCGCTACTTTAATAGACTTCGTAGTAGTACGAGCTGCCGTACCTCTTCTACGCTTAATTCAATGCCCTTCGAGCGGAGCCTACGGCGCTAACGAGACTCTTCCCTAGTGCGGAAGTGCGTACGTAGCTATTATAAGTCAGTATCTATATTCTATAGGTCTATAGTCTACAAACCTCTCGCTTTAGTATACTTAGCGGCATTATATTCCTTCACTTGCTTAGGTTTAACTAGTAAAGTCAATCTCTAAGGGTGCGGCGGCCTGTAAACCACCCTCCTTGCTAACCCTAATCGATACCCTGTCCGGAGCGAGGTCGGCTGCAAAGGAAGGCCTAATCGGCGTTCGCCGTACTACTAAAATTAACATGGAAAGTAGAACTATTAGTGGGACTAGTTCGCTAAGAATCACCGAGATAACCTTTAAAGGGATACGTAAAATCGCCTTTTCCTAGTAGGCTATACGTAAAATTCGATATAGTAGTAGGTTCTAGTCCTATATAGATATCTAGGTGCATATAGTATTAAACCGCGAGTCTAAATATTATATTAGCTAGTTTATCCGAGTATATAGTAGCTATAGGACCTTACTATCGCTATTTCTTATATAATCCTTAGCAGGCGCGTCTACCTTATTCTAAAGCGTGTATTCCTCGTACTCCTCCTATTTCTTATATTCTACTCTACGGATTATATATAAAACTCGGTATAGGGCGTAATAAAAGTAAAAAGGTAAAAAGGGCGCGAGCTAAGCGGTTAACCGAGGCAGAGAGGGCAGAGAGGGTAGTAGAACGCGTTGTTTCGAGGTACTACGAATTAGTAGCTAAATCGGATAATAAGAAGGTTAGTATTCGAGCGCTCTATAAAAGTAAGAAAGTAACTCGCCTATATTCTCGCATCTACTAGCGGTTAAGAGGCCGTAGGTCGCTATTTAGTCGTCTATTAACTAATACCAAATTAGACGAGTCTTAAGAGATAGCGCTAGCGGATCATTATCGAGAAAGGGACGAAATAGGTATATTCTTACCGGTACCGCTAATTACCGTTATAGCGATAGATATACTAGTAAGCCTACTACTAGAAGGTATATCGAAGGATACAATACCGCTATTTAGTATAGATTAGGCGGACCGCTTTCTAAAGCGCTATAGACTTAGTAAGGTTAAGTCTAAACCGATTAAGGTATAGCGGAAGGAAGCTTACGATCCTTCTACGATAGGGAGCTAGTTTAACCGGTTTAAGGCGATAATAAAGCGACTAGATATAAAGCCGCGGAATGTATAGAATTTCGATAAAACTAGCTTCCGGATTAGAATTAGTAGTAACGAGTATATCGTTATAATAAATACGAAGCGGCGCGCCTAGACCGAATATAATAGCAACCGTATATATATAATAGTCGTCGAGACCGTAAACGCGTTTAGTAAGGTAGTAGATTATTAGTTAATCGTTAAAGGTGTAATAGTCTAAGAACGGTAGGTACCGAAGGAAGGTAAGTCTATTACTACTACTATTGCTACTTCCGAGTCCGAGTCCGCTTCCGAGGTAACGATACCTACTAACTATACTATTAGGCAAGGACAACTTCTTAATTACTATTAACGAGTTTAGATATGTAACCGACGATACTATAATATATTATATCTGCTAGTTTAAGCAAAAGACGAGGCCTAAAGATCTAAACAAGTAGAGGGTATTATTATACGACAATTACGGCTCCTACTACTTTAAGGAATTTGCAGCCTTTGCAAAGCGGCATAGGATTCAATTATAGGGCCTACAACTACACACTTTACACTTTATATAGCCTTTAGATATAGTCCTATTTTAGGTATATAAGCTAAGGCATAGGCAAGCGGTACTAGAGGCTATATACCGTAGTATTAGTAAATTCGGAATACCTAAGTTTGTTAAGGCACTCTTAGCTATTTAGGCTAAGACATTTACTTTACATAATATAAGGGCGGCATTCCGGAAGACAGGTATATTCCTAATTAATAGGGAGGTCCCTTATAAGTATATTCGAGATTAGTATAGGGCTACTAACTATAATTAGAACTAGTAAGCAATTAAGAGCGAGTTAGCATAGGAAGAAGCCCGGTATAATAAATCGCTAGCAATAGCCGATATAGCTTAGTAGGAGCATATCGCATTAGTTAAGCAATAACGTTCTGCGGAGCCTACTATTATCGATTTAGAAGGCTAGTCGTACGCTAATAGTCGCTACTACCTCGGGGATCTCGAAAACTTAATTGCTTAGAGTATACTATCGTTACTACCTCTACTACCTTAGCGAACGCCGACCCCCGAATTGCTGTAATAGCTCCTAGGCACTACTACTAGCCCTCGTACGATTAAGGTATCTCGTAGTGCTATATAAGCTCGTAAGGACTTCCGACGGTCTTATCTAAAACTAGCCCCGTATAGTATCGATCCTATATTGCTATCGTTTAACCTATTTTCTTCGTTACCTATAAAGCGAGTAGAAGAGGCCTATAATATATTAGTTAACGCGGCTATCTATAAGGATAAAGAATATAAGCGTAAATACTAATCTACAAGTATTGTTAAGCGAGCAAAGAAGCGGTAGAAGGAATAGCCTAATCGGCTTATTCGAGCAGGTGCTATCGAGGCAAATAAACTACGCTTACAACTTACTTAGTAAGATAAGAATATAGCTAATAATAGGTACTAGAAGATACTCTACGAGGCGAAGGGTGCTTATAATAGGGCGCGCTGCTATCGATTGAAGTGTAGTAAGGCCTTCCGTGTTGTATTTAACAACAATAGTAAGACTAAGCAGATAGACGTTAAGTTATAGTCTAACGATAAGCTACTACGATACGGCCGGAAATCTACTATTTCTTATCTCTTATTCTACTTATATTCAGTCTCCTATTATATGTGCTCTACAACATTGCTGTCGTCGAGTTTTACGTATAGCCTACTAAGAAAAAGCGATTTTACGTATGGCTTGAATCCCCGAGCCCAGGGCGAGGGGTGGAGTGGCTGACGCAACCCCGGATACTTCTCGGAAGGTGTGCATCCCTTTGGATCTCGAAGACGCAATCACTAACGAGTCGCACAACATGACCTCAATAGCCCTCCCAGGACAATCTCTGGGACCAAACACCTCAAACAACCTCGGCGAAGCAACCCACATCCACAAAAACAATCTCTGCGCCTCAATCGCAGGCCCAATCCACTCCAAACCCTCAACATCAAAGACCTCAAAAGCACCCACACTCTCAATCCACCGCACAACAGGCCCATTACTGCCCTCAGTCGGCACAAAAATCCTCGGCCGAATCACAAAAACCCAAACCCGACAAGCCAACATTTCCATCCTCACAATAATCTCCTCATCACCCGACGAAACTACTACTACTCATCACAACCTCAACGACCCCCTCCCGGCAACAATCCGCCAACAAGACATCCGCGCGACCGAAATCGACCAAGTGAAAGTGAGCGAAAGTTTTCGGGTCGGGGATATTGTGCGGGCGGTGGTGATAAGTTTGGGGGATGAGAGGGCGTATTATTTGAGTACGGCGAAGAATGAGTTGGGGGTTGTGATGGCGACGTCGGAGTTTGGGAATCCCATGGTGCCGGTGAGTTGGAGGGAATTCGAGGATTTGGGGATGGGGAGGAGGGAGGTGAGGAAGGTGGCGAAACCGGTTTGAATTGAACTTTACGCTCGAGAGGAAGGATAGGGTATATGTGGAGAGGTGGAGATTGAATCATGAACTCGATTTGAGGATCTCGAGAAGTGGAGTGCACTCGTAAACGAGCTCAGAGGCAGCGCTCGGTGGTGAACGACCGGCAAGGCAGTCTGACAGGAAACTGCTTGATCACACTATGGCGGCCGGACAAGCAGGATAAGGACGACACACGGAGATCTGTCCCGGTATCAGTCTTGGACTAACCCGCCATGCTCGAGAGTGGCACCGGCGTAAAGGAGCAAAGCGGATTATGAATGCTGATTAAATTCGGCTACTCATCATTCCCATTCTGTGTTCAATGCTACTGCTATTCTGACTAAATCCGCATTTTCATGCATCCGAACCCATCCTTCCAAAAGTGCGGTAAATGGTATTGTGCAAAACACGACGTCTCAGCGCCACAGGTCAATCGCGCTCCGAACGCCGTCTGAAATGCAAGCGAGAAAAATGGTGTGTTCAGGATACAGGCAGCGCTCGCGAGATAAACTTCGAGGCTTGGTTTCTTCCTCCCAATACTCGTCAGCCTTCAGCACGAGCAACCCTGATCCTGGTTGTCGATATTGATGGGTATCGTTTCTGGGAAGTCCGGGTTGAAGTCTTGTGATTCTTCTTGTGCGAGGGCATTTCGTGCGATCACTGGGAAGCGTCAGGGCATGGTTCTCGAACAATGCGGTGCGAAATGCCACTCCGTCTGCACAGAGCGTGCGGTGTCTACTTACCCTCAAAAGCCTGCTCCACATTAATGGCCTCCTTTGCACTCGTCTCGAAATATGGTATGCCACCCTTCGCTTGACAGAAGGCCATTGCTCTCTTGCTGCTGATGACTCGCGCGCTCTCTTCTCTGTCCACCTTGTTGCCCAGTACGACGAATGGGAAGCTCTCAGGATCCATAGGGCTAGCTTGGATCAAGAACTCGTCCCTCCACGAGTCCAACGTGTCGAATGATTTCGAGTTGTTTACATCATATACAAGCACGCAGCAGTCTGCTCCACGGTAGAAGGCCACGCCGAGTGACTGGAATCGTTCTTGGCCGGCTGTGTCCCAGAGCTGCATGGTCACGAGGCGGTCGTCTACGAGCACTTCTTTGGTGAGGAAGTCGGCGCCGATCGTGGCTTTGTAGGAGGCTGAGAACTTCTTGTTGACCTGGAGCGGTTGTGAGCACTTGTGCATGGATTTGATCGTCGGTGCGAGCATACATATTGGTTCATCAAGCTGGTTTTGCCGACACCGCTGTCGCCGAGAATGATGACCTGTCGCGGTCAGTCCATACTCTTGTCCTGATGTCGCCGCGCCTTCTCCGCACCTTCAGCAGGATCTTCTTTCTTGAAGACATGGTGTTTGTTTGTGTTTGTGGAAGCGAAGCTTAGCTTTCGCAGCTCCGAGTCGACGACGTAACCGAGGCCGAACCCTGGTCTCTCTATGTCGCAGGCAGTCGCCAGGGCGTGGAAGGTGTCAGTAGGTGGTGAAATTGGTAGCGATCGCTCCAGGGCTTCTGGAAACGGTGAAGGGATGTCGGCGAGTGTGAAGTCTGCTGACCAGGCGAATGGCGTTCGTTGTTTCCTGTGGCTGGGCTGGGCTGCTTTGAGGCGAGGCTTTGAGGCTTAGAATACTTAACCTTATCTTTGTCGCCAAGACATTTCTCCTCCAGTCGTTTCTCCGCAAGATTATTGAGCTGCATGTTCATATCGAAGGCACACGGACACCACAGCTACGATGGAGGCTGCCTCGAAAGAACGGCATCCAGCTTCCGTACGCAAAACATGAAGATCTGCCGGCTAGCTACGCCACGATGGGCAACAAGCGACGCGAAGAGAGCTGCAACCAGAAAACACTCTGCCGACATTCAGCAAGAATTTGGTCCAGCCTGAGGGCGGAGAGTAGGCGATGTTCATCGTCCTTGGCTGCGCGACCTTTCTCTGGGGATTCGGGTTGCCCTTCATGCCGCCACACTCGATCGCTTCCTGTTCATTCCTTTCTCCAAACGAGAAGCATGTCGCAGAACAACGGGTGATCCACGAAGGCACAGGGAAGGCAAAACATGTTTGGAAATCAGCCGCACTATCCGACCGCATTCAAGGCGATCGTGGTTTGTTATGCACTCGTTGTGCTGGTGGCGATGGGACTGCGGGCTTATCTGACCTTCGAGAACAAGAGACGAGACAGATCTCAAAACAACGAGAGTGCTGTCGCAACTGCTTCCGAGGGCACGGATGATGAGCTTACTGACTGGAATTCGCCGGAATTCAAATATCGAATGTAAGAAGTGAGGCAATTTAGATGAGAAAGTGCCAGCCTCAGTCACGCATGTGATCTTTTCCATAACAGTGGGCCCGCGCCAAACCCGACTACTTCACTTTATATCCGCCCTAGAGCTTTGTCTCCCACTTCTATCTTCAAGACTACAATTCGAGTCCATTGCACATACTTCACTACGGATAGCAACTGTACAATCTGCGACTCGGAAGACGCTCGCGTCTCCAAATCTCGAGCCGAAGATCACAGACGATTAAGCCTGCCATCAGTATGGTCCAACTCGTGCGCGAGGACACTGTACCGTCGTCCAAAGGGCGCTCCAACGAGTACTGGAAGCTCACCAAATACGTCTATCCAGTGACTGTCGAAGTCGGTCACCGTTGCCGCCATCTCAGCCTCGCCTAGCTGTATCCAATTCACGAATGGAGTCAGCGCTACAAGGACCTGAAAGTACGACTCGACCGAGGGCTACTCGTATACGAAGCATGCTCTCTGAACGAACTTCTTAGCTTCGCTCGTCAGAAGTGTCGGACCATTACCACAATTCCCAACAGCAAGCTGGGTCTGGTGAAACTTCTCGAGAAAGCGGATGAGGAGATGAGCATCGATTTCATGGACCTACCGCCCGAACTACGCTGTAGGATCTATGAATTCCACATCGCAAGTCTCGAGATGCCTCGAAGGCCAGCGCAGCCGCCGATCACGAAAGTCAGCAGGATCGTTCGTCGCGAGGCTTTGCCTATCTTCAATGATTACATTAAGCGCTGAAGCAGAGATGGTTATTAGCAACTGAGACAACTTACACGACAGAAAGGCGTTTTGGAAAAGTTCCCTGGGATCCATGACCAGCTGCGAGATTATTGCGAAGGCTGTATTGTTCTCGAGCCAGACGCAGCGATGGAGGTATGTGGAAAAGGAGTGCGGAAGCGTCGACAGCGCCTGGGCATGGAAATAGCTGACAGTGGATGCGCCATGCAAGGTTGCTCGATCAGCGCTTCGGAATATATGGTGCAGTTGTAGGAGCCTAGTAGCGAAGCGGTTCTCGTAGAGTACGTATTCCTTGGGAGTGATAGTAGGCAGATGTGAACAAGAAAATACCTCACCTAACCACAATTCCACTCTAACTCCTTAATAACTCTACAGCGAAGCAGCTCAACGGCTCAACCGCGCCAGCAGCATCATTACACCTGCTCGAGCCAAACCTGAGCACCCCATTCCTCACCCCAGATCTCTACACCGACGCTTCTCAGCGAGCAGCACAACCAGGAGAATCCAGTAGCGAAGTCCACTTCACAGAAATTCCATTTGCCAAGAGTTGATATGAAACCAAGAAACACCTCACCTCACCTCACCTCATCTCCCAAAATCTCACCACCACATCCATCCTAACCGCCCCCCACCCCTAGCACAACCCTCTAATTTCCTCACCCCCCTCTCCAAGCCCAAACTCCGCCCCTTCAACCTCCCCACAAACTCCTCAACAACATCCAACTCCTCAAAACTCGCCTTACCCTTCCCTATAACATCCGCGAGCACAAACATAATCTGTCCGAAAAGGGTATCCTCATACTTACCCGGAGCTTGACGAAGTTCGCTAAGATCTTCAAAGATTTGGGCGCTGAGGTTGGGAGAGAGGGAGGTCCAGAGTTGATGGTGTTTGTTGCATTCACAGTCGTAGGAGGCTTTGGTGGTGGTGGTGGTGAAGGATTGGGAGAGGTCGGGAGCGGAGAGGAGGAGGAGGGTTTCTGTCATTTTGGAAGGCTTGAGGGGTGCTGGGTGTGAGACTGGTAACGATTGCTGCTTCTCCTACAAGTTCGAGTCTTGTTATAAGTTGTGTGTGTCACCGAAGGGATTCTGTAATAGTTCGAGTCGCAGAAACGGCAAGACAGACGCACAGGGCAATAGCAAAGATGCAGCTGACATCAAGTCTCACTGAGACTGTGAGAGCGAGTCTTGGATGATCTTCTCGAATGTCGTCGAATTGCAGGATCTGGGTCCTTTGCCCATCTTTCATGCCTCGAGTCTCGACGGCATGCATAGCCTTTACTGCAGCGATAGACGATACTAAGAAGATCCTCCATCACGCAGGGTCTCAAGGTCAAAGAGTTATGCATCTATAACAAAGAGCGTAGAGAGAACTCTATTGTATAGCTATTAATTGTTAATTGTTATAATTACCTAATTACTTACAATCACTGTAATTGTAGATATAATTGTTATATATGTAATTATATAATTATAATTACAATTAATCGGTATTTCTTAGGCAATCGAAGGCGATACCGCGGCGTACAAGTATCCCTTAATTTCGTAGTATTTCTACCTCTTCCTTATATAAAATCGTATTAAGAATAGGTTAGAAGCGCGTAGAAGTAATCGAGGTAGGTTAATAGCGAATACTGTCTATTACTATAGCTAATCGTATAGCTATCGGATAGCGAGTTAGAATCGGAGATAGAGGTTATAGATACCTTACTATCGCTACTACCGCTACCGCCGCTATAGACTTAGACTTAGCCTATCGACAAGAAGCCTAGTAATAAGAAGTCTATCGCTAATAGTATATCTAGCGCTTCTAAGAAAGAAGAAGAAGAAGAACCGGTTACTAAGAGGCTTCGTAAGAATCCTAAGAAGACGGTAAAAGGTTAGGATTAGCTTAATTAATAGTATAAGGAAATAGAGGCTTAGTAGGCTGTTATAGAAGGGTTGTTACAAGAGTCTCGCCGTATACTAAAGGAATACGAAGGTATAGAATACCGACTAATTGCGAAGAATGCCGAGCTCGACGTCTTTACTAAGAAGTAGGAGGCTTTCGAGGATTATATCCGTAAGAAGGGTAACTATATAGCCGTATATCTAGGGGACTGTCGCTATAAGGTATATAGCGAGCGTATACTAAGGATAGAAGAGAGGGCGAAGCACTTTAGGTTTCTTAACCCCTACGCCTACGACCCTTGTTTACTATATATAGGCGAGGAGTATAAATTGAAGGTCGAGCTCGCTATATAGCGTACTCGTAACGCCTTATATATCGAGGCTGCCGTAAAGGAGTGTGTTAGTAATATTATAAAGGATTAGAATATAGAATAGTAGGAGACTAGGAGTTGTTAGTATTCTAGTTACTTACGCGCCTACCTATTCCTATCAATTATATTATTTAGGGTCTTTAAAGCCTAATAGGAACCTCCGGAGTCGACTAACCGAGCGGCCTCGGCTCGCGCCTTAAACCTTAGTAAGCCCTATTAAACTTAAATTTTCTAAACCTCTATCCTTTTATAACTTCTACTATTTCCTTACTATAGTAGAGATACGCAAAGACCCTAAGCCTTTATAACGGCTCTTAGAAAACTTCCGTAAGGGCTAAGAAACATAATAGGAAACGTAGGATAGGTAACGGATACTATTTACCTAAGATTCGAGCGATCTAAGCGACTTCGAAGATAGCGAAGCCGGAGAGGTGCTAAATCCTATACTACTACTACTAAATCAACCTATACAACCTCCTTAGCTAATACCTAACCTATTATTCCTTCCTATATAGTCCTCCTCGTCCTTAGTAATACCTACGTAACCGATACCGATACCTATACTATCTAAGAAGCGAAAGAGAGCTAGTAATAGGCGTAATCCGGAGTTATAGTCTTATTCGAGACCTCTAAAGAATAGCGAGCCTAAGAGGGTTAAGAATAGCCGGCACCGAGTATTCTACTATAGACACTATAGTAATAACGATATAGAGCGCTTTTAGTCTCAATCTAGCAACGCCGCCGAGTACCTGTTCTATAAGTATTAAATTATCGTTAGTCGTATAAAGGAGAAGGATAATAGTAAGAAATAGAGCGTAATCGACTTCTTAGCTACTATTAGGAAGAACGTAGATATTAAGGTATAGAAGACCGTTAATATACTAAAGAACGCAGCGGATAAGAAGACCTTTAGATACGCTCTTACTCGCTTTATTATAGTACTTAGTATCTTATATAGTGCTATTGTAACGAAGGAGTTCAATAACCTAATACTAGCAGTTAACCTATAAGCTAAATATATACTTCTACGCTTATATACGACCCTCTTTAGCTATATTCTTTATAACTTCGAGTATTAGCGAGAGCGCGTTAAATAAGCCTTATTAGGCGCCTTAAGCTATATCTACGTTAGTACTAATATATAGAAGGCTTAGTATAGTAGGAAGTACTTCTAGGCTATTAATTGCTAGTATATTAATAACAAGGGCAAGTTGGTTTAAGTACTACTAGATTTTCTACCGCTTCTAGTCGGTTCTTATATAGGCGACTTCCTCGCGCTACTACTTATTAATAGCTTTAAGGTCTTTAATATAATAAACAAGATCGGCTAGATAACGGCTAATAATAGCTCTAATAATAAGACCCTCTATATAGCCGTAGAGACCTTTATTTAAGTAGAAGGCTATAGCTACTTCCGGAAGCGCTATCTACGCTATATTAGCTACATTATTAACCGGATAACGTAGGCATTTATATTCGCTAAGAATAAAGAGTCTACCGAGAGCGAGGAGTTTAAACTATCTATAATAGACTCGGATAGCGATATAGTATCTATCTCGAAGTAGCTAGATATAGACGTAGACTCCTTTACTAAGTAAGGTCTATTATAACGGCTGTTCTTACTCGCTAAGCTTCTACGCTAGAATAACAACTTCAACATATTTAAGGAGGTATATAAGGCATAGCCTTTACTGCCTGCTATAATACCTAAGATTCTAGGTGAAATACGCTAGAATAGATAGCTCCTTATAATTAAGGAGGCACTATAAATAAGGCTAATATTAAACAGCTTCTTCGATAGAATGCCGTACTTAAGGGACGCTTAGCTTACTACCGAAGAATAGTCTATTCTATAGTATACTTATAACTTCCTTATACTATTCAAAGAGGTTACTCTTAAGCTATAAGGCTACGTAGTAACACTAGATTAGTACTAAGAAGCTATAGAGTATATAAGAAGCTACCTTACTCGGTTAGCGGAAGATAACACTCGGCGTTAACCTCTTATCCGTTTAATTTAGCTAGTAAGACAGCTATTCGATAAATACTATCGACTTAACTAATAGACCTGCGTCTATACCGCGGCAGTCCTTCTATATCTAACTCGAAGGCTCGCGTAGTTAAATAAGTACTTAGCAATTAATATAGACGCCGCCTTATTAGAAGCTAGAGGTCTATAGTAAGACTACAAACAACGCTATAGATATAGCACTCCTTACTCAACTTCTAAGCGTAACCTCGAAGGTCTTACTAATCTAGAACGGTAGCAAATATAGTTATAAGCCGACTTTATTACTAGCGACGAGGATGCCTTCGAAGCCTTTATCTATAGACTACCGATTAGCCTTCTAATCGTCGGTAAAGACTATAATAATAGGCCTGTTTCTATAATACTAATTAAGTAGTAGATATAGTAACAATCGGCTAATCTAGTACTCGTACGGCTTGCTATCGACCTATTGTCCGTATTCGCTATATCCGTAGAGTCCGAGCGGACCTTTAGTAAGAGCCGGCGTACGATATTATAGGAGCGGTTATTACTTAGTAGTAACACTATCCGGATAAGTAAGTATTTAAAGAGTTAGTAGTCTATAGGCCTTACTTATATACTATTAGAAGGGCTGTATTTACTAGAAGGCGCAGAGCACGAAGATAATATATTAATAACTGCTAACAACGACTATAGTCTTTAAAATAGCACCCTTCTTAACTATAACGCTTACTACTATAGTAATTATATAATTATAGCGATTGTAATTAACGATTAATTACTTACCTAAGATTGTAATTGTAATAACGGTTAGGTAATTGTAATTAATCAACAATTAACAGCTATGCTCTATTAACAACTTCCAAAGTTGATAGCTTGTCAACGATGATAACTGACTTTATCGCCAAGACTTTCACAAGCGTTGCGGATTCTGAGTATAGAATACTAGTCTCGGTTCGCAGCCGGGTTTTCCGAACAATGCAGATCAAGGAAGGGAAAGAAATATTTACTATAAGAGCATAGAAGATCGCCACCTCACGTTTGCTTCACACAAATATTTTTTTATCATTGCCTCGTAAGGAGACACTTCGCGAAACATGCCTACCTACCCCTTCAGAAATTTCGCAATATGTGCGTGGCTAACTGTTTCAGTTCCCGATCTTGTCAACTACAGTACAAGTTTCGAGGACAAGACCGTAGTCGTCCCGGGTGCCAACACTGGGCTAAGAGTCGAGTGCACAAAGCAGCTATAAGCATCCATAACCAGCATAAGATCGTTGCGAAGTTTTGAAAGCATCCCAACTCGCGCTCGGCGTCTCTACGCTCATCGTGCTAGAATATCGAAATCTAGCCAAGGGCGAAGCTTTTCGACTGTCACCGAACAGACTTCCATCTGTGCACAAGTGGGAAGTCGATATGGCGGATTACTTACTCTTCCCTCAGGGCCTTGGGCAAAAGAATGGCCACGTCTGGAATGCGCATCTGTTGCCGATTGTCGGTAATCTCCTCCACACCCATCCCCTCTCCCTCCTCACTCTCCACCATCTCAAATGTTTTAAACCTAGATGACATCTTTGGAACGTTGCGCTGCGCTGCGCGACGATCCCTTTCTCCAGAAAGCTGAACGTTCACGACGCACGCTGTGAACATGTCTTTTGAAGAACTTGCGTGAAGCGTAAGATTTTGCTCGTCAGGGTCGGTTTTGTTTTAGGGAGCTGGAGGAGCGGAATGTAGAGATTTTGGGGGCGATGGAGAGGTTCGCGGAGGAGTGGTTTGTAGGAATTGGGTTTGGTGAGTGAGTGAGTAAGAGTGGTGTGAGAGGTAAAATGCTCAACGTATCGCGTACAATACTCTGTCGATGCTACCATATCACATAAATCATGCCTTCAATGCCATTCCATCCCCTCAGAAGATACTCCGGAATTGCCACCCGAGAGCAGTGCGTAGTTAGACGCCGGTGCTATCGTTCAAACATGGTATCCTTCTCAACTCCAGATCCCGTACACTTTATACTCGCAGCAGAGCTCTTCTGTCCTGTCGGACTATTCAACATCGGCTGATCAAGTAAGTTGCCATCAGCTGCTTTGCCGTTACTCCCAGCTCCAGCATCCGCTTCGGCCACGTCGAGCAGGTCTCCAGCTTGTTCTTCGCCCTCATCATCTTCGTCATCTTCAGTGCCTCGAGTCGATGCGCCACGATCAAGCTCTTTCTGCGCTTCATCCATTCGTCTCCTGACTTCCGCAGCAACGCGCATGCCATCAGTGACAATGTTGTCCAGCATGCCCCTGAGACCCTTGCCTGGTGCGACAACGCCAGCTCCAGGTCCGCCAAGCGAGGGTGACAGCGAGGGAATAGGTGATGCGCCTGCGCTAGTTGAACTGGATAAGAAGCTAGGCGATGTGAGTGTGCTTGATGGGAGGGGCGCATCAGCAAGATGGAAGGAGTTCGCAAAGCCAGAGTCAAAGAACGACTCCAACGCTTCATCAGCGAGGACAAGCATTCGGAAGGTAGGCAGAGTGATATGGACTGGACTGCTCGGATCCAAGGCGGCGTTCGCTTCGGCGTTCTTCATTGATATTTGTCCAAAAGAGTTGCGGCTGTGTGTTGCGAGTGGCGAATTCTCTTTGGCGTCGGACGGTGCGCTGTCACTGGCAAGTGGGTTATCGGCGGTGGATTCGACTTTCTTCTCGTTCAGGTCAAGCAGATCACCATCTTCGCTCTGCGATAGCTTCAAGTCGCTGATTTTCTCTGCAGCAGCGTTCGCATCTGTCTCTCCCTGCCTTGATGGGTGGTCTGGATCGGCGTACTCGAAGCAGCGCCGGATGAAAGCCGAAACAGCAGATAGGAACTGCTCGTCCTTTGAGATGGGCAGGCCATCGGGGCCATGAGCCGGTTGCTCATTCTGTGAGACATTGCTGCCATGTAGACCCCTTCGCGAGAGGAAAAGTAAAGCTTCAGAGATCCTCAGAATGCCCTCTCGATCGACCTTTCCATCATCGTCATCGTCATACAGCTCGAAGAAGTACGAGATGTTGGACATGATATCGCGGTTGCCTTTGATTGGCGCGAGACCAATTACCACATTTTGCAGTGTCAGGGCGCCGTTGCCATCTGAATCCCACTTGCCGAACAGACGCTGCATGAAATCATGGTCCGCAGGCTCAGGTCCATTTCCCCATGGGGACATATTGACCGCCTTGCCTCGTAGTGTGTTGCTGAAATATCCATTTGTGGCTTTGTCTTCTCTCGAGGGCGAGGTTGGTGAGTCCGTGACTGCCCATTTGGATATGCCGGCAAGAAACTCTCTGAAAGCGTCATAGTCCATGAGCGTAGCACTGGCCCCGAGAGCCACCCGTCCCAATTCCGGTACGTTGCCAGGCACGCCAGTAACTATCTCGCTCGCTCGTTGTCTCGCAACCTTGGCCCGGCGTTCGGTCTCGGCCTGGATCATTTGTGCTCGGTGCTGCCTCTCATAGAGGATGGCATAGAAGCGGTCATACAGGAAACCGAGATCGTTGGTCGACAGCTTCTTGCTTTCAGGACCTAGATTACGAATCGATGTGCCTGAGGTCAAAAGGGTCAGCTAAATTCCAAGACAAGGACCAGGCCGGTATGCACTTACGCTTCGCAAAAGATTCGATATTCTCAATAACAGCAGCCTTGTGCTTGGCGCGCTGCTCGGAGATCGTGTGTTGCGTGATACCCTCAAACTCTTTGAAAGCCACGACCATTAGAGCCTGGAAGTTGGTGATAGCACGGTGTTTTGGGTTCTCTGATGTAGGGTGCGCCGATTCTCCTAATCTAGCGAAATATGATTTGAGAACGGAAATGAAAGTGCCTGTAAGCGTGTCAGCAATGTCATTGTGAAGGAGGTGGCTCGAACGGAGTCGCTGGGACTGACATGACCAGTGCCGATGTCATCGTCGCACTCGTCAGTGTTACTCACCATCGTCCGTGGCATCTAGTAATTCCTCGCCATTGATACGTAAAATAGCGAGACCAACTTGGAACAGCACTTTCGGGCCCTCCAAGAAGAACACGTCCAGCACGCGAAAAGCGAATATTAGGGGCATGCTGTTGATGTAAAGTGACAAGAACCAAGGCAAAGAGACCACCGACAGCTGAACGTCGTTCTTAACGAGATGTTCCCAGATGATAGGCATCGTCTTTTCAACGAGGCTTTCAAACACCTTCTGGTCGAGCAGGGTACCATACATGGTCGTTGAGTAGTAGCCAGGCAATAATCGGTCGCAAAGTACAGAGAGAAGGTAGAAAGCCTGGGTTTCGGAGAGGTATCTGGGAAACATTCACGTTAGCTTTACTCGTCTCTGCGGGTGGAGGGCTTACCTACATCAATAATGCTGCCACGACGATGTTCATGGCTTGACAGTATCCGACTTCTTGGTTGGTCCAGCTGTAAGCTGTAAGTACTCGGCGAAGGCGGCCGATGCCTTCTTCGCTCTGGAAGCCAGCGTATTCAGGCAGACTTCGATTCAGATCTTTCTCGATCTCGTCGATGGCAAGAGAGCCCTCGCCGTCGTGCTTGGCGAGCGTCTCTTGATAGAGCTTGGGCTTTTGAAGTCGCAGATAGAATGACCCGGACGCAAGCTCCCAGATCTCGCCTCTCAGCAGGTTGGGAAGGCCGACTCTGATCAATCGGTGAAAGTCGGGTTGTCGTACGAGTGTGGTGTTCCTTCCGTTCTCTTTCAGGTATTCGTGCCACAGCCTCATTTTGCTACGATCCCGGAGTTTTCGCACGTTGCCTGGATATTTGAAAATACTTCCAAGACCTGTATCGGGTGGAGACCTTGGAGTGCCATCCGGCTTCGTGGCCGTCGGTTCGGCTTCGAAGTCATCATACAAGAAGTATTCCGAATAGCACTCTTGCGCGACGGTGCGCATGTTATCGACCTCTTTGATGCCCTGTCTTAACCCTCTCTTGAGCCCATCACAGAACCGCTCGCATTGCTGCCGGCTGCCCTCAAGCTGAATCGTAAGCTTTGGCGGGGCAGGTGCGCCTGGCTTGCCTTCACTTCCTGGGTCGAAGCCATTCCACGTCGTTATCGAGAGCGCAAACATATAGCTCTGGGTGTGGAGTCGCTCGACCCTTCGCACAGCACATAAGGGGAGCGTAAAGCCATTTCCGGCTGGGCCTGTGCCATGTGTCCTGCCAGTAAACGCGCTGCTAGCGCTCGTGCTTGACGTGCTGACGAATGATGTGTTCACCGTTGAAAAGCAGAGAAACTGCTCGCTCAAATGTAGTTGTCCGACGTAGTGAGTGCCTCGTTCGCGATCCCAATTGCTCTTGTCCCAGTTGCCCGCCTGTCCCTTAGACAAGCCTCCTTTGCGCTTCGTGGGTAGCGTAAGCTCAGCCGTGATCTCGTAGAGAGGATTTTGACTGTCTGGAAGGCGGAATTGGTGGCGAAAGAGTTGTGCTTTGGACGGTCTCCCCGAACTCGAGCCTAAAGGCCCAGGCAGTATAGCGGGATCTATGAGCTGCTGGGCCTTCTGCACGAGGTTCTGTAGGAACATGTTGGGCAGGACGCAGCTCGCACAGACTTCATGTCGAGACTAGAAGGTAGAAACCTATGTCATTGTGCTGAGCAGGGCGAAATGTCGTTCTTGCTGAAGGTTGGTAACGTTATGTTGTCTACCACACGAAGTCGGAGAGCTATCTTGAAACCCTCAGGCATACAGGTCTTGGCACTGTCGATGGGTGCAAACACGGCTGACTGCGGATCACAGCATTCGTCATCCTCTACTTCTGCTCTGACATCCACGACTCTGCTCGAACTTCATCTACCATATGCTATTACGGAGATGGTCGCGCTCGGAACGTTTACTGTCTACAGAAGCGATGCAGCTGGCTCAAGATTCGCAACTATGGGATGACCTCACAGACAGTGCTATCAATACAAAGCCCTTGACCAGCATACGCGGGAGATTGCAAATGTAAGCGCAAAGCGCGTAGTGCAGGAAGTCACAACATTCCGTTGCAGATTCTACACAACCTTCGAGCGGCTTTCCTAGAGCTCGCCGGCACTAATCATGCTATTAGATTTGAGTCGATCAATACCGACGACACATGGCCGCCGCAGTGTTTGGCACCAGCCCACTCTCCATCCTCGTCCCCATCGCCGCCGAAGTCCCATCAAAGCCACTCTACACCTTGCTACGTGCGGTATGGAGCGTTCTGTTGTTCCGACGACGGAAGAAGAATACGATGGTCATCCAGACGGCCGTGATGAACCACAACAGCATGTTCACCAGGTCCACCCACACCGCGTTCTTCATACGCTGTTGGCCATGCTGTTCGGGTGTAGGATTGGCTGGGATGTAGATCTTGCCGAAGAGGCCAAAGAGAGCTGTCCAGAGGATGAACAGAATCCAGTCCCACCAGAAGGTGAACTCGCCGGGGATGAATTTCAGGGCACCGTAGACCTAGAGCATGACGCAGGTTAGCAGTCGCTCCAAGTGTTGCTCACGATTCGCAGGCTTCGTGTGCGATGCGACGCGACGATCACAGGCCTGAATTTCGGCGAAGTCTCAACTTACCAGAACCGTCACTGCTGCCATGCCAGCCACGACCTCGGCGAACACCCACTTGCCGTCCGCGGCGACGCCTGCCTGGCTGCCATGGTGAAGATCTGTTCCGTATAGGCCTGCGACGGTGATGGCGAGGACGAATTGGAAAAATCGTAGGATAAGGCGTATAATGCCGCCGATAAGGCCACCTGAGCCGTCGCGGTCGACGACTTTGTCGAGAACAGGCATTGTTGGAAGTGTGGGCTAGAAGTCTGCTGAGGTATATGCGCCGGCGCGTAGGAAGATGGTCTGTCGATGTTGTGCTGGTTTTGTGGGTTGGGGTCGCGTTCCGCTATTAGAGATTATTTGAGCAAGTGTGCCAGACACTCGTGATTGCAATAGAAGGACAAATATGGGAGGGGGAAGTCGTGATGATGAGCTTGTGACTGCGGAGTGAGGCGAGGCGTACCTTGTACTATATCGTTACCGGGGAGCGGTGCTGTTGGACTTCGCTTGCTGGGCTGCTTGCTGTGAATCGATCGCTCAGGCACACTGGTGTCACAGCCGTGTGGAACAATGTCCACCTCCAGCGCCTGTTCTCAGCGTGTCGCTGTGAATGCACGCTGCTATTCTGGAAAAAGAATACGCCAGTCTTTCGATCTGTCGCGAATCATTAAACTTCCAACCTGCTTTCGCAGATTAGCCGCTACGTCACCGTCCGAGCTTCAGATGGCAAGCGCGGCAGGGATGTCATTGGCTGTGATTTGACGCAATGCGCTGTACGCCATATTCCCCTGTCTTGGTCGCCGCGGCTTCGACTTCGACATGTTCCAACGACTGCGGCGAGGCCCGTTTCGAGGCGTGCTGGACGCGCTATTGCATATGCCGACGTGTTTGGGTCAGACATGGGCCGACTTCGAGACGCTGTTTTACCAGAGAAGGAGTAGAAGAGGAAGCGAAGACGAGACAGTGCAGTCACGAGCATGGACTGCGTAGAAACACATGTGCAGGCAAGGCTGGGTTGTCTGGCTTTCACAGAGACTTCTGCCGGCTTCTGACGGCGATATGGCAGTGCCTTCATTTGCCACGGCATGTGAACCAAAATCGAGAATCTGGTGGACAGGCCGGGGCGGAAGAGATGACTTGAAAGTGGAAGCATGTATAGCCGTCTGAAAGCACCTCCATCCCTTCTCTCCTGGGGGCCAGCTCGGCCAGCTCGGTACAGACCTGTCCTCCATCCAGACCGCATGATATATTCTGGTGTCCTGTGACCAACAAGCCAGCCGTGGTCTGACAGCCACGAGATCACAAGATGGAAAGTGCCGGGCCACGGAGTTGCAGAAAGGCTTCATAGCCTGATTACACACGCAGATCGGCGTGTCGATGTTGGTCAGAGACTCGAGCTTTCTGGAGAGCCACTGATGCCTACTCCTGCATTGCTGCATGCTACACTGCTTGGTCGCTGCGATATGTGCTTTCAACATTTCGCAGCCGTTCGAGCACCTCTTGCAGAGACGGTCTTTCACAACCGATTTGCCCAGTATGCCATCTGTCGCTCGCAAAGAATGCTGTTGCTGTTTCCACTTCCTCCTCCCATGCCTTCCTGACTTCCGCGAGAATGTCGGATTGCTCAGCGGAGTCGTTGCCAACAATCACGATTCCATCTTTGCCAGCTTCCTCGAACATCTTGAGAAGCTTTGCAACACAATGCAGCTCAGGAGCAGCTTTATTATCCACTGAGCATGACTCCTGTAAGCTGCTCACACACATCTGATATTTGATTTCTGGCGCACACCACTCATACCAGTTCCCACGCTGCTCGATTCAATCAACAGCAGACCGTCGCTGTCAGTGAGGAGAATGTTGTCCGGCCGAAGGTCTGAATAGAACGCTCGCGCCTCCGATGTTATGTGCATCAACGCAGAGCAGACCTGCTTCGACCACTTCAATTGCCGTTCAAACGACAAGTCGCCAGACTCTCGACATGCTGGCAAGTGATCTCGCAGCGATTCCTTGGCATAGTGTGGTAAGATGAAGCCGTAAACGCCATTCTTGCCACCAAACGCTGACTTCTTGGTCACAATATATAATGGCTTTCCGATGACGTTCGGATGAGGCGGGAGGGAACAGGGATTGGTGGGGCATGATTTGTTTGGGAAGAGGCATGTGTAGATGTGAGGTGAGGAGGGAAGTCAGGAGTGAGGGATGGGGTGGGTGTGAGGAAGTTATGTAGGGAAATTTCACCAAGAATCTTTCGAACGAGCACACACAATCACAAGACCCACCCGTACGAATCACCCTCCCATCCGCATTCCTCACCGGCCGAATATTTCAGGATGATTCAACCACACTCGAATCAAGTGCCGTTCACTATCAGCAGAGTTGACAAAAGCTTCCCGTCGATGCAATGGGGCCTCAGCTGCGAGGCGTTCGCTGTCGTCATCAAGAAGCTGCACTTGCACTTGCACTTCGACCGCCAAGACGGGAACGGAGCGGAGCGGAATGAGCCGCCTGCAGCTTCTGCGCTCGGTCAATCGCTCTCACCTCTTCCTTTTTGACATTGACAACAATACTTCGACTTTGCATCAATAACTCTGAACTCTCAGCAACGATGAAGCGGAAAGCTGAACATGCAGCAACTTCTTCTCCACCTGGACACTCCAAGAAGCAGGCCACCGATGGAAATGGTATAAGAGCACGCTTCCGAGGAGGACTTTTCGACAAGGACACCGTAAGAGGCTATGCAGACGCGTACGCAAAGTCAAAGCCATATCGGCATGCCGTGGTTTCCGCCTTGATCAATGACGACTTGCTGCGCTCTGTTCGAACCGAAATTCTGGACAACATCCACTTTACCCCGAAGGAAACAGATATCTACAAGATCCACCAGTCCGGAGACTTGGCAAATTTGGACGGCCTACCTGCATCAGCGCTGGAGAAATTGCCATCACTGCTGAAACTACGAGATACACTGTATAGTGTAGATTTCCGAGGATGGCTGTCTATGGTTTCTGGTACTGGCCCGCTATCCGGACAGAAGACCGACATGGCTGTCAATGTCTATGTGCCCGGATGCCACTTGCTCTGCCACGACGACGTCATTGGCACCAGGCGGGTGAGCTATATTTTGTATCTTACGAATCCAGACAAGCCATGGAAAGCAGAATGGGGCGGCGCTCTTCGACTGTACCCAACTGATGAATTCAAACGCCAGAATGGTAAAGTATATAGAATGCCAAGATCCGACTGGAGCAAAGTCATTCCTCCGGCCTGGAACCAGCTTTCCTTCTTCACCGTGCAACCCGGCGAGAGCTTCCATGATGTCGAGGAAGTGTACAAGCGCGGCACCGGCGAGGACGACGACGACGGGGGACGAGTACGTATGGCAATAAGTGGCTGGTTCCACATTCCTCAGGAAGGAGAAGAAGGGTTCGAACCTGGACTGGAGGGTATGCTAGTGGACCAGAGCTCTTTGCGGCAACTTATGGGCGATCCAGGCGATTTCGACGAGCCTCAGAATAATTGGTTGTCTCCAGATGAGGAATCAAAAGCCAAGGAAAGCGACGGGGAAGAAGTTGAGCTTACCGAGCACGATCTGCAGTTCTTGATCACTTACATGACTCCAAATTACCTAACGCCAGATACTGTCGAAGAGCTGAATGATATCTTCACGGATGAGTCAATTCTGCAGCTCACCAACTTCCTCAGTGAGAAGTTTTCCAAGGCCCTAAAGGAGTCACTGGACGGAACTGGCCTAGATGGACTCGCCTGGTCAACATCTCGCCCGCCACACAAGGACCGCTATCAGTATCTGCATGCCCAAAAGCCATCTGGATCCAGTGAAGATTTGCCCCCTTTACGCAAGCTACTCGATGTCTTCCTCCCAAGCTTGGCATTCCGGAAATGGCTCGCACTAGTCACAGGCTTGGCCCTTCGGCGAAGTCAAGCCATTGCTAGACGATTCCGCAAGGGTCTAGATTACCAGCTGGCGCGAGGCTATGAAGGAGAGAATACACAACTGGAGTACACACTGTGTCTGACGCCCACCAAAGGCTGGGCCGCCGATGAAGCTGCCGAGGATGAGAACGGAGAGGATGGGAATGCCAACAAGACAGAGGCAGAAGAGGAGGATAATGTCGGTGGCTACGAGATGTATATGGTTAGCGATATTCCGGATGATGATGGTTCTGAAGATGGGGTGACCATTCCAGCGAATGTCCAATCTCAGACGGGTGCAGGTCAGCGTCGGTCTGCCACCAAGAAGAAGGCAGATCCAGCAGTATATCAGGCGGCAGGCGATGATGAAGACGACGGAATCTTGTTCAGCAATCCTGCAAATTGGAACACCTTCAGCCTGGTGCTTAGAGATGAAGGTACTGTGAAGTTTGTCAAGTACGTCTCACAATCGGCACCAGGAGATAGAATTGATATCAGTGGTTGCGTTGAGGTGGAGCCTGAGGAGGATGAAGACGAGGCATGAGCCCCTCGCCTACAAATTCAAGCATTACATACGAGAAATAAGCATACAGATCGAGCTCAAGTCCCGAAGAACTACCGCTCCACAAGTCATACCACCTTTTTCTTCCTCTGTTCCAGCCTTTCAAGGATCTGAATCCTCCCTCTGAAACATTTGACGCAGTTCCCGGAAGCTCATTTTCACCACGCACGTCGTCGAGAATGGCAGATGATGGACACTCCGGCCCAGCAACCCCCCTGACCGATGCCGAACTGGACGCCATGCCTACCGAGCTCCAGCTCGAGAAACTACTCCGACTATTCGTCGACGCAGTCAATCAACGCGACCTCGATCCCAAAATCCTAGTCTGGACACGAGTGAGCGAGGACGTTGTCGGACGGATCGATCCCCGATTATCGTCGAATGGACCTGCAGGCCTTCGTGAAATGTATGCGCAAGCTTTCAAAGAAAATCCGCAGTTGAAGATAGGACTTTCAGAGCTTGTGCCTTGTGCGGATGAGAAGAAGGGGACTGCTACGCTTTTCTGGACAGGAATGGCGAAGGGTTTTTATGATGATGTGACGATTTGGAGTACGGGGACTGTTGGGTTTAAACGTGTTGAGGGACGGTGGTTTATTACGAGTTTTGAGGGAGCGAGGGGTTTGAAAGATCTCGCAACGTAGGCGAGCGCCAGACACTCAAAGATGACAGTGTATGGACAGCAAGATCCCGCGCTGGTCTCCTGTCTTTCAGAAGATCTTTCTACATCAACACCGATGCTGGAACCCTCTCTGACAAGCAGCACACCGAGGCATCAGTTCCCAATTTCTCCCAAATTGCCACCTTGGAGCAAAACGACTTCGGGCTCCCAGATCAAATTTCAACGGCCTTCACGGTACACCCTCCAGCGCCACAATTTGGACAATGGACCATCAAATTCTTGCGCAGGACCATCCCCTTCATCGTTACCTCATTCCGGCACTTCTCGCAAAGGCATGAGTGCCATTTCTGGCAACATCCGAGCTGCAAACAATCATGTCCACACGGTGCCGGCTTCGGCATTGTTTTGCTGAGGTCTGATGCAAATTGTTCGATCTCCACCGCAACAGCGCGCAGATGACGGAAATCGAACATCTCACTAGGTCTCAGCCAAGCTTCTGGCCCGAGGATCTTCTCTGCATGTGGTTTGCACGCATCTGTGATCCAGGGCCTCAGGTTTCCGAGAGTATCGTCACTGCCATAGACCTCGCGAATGAGCACGACATAGTGCGGTCGCAGAATCTCCTCTTTTGCCAGTTTCATAAACTTGCGGGCCGCAATGCGAGCAAGGCCCTCGAGCTCTAGCTCGCAAGCGGTCTGCACGACGTATGCGTTGAAAAGAACCGGGGAAGAGTCTTCTACGACCTCGAAGTCGGCGTCGTCATAATCGTCTTCGTCGTAATCGCCAGAGCGCAGATAGCGGACGACGGCATCGATGGCGCTGGGGACTTGAGGTTCCGCGAAACTGGCGACGGTTGCACTGGTGCTGTTCTCGCAAAACCTGGCGAACAGAGTCGACTTGGTGCAGAGCCATGCCTTGTTGACATACCACGTCTTCCCACCACACTCCAGTTTGAAATCCGCCCACTGTGGGTCCGAAAGAAGACTTTCTCGAATTAGTGACGATGGACGAAGCAAAGTTGGAGGCCTCACCTCAACGCCGTCTGCGCTAGGAAATCGCGGGACTCTGCTGACAAGTTGGCAAGCTCGCTTGCAGGGCTTGGAACTCTGCCTTCAGAATCAGTCATTCTGCGTTTGGTGAGTGTGACGGGGAAGAAGTTGTTCATCGCTCGTCAATGGGCAGCTTGGAGATGGTGTGGGACGGCCCGAGCATCATGTGAAGCTGCAGAGACGAAGAAGCTTCTCACACATGCCGAGAACTTCCTTTACACGTACACTTTAGCGAGCGCTGTTGAATAGGTCATCAGTATACGCCCATGGACAGTGCCTCATGCCGCCAGAGAATGCCAAGCATAATGTCTCGAAACTTCGTACCTGCCTGGAAAGCCCCAAGTGAAGTCTCGCCGTTTGAGACCCTGCATGTGAAGTTCAAACGGCCAAGACCAAATCTTCACCCTCGCCCTCGCCCTCAAAAACTCTTCAACGGCCCACTCTCTCCCCTTCTCTCCCCACCATCACACAAAAATTCTACTCCCCCCCCCCCCCCTCCCTTCCACCACCACCCCGCCCTCCCATCCCCATCGCGATCCCTCTCAGGCAGAGGCGCTTTGGGAACGGCACAGTACTCCGAGTACGCCTGGCAGGTTCAGGTGGGAAAAGAGTAGGACTCAGCACCTCGACGGACCTGACAGCTTGTTTCGGCTCGCTTTGTCTGGAGTCCTCGGATATGGGTGCGGTTCGAGACTGAAATACACGACGTCTTCTTGCGGCGACAGATCCCGGAGTAAGGACTCGGTAATGAGAGCACTTCTCGTCGGTGATCTTGATTGCGATGCGCTTGGCGTTGGGGAGAACGGAAAAGGGAACTTGGGCGATGTAGAAATTCGATGTCCAGGCCGGCGAGCGAGAAAACCCAACCTACCACGCAGCGAGCGAGCAAACCAACACGACGGCGAACGAGCGAGTAAACCACCCAACACGACGGCGAAGGGTATGTATCGCCCGCCCTCGTAATGCTGACTCTTCTCTTAGGCCATCAGCTGTCTAGCACATGCATGTGCTGGTCACTGGAGGCCATGCATTCTAAACATCTCGAGTCGCCTAGCCCGCGTGCTGCCAGCAGCATCGGCATTATTAGGGCGCCGACCATCTTCTCTCGAGATGGAACGAAATCACCAAGTCCGGTTCGTCCATTATGCATTCTCATTCCAGCGACTCGATCATCGTGTGCAGAGCGCCGCGAGCGCGACTTTGCGAGTAGAATGGCCGTTATCGTGGCGCCCACGTACTCGGTGTTGGCGACAGCGACGACACGACCGTGGTGTGGGCAGTGAAAGGTGTAGTTCACGAGCGCTTCCATTCGAGCGTGTTGAGATGCCGCCTCTCAGCACCGAAAAGCTTGCGGATCTGGAAGATATAGCAAAGCAAGAGGCATGGCGCGCTGAAAACGGCCTGAGGAGAAATTCATAATTCATCGTCTATCGCATCACGTTACAGGGCCAGCTCCACGTGAGCAGCGACCCTCTGTTACCGTCTGATCTCCTTTTTCTCGTCAAAAGCCTCAGCATAAGTCCTGGCCTCCCAGCTTCAGTCCCTATACTCTCAAATCCCTCCGCAACACCGATCCGGTCCTTCACGCGCTTGTCCTGACTCATCTTCATTCTTCCCTCGGATCTTGTGGCCTCGATGTCAATCCAATGATGTTTTTTCATGAGAAGCTCGACATAGCTTCCAGGCGCATCTTCAACCTTCTAAGCCTCGCCTTCCCCACATCCTTCTCGGAATGTAAGGTTAGAGCGTGAAGCTGATCTCTCAAGACGATTTCGTTTCGTCGGACTTGCCGTCGTAGTAAACTGCTGCAGTGCCGTAGACTTGGACGGATGTATAGTCCCAAGTGGGTACGACTTTGCCGGTGCTTGGCTCTGCGAGAATAGCCAACACCAATTAGATTCAGGTCTCACGAGGCATCAGAATGTCGTGAAAGAACAGAACGGTATGACTATCCTATCTGACTGCAGCCCCAATCTCAAGTGGAACCAAGCAAGGCAGAAAGCACAAGGTAGCCGCCAACTATGCCGATGATGGTACCAGCAAGTAAGGCTTCCCCTTGACCAGTCAGTGTCAGGTATGCTCCAAGACCGACAGCTAGCTCGTATCGTTGTGCTGCAGCTCGTCTCTGTTTCCAGTCCTCCCGAATCTTGAACGTTGAGATGGCTTGTTGGCTCTGCTGTATCGGCTTCCGGGGGATTGAGAACGCCAGGCTCACAGGCCTGTGGTCGCTGGTGGGCTGCACAGGCAAGGCTTTGTAGGAGTGCACTTGCGGAGGAGCTGTAGCAAGATACAGAATTCTGTCACACCAAGACGGGATCCGATGCTTCGCCCACAACCAATTCTGGGCCTGCACGCTTTCGATTTGGAGCCCTGGAAAGGCCTCCGAGCTACTGCTTGGCTCGTCTTGGATGGCCTTTGCGATGGTCTGGGAGCTGTCGGATGCTAGAGTCTGAGCCTTCGAAGAATACTTATAGGTCGGCGCAAACGTGATTGGCGCCTCCGCAAGATTCTGCAGCGTCTGGTCGTTCGCCATCTCGCGAGTCAATTGGTCTTGCGTCAGCAGCTCTTTGAAGTCCACCTCGTCTGGGTTTGAGGTCAGAGGATGCGGCCAGGACTCATAGTCTTTAGGTTGTGGCTGCACATCAGAAGTCCGGTAATTCAAGTCGCCAGCCACGAAGACATAAGATGGAGGCGAGAAAATTGTATGGTGGCCTCCATTCTCGTTCCCGCTGCGAGAAAGCAAGGGCTGCTGCTCCGACGATGCTGCCATCCTGCCGCTTGCCGCACTAGGCTCAAAGACCAGGTTTTCGCAGATATTTTTCCAGTCCTCATTCCTCCGTTCCCACCGCGTCTCCATAGGAGCCAGATGGGCAGCGACATAGGTCAGCAGCACATCGTCTTCGAGACCGAGTCTAATTCCGACTGCGCCCTTGTTGCCCATCTCCCAGACACCCACCCCGGTGTCTGCCTCCTCGATCCGTTGTATGCTGTCTCTGAAGCTCTTCCTCGCAAACATCATGATCGCCGTCATTCCAGCGTTACGCGTGATGACATGTTCGTAGTCTGCATTTTTGCCATATCTCCCGTCGACGGATTTGAAGACTGCTTCTGCTAGCTTCGAGAAGTACGGTGTGAGCAGAGAGCCGCCCAGAAACGCGAATCCAATGGGAGAAATTTCTTGGAGGGCGAGGACGATCAGGTCTGGCGGCAGGGTGGCATTGGTGAAGCTGCCTGAGAGTGACGCTGCGAAGTAGTCGACATTGACCTCTTGCCGCCCACAATTGAAGGTGGTGAACAGGGAGCTGATATCGGCCATTTTGAGGTCATGTCGTCGTCAAGACATAGAGATGTGATCGGCAAGTGTGAGTAGTCGAAAGATGTTTATGCCAGACGTCATTGTCCTTGCCGTCGCCAAGTGGATGTTCACAGGGGTCGGAGTCGGAGCCAACTCCGGCTTCCTGCATCTGATTTCCTCCTGTGCTCCGGCTTCCACCTTCATACAATGACCATCTCCAGTGCCACATGCTCTCTCGTCGTCGAGCAGGCCAAGGCAAGGTCTGACGCTATGTTCTGCGTCGCAGGCATGATATCGCTGCCTTGGAGGTGTCGTGAAACTGATGATTGGAGGGCTGACCGGTGAGTGAGGCCGCACGCAGAGCGGCAAGCTGCAGCTGCACGTTCGTTACTGGCGTGGAGCCTCCGACATGCAGAGCTCATTTCTGCCTCCTCTACTTCCGTTTGTTGTCAAACAGACCAAGATCCTTCATTGCACTGCTGACAAGTGCACGTTTCCATCTCAACTCGGGAGCGCCGAGCATGGACGACTTCAATGACCTGAACTACGACATGTATCCTCAGCCGAGTCTGCCAGCAGTGGGTACTGAGGACGATTTGAGAGAAGGCTTGGATCCAGTCGAAGAAGGAGACAAGATCAAGAAGAAGGAAATCGGCCTCGAGGCCGACATTCGTCAGCTCTATCGCGAGGACTTCACAAAGCCCTGGACACAATGGAAGGGAGACGCCGAGAATGACAAAGCTAATCATCCAAAGAACTCGAAATACGCGCTTGTGGTAAGTGAGATCAACTCCCTTGTACCGAGACTGCACTGCCCGCCGTTGCGCGTGTCATACTTGTCTCAGCCATCGTGTATGGAGTCACATGTGATTAAGAGCCGATTCAGCTAACGCGATGCTTTGCAGGTTCGTCGTCAGATGAGCACCGAGTCTGACGACGGTCTTCAACTTCACTCTGTCACGGTCCAAAGCCCGATTCTGCGGAAGCTTCTTGACCATGTCTTCGAAGGCTCGCGCGAGGTCTGCACCACGATGAAGGACCTCACCTTTAAGCACCCGTTCCATGAGTTCCTTCATCGCTGGGACAGATACCTTGCTTGCGTGGACGGACTCGAAGGAGGTCTCGAGAAGCAGCACTTCGAGCTGCTTCATCATATCCTTGAGCCAGTTGTAGCGCCCCTTGTCCAACAGAAGCGAGACATCTTGAAGCAGAATAGAGTCGACTTCAAGCGACTCTGGATGATTTTCGAACCCGATTGCGAGATCACTACCCCGGAAGACGGCCGCCTGTTCACAAATCAAGACACGAAGTACGAACTGATCCCTGGCGGCGAGGCTCTTCTTCTTACAAGCAAATGTGTCAACTACAACGGCAGGTTCTTCGGCTACCAGGCCGTGACGCTGGGAATAGATAGCTTCGAGGGCTTCGGGACAATTGATGAGCTCGAAGTTGTCCCTGTTGCGCTTCATCCGCGTCGCGATGCCCTGATAGAAGAAGCAATCGCGCGAGGCAGAAGATTTGCAGACTTGTCAGGATGGCAGTACAAGTCCTACACGGGCATCGTCACCGTCATTGAGCAGCAAAAGCGGCCTCGCATGGTTACAAACGGCCGCATTGTCATCGATCCGGACCTTTATGGGACCAAAAATGGACAAGAAACGCTGGAGCCGCTCTACAAGGCTACCACTACTGCTGACAAGCCAACCAAGGCACCCTCCAATCGCTACGATCCATTCAGCTTCGACTCGTCTTACACAGGTAGATCGACGCCAACCATCATTAACAAAGGCGCCGAGAAATCGCATGCAGCAGAACTCAAGGATCACCATTATAGACTCTGTACGAACATTGTCAAGGGGTATTGTCTCACATCCAAGCAGTGGGCCAAGTTTGAGGTAGACGGCGTTGGCGAGATCAATTTCAGCAAAGCAGCGTTCAAGCGGCTCTTCCTTCCGCATGATTACAAAGAGCTGATCCTCGCCTTTGTCGACAGCCATCTGAATCGAGGAGACGATTTCGACGACATTGTTGAGGGCAAAGGCAAGGGCATGGTCATCCTGCTGCATGGCGCTCCAGGTCTTGGCAAGACACTCACAGCTGAAGCTGTGGCTGAAGAGATGCAGGTGCCGTTATATGCCATGAGTGCTGGTCAGCTTGGCTTTGATGCTGAGACCATCGAGTAAGTGACTCTCGTCTCTTGGAGCGCAACTGCAAGTGACTCTGTCTCCCTAGAGAGGCTGAGATCGTCATCTCTATTGCTGCAGTTGTGCCTCACGTGGGCCCTGAACCATTGCCGCGAGCTGACCTTTGACCACAGGTACAATCTGCAGGACGTTCTCGATATCTGCGCCAAGTGGGGAGCTGTCCTACTTCTTGACGAAGCAGATGTATTTCTCGAACAGCGGCAAATCACTGATATTCACCGGAATCGCCTTGTCTCGAGTAAGTTCTCTTCCGTGTTCCACGCGATCCGTGTCCAATTCAATCATCTGAACTTCCATCACTCTGCCACGGAGCTCTCGTCCCACATCGTCGCACCACGATGACAATCTCGCATCGAGCGACTGCCGTTCCAAGCCAGCTCTTATCCTGCGCTTGTGTCATCTCCCAGCTGACGTTCCTTACCTAGTCTTCCTCCGCATGCTGGAGTACTATCAAGGTTGTATGTTTCTCACCACCAATCGCGTAGAGACATTCGATCTCGCCTTCCGCAGCCGCATCAATCTTGCTATCGATTATCCCAAGCTTGATTTCCAGACACGGCGCCATATCTGGCGTACCTTCGTGCGACCTTCAGAGGACTTTCCGAATAATCATAGCGCGATTACCGAAGACCAGCTTTTCGACCTTGCCGAGCTCGATCTCAACGGAAGAGAGGTCAAGAATTTGGTCAAGACTGGTAGGCTGCTGGCGAAGCGCAAGGGTGAGCAGCTTGGAATCATGTAAGTTCAACACGACTACGCTCCACGGACCGGACATCCCAGTGCTCGGCGTTTCGGTCGTAGCAGATTCACGAGTGGATACTGATTACTTCCAGGCACATGATCTCGGTCATGAGCGTCCAGCGCGGACTTCCTGGCGATGGCAGCGGCTTCAAATACGCTATACCAGATGCCTTTCAAGTCGCGATGGGCAGCTTGGTCGTGGAAGCAACGATGAGAACCCGTAGGGGCATCAGTATGAGCTTCTAGGTCGCTTCCGCGAAGTTCGAGAAGCAGCGACAGTCGTTCGACTGCGTGTACCTTGGTCCGCCTTTGTACAGGCGAGCTGATACTCGGATGTCGTTGGTGTTGGAGATGCTCAACTGGGTAGTTGGCTCGAGGACTGCAGATTCTGTATCTCGACTGTCAAACACCTGCCTCTTCCATTGTAGAGATGACGACGAAGTCTCAATTGAATTTCTGCTGCACTTAGACCCTTCGTCATGCCAGAGTGAACATGTGCGCAGCATTGATACCAAGGGTGTATTTCTCGGCACGGCACGGCACGGCACGGCACGGCCTCCTGTTCCCACATCCCTCCCTCCTCCATTTACAACACACACTCCCACTCCGTCTTGCACGTCAACACCACCTCCCACCTCCCTCACGCTCTCTGGCAAGGATGAATGACCGCACAAAGAATATCGCACCTGAAACAAGGATGTGTCGCGGATGGACGTACCACGCTCCCGCGCCACGATATTCTTGAAACACATCGCATCAAGGCGGATACGTACGGGTCTTGACCGCGCTTGTCACCGGAACATCGAGTGGACACCGAGGTACAGTACCTATATAGAGGCGGACATCTGGTCTCCGCCACGAGGAACGCAGCAATACCATTCGTCTTGCTGCCCAACCTGGACACAACATGAGCTCTTGCCACGCTGTGGCTGCCTAGCTGGCTGGCCGTCTTTGACCCTTTTGGCTAGCCACATTGATATGCATTGCGTGAGTCAGGTCACTCTTACCATCACGTTGGAGGCTTCGCATTGGTGCAGCCAGCGATAGTTTATTTTGACCTCATACTGTGCACGCTGAGTGCTTTGGCTCCGACCAGGGCTGATGTCTTGCGGCTGAATAACCCACAATACCGGGACCATCGTCATCCTTCTTCGACCGCATGCGAGTGTTCGTCGAGAGCCACGCCTCAGAGGCGAGACCACGCAGTGATTTTCCCATCCGGACAAGATTACAAATGCTTCCGTGTTACGAAGCTCTCATCCTCATCGTGATTTTCTAGAATCAGCCCGTGGAGCACCAAATGAATTTGGTATAGCATTCGTACAAGCGGCACCAGTAGTACAGGGATTCCATAAATCGCAGACACATCATGGAGGCACCTGGGTTTATTTATGCAAAACCACGCGGCCTAGGACGTGCGACCACCTGGCGTGGCGTTCATGCGTTCCCAGCAACGTGGTGGCCACCAAGCCATCACGGCGCATAGGAAGCGGCGGCGCTTTCTCCTTTGATCGACAACTTGAAGCTGCTTTGCTTTTGGCGCATATTCTGCTCTTGCGCATTGGCTTATTACAGCTAACTGGGCCGGAATAGATGCAACAATCACTTCTCTGGCCTGCTTGCATTCCTGTTTCGGCCAACTCTGCAGTAGAATCTGCAAATAACCAATTGGGCGTTCGAGAAGAGCCAATCGCTTCGCGATCCTCTTCGATGGTTAGGGCTACACCACCGACGCCATCAAGCAATCAGGCCGCCAAATACTGACAGACTCCGCCTTACGGTACAGACCATGCCCCTGAGCTCCCGGCCTGCATCATGCGCCAAGCTTCATGTAACCCAGTTCGGCTTAACGGAAGCCATTTGTCACCTTGATAGCGACATCTCGTTTGGCGTCACTGGTAAAGGTCTCAGAGGATTGAAGTCCACTCGCCCAGCATAGACTACAAAGCCTGACTGCCATGAGCGCTTTCGTCTCACAAGTCTGCAGCCTCAAGCAGACTTCGCTCGAAACGGTGGCCTGACAATTTGGCACATGCCCAATTTGCTTTCAGCGTAGGCGAGAATTGCTACATGCTATCGTTGTCGACTAGCATGAAACGGACATCTCGGACACAACCACAACATTCTCGTGGACAGTATCGCAGAGGTCGGTGAAATTACCGGTATGGTTGCTCTATGTCACCTGTGTCTCGTCCTCCCACAAGTGCAGGGTACGAATGGATCGATACGGTGGCTTCTCAGCTCGACAGAAAGCTTCGCCGTCGAGACCAGCCGACCGCGAGGTATAAGATGCTGTCTGCCGGCACATGAATCTATTGTACGAGACAGCCTCATCCCTTCAGACAGTAATCGCTAGCAAAAGCTGCATCAGACACGGACCCACAGCACACCTCTTTACCTTATGCCTTCCTTCAAAGTGGCCATGGAGAATAACAGCAATGGCGGCAAGAAGTGAGAGGTCTTATCACATCGTAGAGAGAATGGTTTATTGACCCAGCAAACAGGGTGCCAGAAGTCCTGACTGGAGTCGGCTCGTACTTTGACAAAAGCGAGCAGAAGAATAAGGACGATCGAAAGAAATCGAAGATCCTAGAGCAAGGCGTGAAATCCGACAATAAGAGGAGCAACAACAGTGGATCTAAGAGGTAGCCGATGACTGCCTCTGTAAGCATGGTTTAGTCCCATATCGAATATTCGACCGATATGTTACAGCCCTTTTCCCCCCACAACAACCTTGCTTGACGATGTGGGTGAATTCGAGAGATAGTACCTGCGGAGAGATGCAACATGTTCCTTCCGATCATTCATCGAGCGATCGATGAAGGAAGCTGTGAGAGGCGAGGACAAAGATACCCATATGAGACATAAAGATGAAAGATGACAGACAAGCTACGGTACTTCAGGCAGATATTCAGGCACAGATATAGATTTGTACCACTCACGTCACGTCACAATGCAGATTTTGACGCACGCATGTCGATCCACGAGGGGGAACGGCGGTCCTGTCAATAATGAATGGTATGTCGTCTTCTTTACGCAATCCAGCTGCCTTCGCAAAACGTGAGGCTGTCAAACGACTGAATGCATCCTCACGCCTTGCCGCGTCCCAGCTGAAAATTTCCCATTCGTGCTTGGCTCTGCAGGAGGATCCCGTGGATGTGACTTCCGGTTTCCTTTCCGGTGCATGGCGGACTGTGGCGCAACATCCTGTGTCTCCCATGTCCTCGAGACTAAACCGAGCCCCAGCTACCCGCCCGAGCCCCAGTATAACCCGAGATTACGAGATCGGCTGTTCTATACAAAATCGCGTATAGAAGCGGATAATCGCGTCGCTGCAGCCCCTCCGACCGGGCAACTACTATACTGCCGCTAGCAGCTATAAAGCCAAAGTTTATTAGTAAATTAGTAGTATAGCAAAATTCAAGGTATTGTTAGTTGTTAGCTATCTACTTAGGTCTAAGCGGATTGCGACCTGCCGCCTTATAACTGCGCGAAGCTGTATATGCTAGCTTACACTAGTCTCTTAGCTACTAACTAGTATACTACTATTGCTAAGTAAACTAATAGTACTAAGTAAACTAATAGTGCTAAGTAAACTAATAGTACTATTATTATAGTACGTTATAGTATAGAGGGCTTATTATCTGCCGTACTAGCTGTATAAGCGATAACTACTAGCGGTAGTACTAAGTAGCCTATTATCGTTATTGCTTATAGAATGCCGCCTATTAGCGGTTATATTCTACCTATTGTCTTGCCTACTATTCTTCTAACTATAGACGGTTGTTCTTACGTACTCGAAGGTCCTTAATCTCTCGGCGAAGTAGATCTAGCTTAGAAGGTAGCTCCGGAGCAGCTAGAAGTAATAATAAAGGCTTAACTCGTAGATTATAACACTCGAAGCCGCTTAGATAGCAAGTAGAGCTATACGGTCGATTAGCCTTCTAGTAAGGGCACTATTAAGTGCGGTATTGGCTCTTTACGTACTTATAGTACTTAACGGTAGTTCTTAACTAAGTAAGCGATACGCTAGGCTCGAGTATAAAGTCCGCTATTCTTACTATTAAAGTCTTCCGCTTCTTAGCCGCTATAGTCTTATTTAAATTATCTAGTTCTCGAGCCGTTACTACTCGCTTTATAGTATATAATATAGCTCCGCTAGTAAGAGGTTTACGGTTGCTAAAGATTACTTCCGGTTCTCGTAGATTAAACGTTCTACGGAAATTAATTAACTAGTGCTTATAGAAGTAGCTCGGCAATAGTATAGCGCGGCTTCTACCTGTTTCGAGAAGCTTTATAATATCGTATTTGCAAGGATAACTATAGGTCTTGCTAAGGTAGTCGTTATAGCGGCATTATAAGTAGGTATACGAGTACGCTAAGTGCTTAATCTCGTTGCTATTCTCGTTAGTTGTAGTCCGTAGGAGGTCGTTAGCGCGTTAGTATAGAACCTTTACCTCGAGAAGGTAGTAATCGCTTACAACTCGAGAAACGCTTACCTAAAATAGTCTAGTAAGTGCCTTATTACACCTCTTTAGGTTCTTAGCAAGGCGAATACAGCGACGGTTATACCCTTCTTTCTACTAGTTAAGAAGGCTCTTAAATAAGGTAAAGATATCGTAGCGGCTACTATAGTTAAGCTAGACTTTAATACGTCTATACGTAGCTTTAACTCGCGAGGTTATCTTATAACTAAAGTATAGAACTTCGTTAGTCTAGCAGTCTACGATATAGACCTTATATCGCTACTAGTTGTTATTAAGATAGGCCTTAAATATAGGATATACGTTGTCCAATTTCCGTACGTTCTTATTAAACTCGGCTTTAGTCTAGCTATAGATTGTATAAGTAAACAACCGTAGAAACTTGCTAGTTTGCGGACTGTTAATCTAGCTACCGTTAGCGCTCTTTACTTATCTAAACTCCCCCCGTTCCTTACGAATACGAGTTAATATATCTTGCTATAGATGCTAGTTATATACGATATTCTTAGCTTCTAGTATAACCTCCTTAATAGCGTAGATTAGTAACTCTTCGCGATTAGTACTAATAACTAGGGGCATTAGACAACCGGCTTGTTCGAGGCCCTTCCGTAGTAAGCGTAATAACTCTACAAAGTCCGGTTTATCTAGCTTCGGACGGACAAGGCTAATACTAAGCTTAATAGTGTTATTTATAGGTCTAGCGGCGATAATATCTAATAACTCGAGGTTATAGATATTAGTAGAGTATATAGTGTCGATAACAAGAGTATATAGTATAGTCTTAAAGGCCTCGATAGACTTAGGGTAGAGGGCAACTATATATCGAATTGCACCGTTCTCGGGGTTAGTATAGATATCGTAGTATATATTATTATCGACAAGTAATTAAACTAGGCGCTAAGCCTAGTTCATCTATTATCGAGCGTCTATATTACGAGCCTATATAATATTCCGTACGTCCTTTAGTTTAAGAATAATGCTACGGCCGCGGAAATAGGCTATAATCTTCGAGGTTAGTATTCGAGCCTACTATAAGCGCTCTAATTGCTCGAGAAACTCCGTAGTTCTCGAGCGACGCCTATACGTAGTAAGAGCGATAATATCGTCCTTCTCGTAGTTATAGAAATAGTAATCTTCTTTAGTAGAATAACGGATAACTTATTAACCTTTAGGCTAGCTAGGGTTGATAGCAACTACGTAGAAGTAGAACTAATAGCCTATCTTCTTCGAGATTAACTTCCGCTTTATTACTTCTTGCTTCTAGATACTGTAAGAAGGGTCTGTTAGTAGGTAGATAGGGTAGTAGTAGGTATAGGTAGTATTCGATAAGGAGCTAGGAGGAGAGGGAGGAAGGTAGGCAAGTTAGCCTATTGCTAAGCGCCAAGCCCTACCTAAGGCACTAAGACCCTAGCTTCACTTAGCCTAGTTACATACTAATTACGTATAGCCTCTTTAGCCCTAATACACGCTTCCCTTCTAAAGGCCGCGCCCTCGTAGCCTGTCTATGTTCTACGACCTCTATTACCGCTAACTTAGCAAGTCTAATAAGCTGCTTAGCCCGTACTAAATTAAACACTTAACTACCTGATTATGTAACTATATCAAACCTTACCTTCTAATATAATGTCTAACTCTAACTACGCTATCCTTGTATATAATAAAGTAAAGGGACATAAAGCTATAAGAATTAAGGACTATCGACTAATTACAATACGAGCGCACCTTCCCTACTACAATAGGTAGGTATACGGGGTATTGTAGTACTGCCTCCGTTCTAAGTAATATCGTATTAAGTTCTTTGCGTCTACTCTTAAAAAACCTAGCAATGTCCGCTTCCGAGGGTTATCCGCTTCCGAGGGTTTGTTCTTATTGTTACGAGGGCTATTATTTACTTTTTAGAAAAAACACAGCTCGTCTAGTTTCTATAGGTAAAGGCTATTATAAGTGCAGTAGTTGAGGTTCGCCTCGCTTAAAGGGTTAGAAAGATCGAGGAGTAACCTATTGTCCGCAAGATCGACCCTAGCTAGCTTAGCTCTATAGTTTTGCCCTTAGTTAGTTAGTCTATTAGTCTACTTAATCTTTTAAGCGGCTCAAAGTTTTGACTTAGCCTTAAAGTTTGATTAAAGTTTTAATTAAAGGTGCCTTAAAGTTTTGACGTAGGTAAGGTTAATAATAGTAGCGACTAGGTAATATTAATAATAGCGGCGCTAGCTGTCTTAGCGCTAACTTCACCTTGCTTCCAGTTTCCTTCCCGCAATACTATTACTAATATAGCCGCGCCGGCCGCGCCGCCCTTCGCTAGCTCGTAGCGCGACGCTATTATCTTCCTTACCGTTATTCGTACGCGCGCGCGTATCGCCCTTGTCGATCGCTTAGGCCTTAGGGCTTTAATAGAATAGAGGAACAAGAGGGGCGCTAAGAGAAGAGTCTTATAGGGTGCGCTAGTAAAGAGGTAGATTCTATAGTAGTATAGTCTTATTGTCCTTTGTTGCTAACAATTGCTTGCCTCTAATTAGTTAGCTAATAGCACCCCGGGGGTAGTATTGTTCCTAGGTAACATTATAGGCCCTTAGCCTTCTTCTTGTTCTTTATACTAGTCTAATACTTATCTAACAACTTAGTTATGTCCTTAAAGGAACCTTTAGCTTCCTATAAGTCCCATTTAGGTAAATAGCCTTACTATCTTAATAGGTACTCCTTCTTGCCTTGCCTAGTCCGGTGCTTTAGAATACGTTCTATAGACTATAGCTCTTTACTATCCGCTAGTATATCTTTATATTTAGTAGGGGCTTTATCCCCCTTATATAGGCGATATAACTTAAGGAGGGATATATAGAAGGTATTATAGATAGTGTAATAAGGAGGAAGCTACAACTAATAGGCCTATACGGAGGGGCCCTTAACTTCTCGAATACGGAATAGACCAATGTATCTTAGTGCGAGCTTAGGCCTTGTTTTACCGTTAGGTAATAGGTGCTTGCGGATACGGAGGTTCTTAGTGCTTAGCATAACTATATCGCCTTGTTTAAAGGTCCTTAGCGTATAGTGCTTATCGTAGTAGGTCTTTTAGTACTCTTGAGCCTTTATTAACTTTTCGGCTATCTTAGTATAGATTTCCCGCATCTTCTAAACCCTCTTAATAGCCGCTAGTGTTTCGGGTACTTAACGCGCTTCCCTTTCCTTACGCTCGGCCTCGAGCGATAGGGGGTCTTATAGCATAGCAGCGTTCTAGCCTATTATAGCTATATAGGGTGAGACCTTAGTTAATAAATGCATACTGTTATTATATACGAATTCGGCTAGTTGTAGAAGGTTAACCTATCTATTAGGGTCTTTATTAATATAGCTACGTAGGTACTACTATAGCGTAGCATTTTGCCTCTCTATCTAACCGTTAGTCTGTAGATAGAAGGCTGTTAATAGCCGATGCTTCAGTCTTAGCTGTAGGCATAATTCGCTCTAATAGTGCGATATAAATATCGAGCCCCTATCGGAGACTATCCCCTTAGGGGTCCCCTAATAGCTGTAGAAGATGTTGTTCTATAGGGCTTTAGCTATATTAATAGTAGTCTAATCCTTTCGAGCAGGAATGTAACGAGCACCCTTAGTAAATCGGTCTATAATAACTAGTATAGCGTTAAAGACGTCTTTGCTTCCTCTTCGCTTAGTAGGGGGAAGACCTATAATAAAGTCTATTATAAGCTCTGTAAAAGGCTTCTTTAGAACAGGGAGTAAAGACAACTCGCTAAATAGTAAGTGCTTTAGTGCTTTGACTCGCTAGTATACTATACAGGTCTATATATACTCCTTTATATACCGCTTACTATTTAGCTAGTAGTGTATACGCGATAGTAACTCGTGCGACCTCTCTGTGCTATAGTAACTAGCGAGTTTACTATTATAGTACCTCTTTAAAAGCTCTTGTCTAATCGATTGTTTAGCGGGGACATAATACCTGCCCTTAAACTTTAAGTAACCTTTATCGTCGATCGACTAATTGTTATTACTCTTACTAGATCGAGTCGCCCGCCTACTTATAAGCTTATTAATGCGCTCGACAGTAAAGGCGTCCCTCTACTAAGTACGTAATAGCTTATCTATAAACGATTAACTATCCCTATTTGTAAGGTTATTTAATAGCACCCGTACTATCGAACGAGGTACGCATTGCATATATCTAATAGTACTAGTAGCTAGAACTACTGCAACCTCTTCTATAGTGCTGTCGCTATATAGGCTATTACTATAGATAGCAATGTCTTTAATCGAGTTATTATAGCTCGAGCGATCTACGTCCTTTCTTTTAACGTACACTAGAAGAACGACAACTCCGCTATAGTATTTGTTGTCGCCGCAGGGTCCGGAAGTCCGCTTATCCTACGCTTACTTATTAATAATACGGGCTATAGCAATCTTATACTATAGGGTTGGAAACAAAGAATTGATGTATTAGGTCTCGCTATCGTAATTAGGTCGCCTCGATAGGCTATCGGTAGGGTTACTTACGCCTAGCCGGTATAATATATTAAAATTAAACCCGGCGAGGTAGACGGCCTATCTAGCCTGTCGACCTATAACCCTAGTAACCTTAGTAATGCTACGGAGGTTGTTATAGTCTGTATAGACCTAAATTGTGTACTAAGCACTATCAAGATAGTAGTGCTAATGCTTAAAGGCTTTAACAATAGCTAAGAGCTCTTGCTCGTAGGTCTCGTAGCGACGTTTAGTATTAATTATCTTCCTCGAGAAGAAGGCAATCGGGTACTAGTAGGTATTATTAGCCTGTTATAATATAATAGCTAATACAGCGAACTATAAAGCGTTAGTCTCAATTCGGATCTGTTTGCTTAGTACGAAATAGTGCAACAAGGGGACTTTAGTAAATCGCTTCTTTAGACCGTTAAAAGCGGCTTGCGTTTTATTAGTCTACCTAAACTCTCTAGAAGGGTTTGCCTTAGTCTTAGTAAGCTTAGTTAATAGCATTATATACCTCGAATAGCCCTTAATAAAACGGCGGTAGAAATTAGCGAAGCCGAGGAACGATTAAAGCTTCTTAATAGACGTAGGAATAGGCTATTTAGTAATTGTTTTAATCTGATTAGGATCAGCCTTAACACTATTAGTTAATACGATAAAACTAAGGAAGGCTACCTCCTTAGTAGCAAAGGTGCATTTAGAAGGCTTGTAATACAGTCTATAGGCTCGTAGGCGGTTAAGGACCTTACGGACTATAGCCTAGTGCTCCGCAATGTTAGGTAAGTGTATGTAAATTAGGATGTTATCTAGGTAAACTATATAGAGGTGATCTAATAGGCCTAATAGGGCCCGATTAATATAGGACTAGAATGTAGTAGGGGCATTAGCTAGCCTAAATAGCATAACTAAGTACTCGAAATAGCTATAGCGAGTGCGAAAGGCTGTCTTCTATTCATCGCCCTTACGAATACGAATGCGGTAATAGGCGTCCTTAATATCTAATATAGTATAGTAGTAGGTACTAGAAAGGCGATCGAGGGTCTTATTAATAAGAGGAAGTGGATAGCGATCTTTAATAGTAACAGTATTAAGCCTACGATAATCGATATAGAGGCGCAGGCTACTATCCTTCTTTAGTACGAACAGGATAGGGGCACTAGTAGGGCTGTTACTATACCGAATGCGGCTATTAGCTAGGTTTTCCTCTAAGTACTTACGCAATATAGCAAGCTCTCGCTTACTAAGGTTGTAGAGGGGGCCAAAAGGAACCTCCTTGCCCTCTATAATGTCAATCTTATAATCTATCTCCTTAAATATAGGCAATGTCGATGCTAGGTAATGTTTAAATACATTAATATAGGTCTCTCGAATAGGTACTAGTATACGTTCGAGCTAATTAGGGTCTATACTATTAGGGGGTATAGGTTTATCGTTATTACTACCGAGCAGGTCGGTAGTCGGATTAGCTAAGGCGGAGGCTAGTATTAGGTTGCTAATAAACAGGACCCTAATATTATTAGAATACTCGCTAATATTAATGTGTTTAATGTCCTCTTTCCTAGCGATTCTAAATCGCTATTATTAACTGCCTAAGTCTATAACTATAGCATAGTACTTAAGAATAGGGTTGCTAATAACAATATCGGATAGGAGGCTATCTATATCTACCGCGTAGGCAGTAAAGTTTAGTAGGCGTTCATTTCCGAGGTTGTCTTTTAGAACTATAGGAACATAGTAGGCCCTATAGGTTAAGTGCCGAGCGTTATTAAACTAAGCAAGGGTTAGTAGGTTAGTTTTCGGCAGTTGTCGGAGGTCTAATTGCTTAGCTAGGCGATAGCTAATAAGGGCACTAACTGAATTTCCGGGGTCTAGTATAACCTTTGCCTTATAGTTAGTGTCGCGCCTAGATATAAGACAGGTACGTATAATAGCTAGCACAATGTCGATAGTCTTACGCCGTATAAGGCTAACAGTTAGTACGGCGCTTACTCTTTTTTCGACTAATTAAAAGAGCCGACTAGGGTAGCATTAGCGGCTAAAAGGTGTTTCCTATACTTAGCGGAGGCACGGTTAATTCGGGCCTAGTCCTTAGGTTTGTCGCATTAGCTTAGTAGATAGCTAGTGCTATTACAATTGAAGCACTTTAATCCGGTTAGGGGGTTGCTATAGCCGCTATTACTACTATTATTAGTTAAGCGATTAGTACTATAGGGATACGAGCCCCTTCTACGGCCCCTATCGCGGCCTCCTTTATATAGCCGGCGGCTACGGCCTCTTCTACGGTTATTGTTACTGTTCCTATTATTAGTATTATTATTATAGTAGGAACCTTAATTTCCTCCGCGGCTACTACGATTGCCGCGGTTAGTACTAGCTAGCTAGATCCTCGATTCTAGTCGTTATTAGAGCTAGATAGCTCGTTCGGCTGTTTCTACTTCGACTATAAATTAAATGTATATTAGGTTAGCTTATTCGAATATACGGCGACGGTCCAATTCGAGGATAAGTTCCTATCTAAGTTTTAGGCGTATTTCCGAGATCTATATAGAATTAGTCTTAGGCGGAAGGTTATCCTCGAGGGTCTTTAAATAGGCTTTAAATAAGCGAGCCGATTAATTAGTCTTCTATTTAGCTCGAAGATATAGGTCCTAAGTATGTTATTGCCTTAGTATAGGGTTTCTAAGGGTATCTAGTATAATAGTTTTGTAGGTCTGCTACTAAACAGCGGTCTAGTCGTCGAGGGAGTCGAAATAGTTATCCTATATACGCTTTAGGTCGCTATTAATATACTATATAGCGTATACGACTAAGGAATAGTCGTCTAGTAGCGCTCTTAGTATATTACGCTAGTTGAGTTTACAGTTACGAATATAGTCGTTATACTGCTTTCGACTAGAGCTATTAAACATAGTGCAGTCCTTAAGTTTAGCGTCCTTCTTTTAGATAGGTAGTAAAGAAGGTCCTACTATTAGCTTAGCAGTAGTTATTAGAGATTCCTAGAGGCGGCGAATCTCGAGAAGATTATCCTTTAGCTATTGTTCTTAACGCAAGGCAGTAAGCCTGTTTTAGGTAGCTTCTTAAAGCCTCGCTACTAGCTAGGGGCTAAAGGCTAGTTAGCTATATCGACGGTTAATAATATTGCTAAGAATATCGTTAATAGGCAACTCTAGGTCGTTACCTAGAATTATAGGTTCTTCGGCAGGCCTAGCAGCAGGCTCTTTAGTAGGAGGCACTTTAGCAGGTGCTCCGGTAGGCACTTTAGTAGGAGGCGCTTTAGCAGGCACTGTGCCGCTAGCGTTGTCGTTGCTAGCGCTGCTAGCGGTAGCACGGTTGTTATTTCGTAATAAACTAGCTATTATAAGGGGCGATACTAATAATATATTATTAGCCCCTAAGATGCGGGTATAGCGGAATTAGCGAGTATCGTTCTAATATACTTGACTTAGTGTAATAGGCCGTATAGAAGGCCTTACTTAATAATTAGTACGGTTGTTTTAATAGAATAGTACGTATAGGTCCCGTTCTTTAGGCGTAATATAGTTAGATTAGTCTTATTCGTAGCTATACCGCTAAAAGCTTGAAATAAGAACTATCTAGCTGCTGCCCTTAAAGGGTAGATCGAATACTGTATAAGAAGGGTCTATTAGTAGGTAGATAGGGTAGTAGTAGGTATAGGTAGTATTCGATAAGGAGCTAGGAGGAGAGGGAGGAAGGCAGGCAAGTTAGCCTATTGCTAAGCGCTAAGCCCTACCTAAGGCACTAAGACCCTAGCTTTACTTAGCCTAGTTATATACTAATTACGTATAGCCTCTTTAGCCCTAACAGATACGCTTATCTAGTAAGCCGAAGCAACTATATACCTAGCGGTAGCGATATTTTATACTATTCTTATTCTTCTACGGTTTGTACTGCTTAAACTCGTATCTAGTTGCCTTTCCGAAGGTATAGATATACGACTTAAGGGCTCGATAAAACGGAAACTACGACTCGCGCGGTATTAGACTACGAGAGCGCTCCTTTAGTAAGAATAGGTACTTCTAAGGGCGTAGTAATACTAATCGATAGTTAGGAAGCGATATATGTTCTCGAGGCACGTTTAGTAAGCGACTACGACCTTAAATACGTATTTCCTATAACTTAATAACTACCGCCGAGAGCGCGCCTTCTATCGCTATTTCTACCTCTTCCTACGACTTAACAACTACCGCCGAGAGCGCGCCTTCTATCGCTATTTCTACCTCTTCCTACGACTTAATAACTACCGCCGCCGCCGCTATTACTACTACGCTATTACCGCCGGCGATAACTTTATCGAGAAACTCGTCGTAGGATAAAGATTTAGCTATTTTCGGTAGTTACTAGGCAATCTACTACAAAAGGGGGAAGAAATGCGAACTTTAGGTCTATAGTAGAATTCGAGGCGCGACTTCCTAGGTAATACGCTACGCGCCTATTAATAATACTAACTAGGAATAGAAACAGCCTATATTAGGCGGAAAGAGCACGTAATTTAATACAGAGGCGATTCTACAATGGTGCTAGCACCGGGTTATGCTAGGGCTCGGGCGGGTAGCTGGGGCTCGGTTTAGTCTCGAGGCTCCCATGTGTCTCTACGTTCTTCGTGCCACTTTCTGCTAACCGCAAGTGGTTAGATTTGACAATGGCGTTGGAATTCCGCGTCTGCCGCGAAGTACACCTCCCAACCTCACCCGTAAACACTCTACCGTCCATCGAGCAATGGCTACCGAACTGTCGATTTTCATTCACCCTTCTATGCCTGCCGAACCAACCCCCCAGTCCTCAGTAAATGCTACCTGCATCCTCGGGCCCGAAGGCGTCCTCGGTATTAAAGGAAGCTGAGTGAGTAGAGTGATCAAAACTCGCAGCATGAAAAAAGAAAAAAAACATTACTAAATGGTTCAGACACCTTTTTGGGGATTGGAGCTCAGTTTATCAATGGGGATGGTAGAAAGGGGAATGGGAGGTTGGTTATGGAAAATGTCACTGAGGGGTTGGAGTTGGGTGTGGAGGAGTTAGAGAGGATCATCGCGCCTCGAGGGAAATTGGCGGGTAGTAGTGATGGGGAGTCCGTGATGGGATTTGGATGGGGGTTCTTGGGATTGAGATTCTAGCCATGATGCTGGGATAGAGATGAGAAGTCTGAGTGGAGTGGCAGGAGATTGATAGGCTTTTTATGTGTCTGATGGAATAGCTTCTTGCCGGCATAGGGAATATTGGATCACTCGTACAACTTCCAAGCAGCTAAATCCTTGAAATACGGTTTGAATCTAGATATAGCGAGTAGCGAGATATTTTACGTACGGCCAACAGTTTGTAGTGCGAGATGGCGGATTTGTGAGACTTGAGGGCTGGGAATTTTGAGCTTCTTGATTCATCGATATATTTCCGAGAATCCAAACACCGCTCCGGAAGTTGCCTCACTCACTGCATCAAGGGAACAACTGTTTGCGAAACCCTTCCTCCCACCTAACCCTCCCAGCATTCCCAACCGCAATCCTCCTCAACTCAACCCCACCCCCCTTCCTCCTCCTACCTTTCCCCTTCCTCTCCAGAACCCGAACACGATCCGACTCCAAAATCAAAACCTCCAAACCTCTGCTAAGAAGACAAAGTTGTGCCCGAATCCTCGTGATTGCGAAGCGAGAAGTATTAATAAGGCCCGCGATACGTTTCGTATCACGTACAGAGGAGGAGGATGTCTGGAGGAGAGTGTTAGCAAGGGAAATGTCATCGGAGATTCGATTCCAAAATGCAAGATGATGGCGATGGTGGGGGGAAGAGAAGAGGGTATGGAGCAACTTACATTTCCTCGGTTTGAAATTTTTGACTCGAGCGGGGAAGGAAGTTCGATGGTATTTTTCGCCTGTGAGGAGGAGAGTTGTTTTGGATTCGGTCAGGGTTGTTTTGAGGTGGGTGAGGGCTTGGGTTGCTCGGTGGTGGAAGTCGAGATGGAAGGATTTGGGGTGCTTTGTGTTCAGATGCTGGCATTTTGGACAGTGGCCTAGGAGGATGATGTAGGCTTTGATCGGGTGGGTGCAGATGTGTTGGTCGGCTAGTTCGGAGAAGGTGGAGAAGACCCTGTCGAAGGTGTGTTTGTTGGCGTTGGGTTGATCGATGGTGATGACTGCGTAGTGTAAGCAGTTGTAGGTGAAGAGTGTGGGTGAAGGGTCGTGGACGAGATGTTCTGCTGGGTTTGGGGAGAGTTTGATTGGGAGGGCGATGAGTGGACTTACCAGAAGTCTTCGTATTGCTTGGAAATATGTGCCTAAGCACATACAGTAAGAGAGGCATCTTGTGTTCGTTAGAAGTTGTCTATGTGAGTGAGAAAGAGGTCTGAGTGCTGGGTGCTAAGCCTGCCTTAAAAGCTTAATACTTCTGTGAAAGACAAAACATTGCTAAGTGATTAGAAAAATAGAGAGGAAGGCAAGACAACAGCAATGCAAGCATTGTGGTTGGAGAACAATTCCATTCATCGACCTCTCGTACACGGCGCAGATTATTCGTCTCAAGTCAAAGCGCAGTAGCGTGATTCGCATGTCAGGGATCATACCCCAAGGGCGTCTTCAAGAAAATCAGCGTGACATTCTCCTAAGTAGATCTTTCTGATCAAACCTCAAGCACAAGTCCACAGCAATGCACCTAATCGTACATTCCAGGTGCATACTTCGCATACGAGTACTCAGCCTGATCCCCAGGCTTAATCCACAGCGCTTCCTCATCCTCCTTGTTGAGAGTTCGCTCCAATTTCCGATTGTGTTCCTCAGCCTTTTGTCTCTTCTCTTCCCACTCCTTGGCTTTGTTCCAAGCACCAAAATCGAAGTCGCTCTCTGGTGGCGCGACTTCTCCATAATCCGCACGAGCCTGTTGGGCCTTGTCCGCCTCAGCCTTGGCATTCAGATCATCAAGTATACGGGCGAGCTCAGGTTGCATCTGCGGGGCCTCAGTCGACTTCGCCTGATCTTCTTCTGGCTTTGTCTTGCTTTCAGCCACAATCCTAACATCGTTGATGCCGTTGAGGAATGCTTTGATTAGGCCTCGTTCGGAGACAGTTAGGACCGAATCTGTAGAGATCTTGCCGTTCTTGATCTTCTCATAGCGAGCCCGTCGCTCAGCGCGTTTTCTCTCGTTCACGCCAGTCAATGGCTTAGGTCCTGGGTAGATCTTACGGTGTGCCCGGATTTTGCGATTCGTCCACGCTTCAGCAGACTTTGGGAAGTCAAGGTACCAACCACACACGCCGCCATGAGATGAATACCGACGATAGCGTCCATTGAAGGACAGCTCGTACCAAACATCGAGCTGGCGTTGCCGACGGCGAGCGGTGAAGTCCGGCTTGTGCTTGGGATCCTCAACTGGGAGTCGGCTACTGCGTTGCACCTTTTGCACTCGCTTCAAACCAGCAAAGCGGTCGGTGAAAAGGGGGTTTGGCGCTTCGTACGCCGTCTTGCGGTGGTCTGGGTTCTTGAACTCGCGCTTGGTTCTTCTGCTGTCGTTTCCGGACATGATGTTTGGTATGCTGATGGTTTGCTGCGGAAGGATAATGAACAGATTGGTGGATTCCAGGCCAGCTGGCAGAATATGATCAGTGGAAAGTCGCGAGAAGACGAAGTGAATGTAGAGAGTATGAGGGAGACGAGTCGTGGAGTCGTGAATGCGACTTGTCTGCTGAGGGTCTTCACCAACAGTACAAAGAGCTCTCTTTGTCTCTAATCTTGGATGAATTGGTGTCAATCTCCCACTTCGTGTCTTGAATGACGAGAGACAAAGAGAAGTCTTCGACTCCCTGCGGAATTCTTGGAGATGTGTTGGGGTTCTCGTAGTGTCCATCCTGAGGCAAATGCATTGCCTGGGCGGAAATATGCGCATCGGTGGAGGCGTGTGGTGTACACGGCTGTTCTTAATGCTACATCTATACAATCATAAGCTTTACACAGGCACATCATGCGTCCTCACCGCTGTGGCAGCATGTTGGAAATGGCTTTGAAGTAAGGCTTGTGAACCTTCTCCGAGATTTCCTCCTTGGTGAGCCAAGCAAAGTCCTTGACTCCAAGTTCGCTGCTGGCAACATCCGCTTGGCCTGCCATTATGCGTGCCTTCATGAAGAAGACCTTTTCGCCGTGCTCTTCCTGCTCAAACTCCTTCGTGGCAGTGGCCACCAGCTTGTGGGGCAGAATTTTGGAGATTTGCGGCTCACTGAATCGTTGAACAAGATGCCCCACAGGGTGTCTACCGACGACCCAAGTGTTCATATTAATGCCCGCAGCCTGGAGCAGGATTCGTTCGGCAGCCTAGGAGCATCAGTCAGCACGCCGAAAGCAGGCTTCACCTTTTGAACGCGACATACCTGATACATGCTTTCTCTACCGTATATCCGATCCTGTGGAAAGCGCCACCTCCCTTCTTGGTCTTGTACCAATAGATAGAGGCTGCGATCCAGTTTTCGGCTCAAGCTCTTGATGTCGTTCTCTCTGTCCGCTTCCGTGATGCGCGGGGAAGGTTTCTCAATGACAATATCTCCGATTGGTTTTAGCCCGCCCTCGCCAGCTTTCGCATTGCCACTGACAGCTTCTCCGCCAGTTTCTGCGTCTCCCTGAGGCTCGGCATCAACAATGTCCTTCCCCTCAGCATCTCGTATTAACTTGGCAACAATGTCTTCAGGCTCGCCCAATCGACTGCCAACGCGCACCTCATCATCCCAGCCTTCTTCATCGTAAGCATTGTAGACACCAACATCTCTCGCCATTGCCTTCCGCGCTTTCGCCTTCCGTTTGAATTCGACCAGCTGGGGCGTGCTTTTCTTGAAGTAGAAGTATCGTGTGAAGGGTAGGGCCAGTCGCTCATTGAGTCTCTTCTGGTACAGATAGAATGCTTTTTCGAATGAGGTCAATTCGCGGGTGATTAGAGGTGGTCGTGATAGCACAGGACTGCATGATACCCTGAATGCCTTTCGTGGTCCAGTCTGCGTTACGGGCGGATTCGTAGGTGCACTCTTTGACGGTGATTGTGTGGGTTGCTCAATCTCGGCCACCGCTGCCGCCGAAGCATATCGTCTTGATGCGACGCCATTCCTTCGTATTTGGTTCAAACATGAGCTGCATAGCGTGTCGCGTGAGAAGACTACGCTGTGTTAGTGGCCGGACGTGGGGCAGAGCAAGTAATATATACCATTCTGCGAAGCTATCCGCCTCGCGCTTCTCTGTCCAGGACTCATGCTTACATACACGATGGACTGAAGAATCAGTGCTTCACATGATGCTCCGAGTCCATATGCGTCTCTCATGTCCAACTCCAGGCCCAAAGTTTCGGCAGTCTTCTCCAAACGGCATAGCGCCATTTTGGCTTTCGCCATTTCGACTTCTCCCAGCCCACGCTTTCGACTTTTCTTTCTCCAACGCACAATTCCTTATCATCATGGGCACTTACACCTTCGTGGCCTCCTGATCATTTACACGTGCGGACACCGACCGAGCAGTCTTTTTCGCTAGCGGCACCTTCGCATAAACTCCAAGGGAACTGTTAGATAGATACTGCCGACAGACCTGGACACTCCTTCGAAATTGCCCCAACGTATACTGTAGAATACGAATCTCGCACGCGGACTTCGTGGGTCTTATTGGCCCGGTCAACCTCGCCTTCACATGTTTCTGCGCGGTCTCGACGTGCTTCGGCCATCTCAAGGAATCCAAGACGGAGGCGTCGGTCCAAGTTCCTGAACCCAAGAAGGACTAGGGGGCTCATTGGGTCATCTAGCCACCTCACTTGCCTGCATTTGAGCTCGCTGTATTTGGAGACCGAGATGAAGTCTCCTGTGGACCTGCTTGGCCGCTCTGCTCTGCGGGACATACTCCCGATGTGGCTTCCTTTGCAGCAGGCTCTTCCAGAAGCCCCTGTATGCTGGAGTGCTCGGAGCTACTCAGGCCAATACCGCTTCCACCCTGCGCAATGTCGAATTGTGCTCCTGCTCCTGCGACAGCCTTTGATGACATTCTCAGGACTAAGTGTTAGTAAATGCCAAAGCTCTCGGTGATGTGGCCTGTGGCGGTCCACCTACCTATTCGTTATGCAAAACACTTTTGAGATAAGTTCTGCTGATGATATCTGCTGACAGAAGTACGAGGAGTGTGCTTTGCAGGACGGAATGATTTTGATGTCGAGTGCTGGGCGATAACTTCAAAAGACATGTTCTGCGAGCTGCAAGGCTTTTCGAACAACTAGAAGAGGTGAGAAGAAGAGGCGGTCTACAGATTGGGCCCAATGATCATCACCAGACCATGGACTCTGCGTCACAACACGGACTTCGATGCCAACACAACCCCAATCAAACATCACTTTCCGCACCTGGTACGAAGTCACTTTTCAGGAACAGGTATTCATCAAAGCGGTCAGGCGTCAAGACAGGTCATTTGTAGCCAAGATCGATTGCGACCCGCGACGCGACTCCCACGCTGCTCTGTGAGACCATAGCAGCATCGTATCCCCAATTTGCGAGGATCAGTCTGCCTCAAAACTGAGCGCGGCTAGGCTCCGTTGGCCTCACGTTTACCGCCAGACGCCAAAGGCAGCATCATCCAATCGCAGCGTTTATCTATAGGCAAATACATGGATCCAGCCCTCAAAGGAGTTAGCTGCGTAAGCTGAGCCATTTCCAGCATGTCACCCTCTTAGTCTGACCTTGGATAGCAGGGAGGGACCGGACCGAAGACAAGACGTGCTTGATTGCTGATCTGCTCTCGTGAAAGATTTCTGCATTATCAAAGTCTTTTGAAATCATCTCAAGCGCAGAATCTGCGCCTCGGAAGCTTCAGCGTGTTAGCTAGACTCACGCCTGGCAAAACGCCGTCCGATCGCACCTCGCATGCGTGCCTGGAGGATGAACATGAGCCGTTTTGGGAACCATCATGCCATTTGTCGCGGGTCATTCTCAGATTGAACAAAGCAAGGTCCACGCCTGCACGAGCATAAGTACCTTTCCAGTGACGTGCTTGGATGCGAGAAGTCCAATGCTCATTGGGTTGGGCTTACCGACGTCCGAGTCGGCCGCGATGTCGAGTGGCTTCCTGCCTGAAGCACGCTGCAGAATCGGTTCAGCAGCTTCGCTTACGTTGTGTAACACGATTCCTACGCGGGATGAAGATATGAGCTGGCACGGGCTCCGAGTCGTGAAATTAGATTTCTCCAGCAGAACCGCATCGGAGTTTGAACCCACCAGGTCTCTGCGATCATGCCGCGCCATCGGAGCTACTGGTTTGCAATCGCCTCGATGCTCGGAAGAGAAGTGCTCAGAGTCGATTCCCTCGCGGAATGTCCTTGAGGAACCTGCTATTTATTCCAACGTTCACTGCTCAGTGCTCTCCGAACCGTGGCTGACCTCATCCAGGACTGAAAGTCGGCCGTGGGACGCTTCCGCTTTACGCCGCTCGACGCGATTTGACCTCCGCGATCCAACCAGAAACAAAGACGGTCGTAGTCGCTGCCGAGCCATCGTTGCAGAGAAAGCCGACTTCGACATATCTATGTGCATCAGCAACGCGCCGCCCAGAATGAAGAGTAATGGGTGTACCTGTATCTCGCTCTTAATGCTCTTTCTGACGCAGTTAGCACTCGGTCTTGGGTGTCGCGGTGTCCTGATGATCGAGACATCATAGTCGCCCAATCGATACGTCCAAGGCTTTGATGCAATGTCGTCAAAATGTCCGCCAAGCTCGCTCAAATATCTCCTCTCTGAACTGGTGGATCGCACGCTTGTCAGCAGGTTTGCCAAGCAACACATCATTGGGAGCATACCTGATCTTCCGGCTCGCCCTCCACGACCACTGCTCAATATCTCCTCGGGAAGTTATCCCCCATACCGACTCCTCGCTGGTTGGCCAGACACACAATTCTGGCGGAGGAGGCAGTGAGGAGCCGTGACTGGTTACGGATTCTGGCATTTCGAAACCTCTTGAACGATTGCGTCGTCTCTCGAATACGGACCAAGACGACTGCGAGCACAGCCCAGGACATCGTTCACTTGAGAAAGAAGGAAAACGGTTCACCGGGCAACGAGAATGCGAAAAGAAATAGGTGCGCCTAGCGGTAACAGCGTCGCGCACCGACACATCATACATGCGACAGTACAGTCCCGCGCAAGATGCAAATGCCAGGAACGCGCTGAAATGAAACTCTGTGTTTCGATAGATGTGTATAGCAAGCACCACGATAGTGGTCTTCTGAATATCACCGAAAACGGAAGGAACGCGACGCAAGCACTTTACGCGGGTCCAGCGCGCCGGCAATGACTCTCCTGACATGGCTCATCAAACTCATTCGAAGCTCTGACCTCCTTCCCAGCCATGTAGAATACATTCTATCAAATGGTATTCAACAGCGATGTTCCGAGATGGAGCTTGACGCGTGCAAAAAGTCGTTGTGCGGCGCGAGAAAAGGGAAAACACGCGAACTTGGTTTTGGAGCTGTGAAGATCGGTGAGCAAGGAGTGCAGGGGCTTTGCGGGAAGAGGAAAGATGAATTGGGTAAGGTGTGCGGAGTTTAGCATGTGATGGCAGAAGTCGATGAATGAGGGAGGGGGGCTACGGCGGGTGGGAAGGGGCCGGTGGACGAAATGTCGGTCACGGGATTTTTAAGTGGGAGTGTCGGGTGATGTGGGCGTGGAGGCTGGGGGCCTCGAGACGAGGATTGTTGGAGAAGTTGGAACCGCATACTATTTTTGCTTTCGATCATCACGTACTTTGGTATCTTGCTCCTGTATATACTCGAGATTACGTTCCTCGCTCGACCGACAAGCAAGCAGATTCACGAGCTCTGCGATTGTTCTTATTGAAGACCGAATCAGGACCTAAACTACACCATCTGGCCTGCGCAATGTCTTACTCCGCTATACAGTTCAAGCGGTGGTCGGTACGCTGCAGATAGTAGTGCGGTCTCGATCGGTGCCGCTGAAGAAAGCCGCGAAAAGTACGAAGGACTCTACTGGGAAAGCGCAGAAAGAGTATGAAATGGTTGCAGCATATGAAGAGATATCGAAGGACACTGCCGTGAAGGAGAACGATGGATACTCAATTCTCTTAATCGCTGGAGAGCAAGTGCCGTATCGAGAAGACTGCGGCATAAACGCAGCCTTTCAGCAGCCTTACTACTCGGAGACTCCTCCGCAAGATTAGCCAGGCCAGGTCAGCTGTGTCTTGACCAGGGCATACAGGTAAGTCCTGATTTGGCAACGGCACTCCGGTAGGCATGGGCGTTTCTCCCCTCGTTCTGTGTCGCCCTCGTACGCCTCTCCTATGTCTTGGGTTGCTTATCTGCCAGGATAGTGAAGGCTCAAGAATGAGCTGGCCACAAGGTAGGCCAGCAAGAGGCAGAGTGTAGCACAGCACATCAATTCGAACTCGGGTTCACTTGCGGTATACTTTCAAGTACTCGAACAAGTGCGGCAAGATGGATGACGTAGTTGACAACTTCCACACATTCTTTATCCTTAGCCAGCTTCCTTGTGGCTTCACGATAGACGCAGCGTTCCAAAAGCGATACTGGCTCTGCGCTCTTGGATGTATCCTTAGCGCCGTGTTGACCAAGTTTCACAGAGATGGACTGTCTTAGGGGTCTCCACGACGATACTGCTCGAGAGACAACAGGCGATACCCGAAGTTCGTGCGCACCACGTAACCTTCTTTGTTCACTCGGCAATCAACATCGCAAAAGCTCGCCACAAAAACAAAGAACATACCCGCCACACTCTCTTTGTCCCATCAAGCCTTCCGCATCCACGCGACAACTCTCTCAAACACGTCTCTTTCCGGCCACACCCAATCAAAGCGATCCAATAACTACCACCTCTTGAATCCTTACTATTGTTCCTGATCCCCCCTCCTCGCATCGCCAAAAACCATGTCATCATACCACACCCCCCTTCATCGACGCCCAAGCACCAGCAGTCTAGAATCCGACCCCACGGACTGGAACTCACGAGCCCAAAACCGACACCTCCGCCAACTCTGGAAAATCGCCCGCTATGTCATCTCCCACATTCTGGTCCCGTTCCTCGTCGTCACGGTGGCGTTCGATATGAGTCGGGAAGCCTTCCAGACGACAAAAAATTGGGATGTGGAGAAGACGTATGGCACGGACAAGAGATATATGTCGTTGGATCATAAATATGATTTTTTGTGGGCGCAGGATATGGAGGTGAATTGGGGGAGTATAAAATTGCCGAAGCAGATTTCGGATAGGCTTGGGGCGACGGGGATTGTGGAGTATGGGACTATTGCGATGTGAGTTGATGGGGAAGTATGGATGAATGGATGAATGGCTGATCGGTGCAGGTTTCATAATTTGCATTGTTTGGCGATGATGCGGCAGACGTTGCAGGAAGCGTATTATGGGAAGCGGCCTGCTTTTGATTATCGTGGTGACAAGCATTGGCCGCATTGCTTGTATCATCTGCGGCAGGCGATTCTCTGTCATGCTGATGACACTATTGAGCTTCCTCGAGCCAACAATGGTTCGCTGGGTACGGTGCCTAATATCTCTGGGGTGACGGACATTCGGCATTGTCGGTCGGCAGACAAGCTCTACAAGATGCAGGATAAATATGTTGATTGGGGTGAAGATGATGGAAGCAGTGATGAGCACCATCATTGAGGCCGACAACCCCAGAAGATCTTAAGGTGACATTGGAGTTTTCTGAAATTTTCGAAATCCAAGTTCATACCAGCTCAGCCTTCGAGAAGATGCCATTCAGATTGTTTTCGTCGCCGTTGAGCTTCAGTGCTGCTGCACTGATCGCTTCACCGCGCATCGCACCTTGCATTTTAAAAGATTTCAGCATTTTGTCGCTTCGACGTAGAGGGCTTCGAACAAACTCACCCATGCAGTAAGTATGACCCACGTATTGAAACTTTCCATTGCCTCTGGGGCGCAATACGCATGGCGTAGATGCACCAGCCAGAATGACAAGACTGTCACCTGCCATTGCATTTCCAGAAACAATGCCAACGAAGCTGCTGTCGGGAACGGCGAATAACGGACACGGCTTCGCGGCGAGAAGCGTCTGAAGTACTGCGTGATACTTGTGCTCGTACTTCTCTTCTCCACGCAGAAATAACCATGTGTGGAAGTTGGCCATAGCGCTGTCATTGCGATCGCTCAATTCTGCTGCACCCACCAAAGCTGACCACATGATCCTTACAGTTTCATGGACTGTGGCGCTTGCAGAAAGCGTGTCCTTCACTTTGACGATACATTCGCACGCGCGCTGCTGAAGCCTGTCGATCTGGCCTGCTATAATGAAGTGTCAGGCCATCGTCATTTGGCCTTCCGTCGTGCCTCGCCTCACCTCTGTGTTGCATGTTCTCTGCCAGCGTCGTCGAAAGCTCTTCTGGGACTGCTGAGATGGCAAAAGAGATAGTGCCGAGCTCGTGAGCCCAGACCGAAAGCACGTTAGAGCCTAGATAGTGCGCTACATCATTAGGGAAGCCAGCTTGCGGATGAAATGCCAAAGTTTTACTGGCGTCAAAACCAGAAGTGCCACGAAAGAGATATGGTGCCGGATTCCCATATAGTGGCACCCAAGAAGGCAAATCTAGATCGCTTGGCCCATGCAAACCTCCAAGGGCAAGCAAATCAAGCGAACGCTCGTGCCAGATCACTCGCAAAGTGAAATCGGTAAATACGTGCTCCAAACGTCGGCCGTAATCTGGCTCGATAGCCAGCTGAACAGGAAGCACGCCCAGAAGTCCGTAGATCCTATCATGTCTAACGCTTACCTTGCTATCACGAACAGCAGCAAGGATGTCCGGTATGAGCTTCATGTGAGGTCGCTCGCTGGTCTTGGCAGTGATGGGAGCCGAGAACTTGAGTGCCAATTGCATCATATACCAGGGCAGTGTGGCTTCTGCTGACCTTTGATCTCGAAGCCGGAAACATGCTAGTATGCCCATCAATAATCTTGCAAAGTGTATCGACAGGTGAGATCCGAAATGTGCCATTGGCTCTTTTGCCAAAACGACCTCCTGCACAACCCAGAGCCTGCTCCACCAGGAATTCGCAAAGATGCTTTCTAGAGCTTCGTTTGACAAGCTGTTGATCTCTGCCGGAAGCGAATCAGCATTCTCAAAGTCGGGCGAGAGTCTTCGACCCGCGCGATCCAAGACGTCGAGAACGCGCGCGGTGCTCGACGTGCTCGGTCCCAACCAGACGTGCACGACATTGGCGATGCTGAAGATTTCTCTCATGAGAGTCACTTGATGGCTACGTTCGGCAAGGTCGCGCTGATTGATGCAGATGGCATCGATCCAGATGTATTCGGCATGGCTGCCATTCTTGAAATTTCGAAGACCTTCATACAGGTTGCGAGTCACAAAGACCGCTTCACCATGGACTATGAGCGGGTCGGTGACGGTGACGGTGTTGATACCCCACGCATACGACAATGCATCGAAGCTTGGGGCGTTGTGCATGGAATATGTCCCCAGCTCGCCAGCGAGTGTTCCGTCATCCTGCGGGTTGGATCTGGCCAGACGTAGGAGTCGGAACTGGCGGCGAGATGGGTCTAGCCGGGAGTAAATCGATGCCATGCTTTCTCATTCGAATCCGGCGCAACGGTGAGGCGAGGTCGAGATCTCATGTTTACTACTGTGAGGTGAGGTCGATGTGTGTGTCTTGAATGGAGTGAGTGACGTGGTGGCGGCAGGGACCAGGGACGTCCGGAACGATCACCGCCAATCGCTCGCTATATATTGTGCACGAACTCTTCACACTCTATGCAACAATTCAACCATGGGCACTCTCACCGCGGGCCTGCCCAGGCTCGATCACTACTGCGAACACAAACTCCCTACCTCGTGCCGTTTGACCGCAATCGGCGAATGTTGTGCCTGCTACGATGACCGAGCCCACGCATCCTTCTACTCGACCTACATTGACGGCGTTGGCTATGTGCCGAGGGGCACCAGATGGCAGAGATACTGTTGGTTCTGCAAAGAGTTTTGGGAGAATCGAGTCAACGCGTCTGGCCTCAGACCCGCTCAGACTCGCATACCAGAAGTGCCAGACCAGAGCGAGTTCGTGGCCAGATGGTACGAATTCCACCAGGGATATCGGATCATCAGGAAGGAAGATGGCTCAGAGGAGCGAGTCGCCGTGCGCGGAGAAGACCTGCGCGACGTAGATCCCGGTGTGCTTCCCAGAACTCTGGAAGAAATGAGAGCTGGTCGAGAACGTAGTGAGTTGGAAGAACAGGAGCGCCTGCGGAGACACCAACAGCACAATACAAGTCAAGAGCAGAGTGCCGATAATGGACCATCACTCGATGAAGCCCTTGATGAGATGTATCAAGCGGCAGAAAGCGAGGCGCGTGAAGCTGACAATGGCGTGCCTGCAATAACGGAAATGTCTACACAGAGGACGCCGAGTAATGCTACGAACATCCACGCGCAGGCAATGACATCGATCGGATCGCGTAATCGTGAATACCAGGCACGCCGCATTGCTGCGCTGCGGAGAGAACTGCACAGAATGCGGAATGGTATTGAGAGAGTGACTTCCGGACTTCGCGACCTCGGCGAGGAGCTTCCTGCCTCATCGCGACTTTCAGAGCTGCGTCGTACTCTTGACACCATCACAGAGACGACAACGACGCAGGAACAAGTACGGCAAGCGCTGAGCGACATTAATGCCCTGAGAGAAACACCTGCCACCACTCAGTCCGATCGCACCCTCTCCAACATGCAGGCTCGCGTTGACGAAGCAAGGAACCATGTCAACGAATCGCGCAGAAATCGCGACCGGGCTGCCTTGGAATTAGAAGCAGCGGAACAAGAATTTCGAACTTCTCAATCTCGCCTTCGACAGCTGCAAAACGAGCATCGCACCACTGAAAATTACATGAGACTATTCGGAACGCGAGAAGAGATGCAAGCGCAAGGAGATGACTATGAGAGCCCGATCGGAGGCATGTTCAGCCGGGCATACGAGCGCTTCCGAGCTGCTGAGGAAGTTCGCAGGGAGGAGAGGACGCTTCGCCAGATTCTTGAAGACGAGCAGAGAGCAGGAGGCGAAGAAGTGACGACACGGTTGGCTGAGCTTGAAATCAGAGATCGTGACGTTTGGGGAGTGCCCAGGTCCGACGCTGCTTCAGAGCGGCCGTTTCCTAACACCACGCTAACACAATATATGTCGCCGTTCGATTTGCAGCACGCGAACGATAGACCTTCGACTGCGTCAACGGACCTGGCCACGCCTGACGCGCACGGTAATCGTGAGGAGGGCAATTCGGCCGACCGGCCTGGTGAGCAGATCAGCGACGACTTCACCCTTGACGCCGTCTTCGTTCTCGGCCAACTGTGCTCTAGAAACGACCTCCGAAGTGAAACATCCTCCTTAGATCTCACTACGCTCCAGGAGCTGCTTGATAGGGCACAGACCGGCCGCCTCACTGACCTGGACAAGCTGACTATTGATGGTCTTGTACAGAACCCTAGCATTGCGTGGTGCTGTGGTTTATCAGCGCAGAGAAATAGTCGACGTCGGCAACGAGGTGAACATGTCACCTTCCCTGCAGAAGTTAGCGAAAATCGTCGTTTCGAAGACCACCTCTCGGTGAACATGAACCACAGCCTGGAGTTGGTGGCCGAGAGCTTTCAGATGAGCAGTCGGGTGCGCAGGGTATCACGTCTGGCCGACTCTGACCAAATTCGCATGCTCAACCGACTGCAAAGTGGGCAGCGTAGGATAATAGACCGCGATTTCTTTTTGTACATGTATGGAGACGATGACATTCTCGCATCAGTCATCCCAATACATCGACAACAGTACGGTTCAGATGCTACTTCATTGGACAGCGAGTCCCACGCCCACATTGCGAGGCTGGAGCATGACCGTCAGAATGCTGCGCGACAAGGGGATCATTCTCGATCGGAACTCGATGCACGGAGAAGGGCGACTCGCACTCTTGCTCTTGCCGCAGGTAGAGCAGCCGCGCTTACAAGCCCTCAAGCACTTTTGGAGCAGATGGCGAATCGTGACGACGCCACGAGGGCGGCATACGAGAGAATGCAAGAAAATGGGTTTCGTCCTGCGGAGACGATGTCAACACGTCGACTCCGCCCGCTATATCGTGCATTGAACCTGGACGACTTTACTGCTTCGCCATCTGCCACTGACTCTGAAGGCGAGGAAGAGGAAGCTCTTGGACTTGACGCGAGAGATACTGGACGTCCTGATGAAGCACTCACGGACGAGCAGATGACGGTCAAGTTGGATTGTCAAGTATGCTATACTCAGATGGCTGATATCGCATGCATGCCTTGTGGACATTTGGTCATGTGCAAATGGTGCAGCGACCAGCACTCGCCGACTATGGCGCACGACAGGACAAGGCCGAGGAGACCTGCTTCTTGCCCTGTGTGTCGTAAGCAGATCCGCCAGAAGGTCAGAGTTTTTCGGGCTTAGAGAATCGGGTGCCAACATACACAACACAGTATTTTCAAGGCCGTACGAGGGCCTACGGGGACAGTGGGTAATTCGTATGGATGTTGTCTCGTCAGCCGGCGAAGCTTGTACGTGGAGCTGGATCCGATGCTTGCAATTGACAGGGAGTCAATCCTCTCATTTAGGGTTAATAATAACACGGTTAGCGAACCCAGTAGTTCTAGCTTCAGCCAGAGCTGAGACGGCACTCCACCAAGGCTGATTGATATGCACAAAACGGCATGAACTACGCGAGTCGCACTCGCACTCGTTCTCGTACGTAGCCTAGACCTTGCATGCGAAATCTCACCTCATAAATACCTCTGTCCCGGTATGACTGCTCATTCTCCTTCCGCGTCCACAAGGACAGCACTCGAAAGACTGAAGCTAGTTGAGCAATCCTTACAATCCAATATGGCCGAATCCATCGCAGCAGACTACCTCGTCATTGGCGCCGGGGCCATGGGAATGGCCTTTGTCGATACACTGCTTTCCGAAACAACCGACAAGAAGATCATCATGCTTGACCGGCGTGCTCGACCCGGTGGGCATTGGCTTGTTGCTTACCCCTTTGTGCGACTCCATCAACCGGCAGCATTTTATGGAGTCAACTCACGGCCTCTTGACAATGGCGCAATTGATCAAGTCGGCTGGAACAAAGGACTCTCCGAGCTTTCATCTCGCGATGCCGTGGTGTCTTACTTTGATCTCGTCATGATGGAGACATTCTTGCCTTCTGGACGGGTGGAGTTCTTCCCAAAGCATGAATATGTCGTATGCATATAGATAAACAGAATTTTTCCCACGCTCAAAACACTGACAATTTCCAGGGCGAAGGTGAATTCCGGTCACTTCTCACCAAGAAGAGCTACAAAGTCGGAGCAGAAACCACCATCGTGGATGCAACGTACAGCAGAACATCAGTTCCTTCCATGAGACCCCCGCCATACGAAGTCGCGAAAGGCGTTGATCTCGTTACGCCCAATGGTCTCCCTGACATCACGCGAGGCTACGCAAACTATACCGTCGTCGGAGCAGGAAAGACAGGCATCGACACCTGTCTCTGGCTCCTGGAAAACGACATCAAACCATCCGAAATCACCTGGATCATGCCCCGCGACTCCTTCTACCTCGAACGAGAGTCCTTCCAACCAGCCAGCCGAGATCCCGAAAAAGCCCTCGCCAGACTCCAAGCCACATGGCAAAGCACAATGGCCGCAACAAGCGTCGACCACTTCCTCCAACTCCAACTCGACCACCACCTCCTCCACCGTCTCAACGAAACCGTCTGGCCCACAATGTACCACTGCGCCTCCGTCTCCCTCCTGGAACTCGACGCCATCCGAAAAATCCCAACCATAATCCGCAAAGGCCGCATCACGAAAATCTCCCCCGAAAAAGTCTCCCTCCAAAACGGATCTTACATCCCAAACCCAGACACCCTCTACATCGACTGCTCCGCCAGCGCAATCGCCAAAACGCCCCCCATCCCAATCTTCCAGACCAAAAAAATCACCCTCCAACCCATCCGTTTCTGCCAACAAACTTTCTCCGCAGCTCTAATCGCCCACATCGAAGCCACAACCTATCCTCCCTGCTCCTCCTTAGAAAAGAAAAACTCCCTCGCAAAACCCATCCCCATGCCCAACGACGCCATCGACAACGTTTTAGTCTCTCTACAATCGAATCTCAATCAATTAGCCTGGGGCGGAGAAAGTTCCATCCGGAAGTTCTTGAAGAATTCGAGATTGGATTATTTCGGGAATATTTTTCCGCAGCCGGCCCCCGAGGGGGCGATGGAGTTTGCGAGGCGGATGGGGGAGCAGATGGTGATGATGAGTCGGAAGTTGTGGGGACTTTTGGAAGGGTTGGAGGAGGCGGAGAGGGAGAGGATGATGGGGCATTCGGAGGGGGGGGGGGGGGAGAAAAGAAGAAGGGGGGGGGGGGGGGGGGGAGGACTTTTGGAGAAGGTTGTGGGTGAGTCTCTCTAGGCTTTCTAGGCTGGGTGGTAGGTAGGGAGGTAGGTAGGTAGGATGTCTCTCAAGCGTAGCGAGTATTTCAGTGAGCGGCTCGCCGGCTGCTGCGGCTTGCGGAAATCTTAAGTTAACTACTGCCGAGAAAGACTTAAAAGGCCGAAGGTAATACAAGGTTTCGGGGGGGAACGCTTTTCTTATTCTAGCTTTTCGAGCCTATCTTGCGCCTAGATTACTAGAATTAAGCAGTATCGTTGTATGCCCGGGCAAGATCTGCTTCAGTACGGGGTGCATCTTAATGTTCACATTTTTCTGTATGCCTACCTAGCTGCGGAAACGGTCGGTTAGTATGCAACTCTGTAGTTGTGCTATGAAGTTAGGCGTAATCGAAAGGTCTGCTGTGTCGGACACGAGGGGAACTCAGCTCTCGGCTCGTCATCGCTGTGATGAGTAAAGATCAATGCCACGCAGCTTGTACTACTACTACTGTAGCTTTTCTCGCCTTTCGAACCTGACACTAGGGCAGCTGATCCAATCTCGAAGACTTGCTAGGATTGGCTTCATTTCCCATCATCTCGTACGCCCAAAGGCAAAGTTCATGACATCCCGTCCTCCATGCGCCGATCTTTCGAGATATCTATTCAGTCCAACTCAATGATCTCGCCCGGCCCAAATGGCTTCGGCGGAACCACGCCACAGGCTGTCAGCACCCAGTCGGCTGGTGGCTGGACCGGGACTTTTAGCAAGGCCTGCTTCTCGCCGGTGCGTACCCATTGGTTCCAATCGCTTCTCTTAGCCTTCTCGTCTGGACTGAACCAGATCCATGAGCGGGACATGGAATACACCATCGCCATCATCTCAGGATACTTGGTGTTGATGTCGGTGTATTCGGCAACAGCCGAGGCGCTGCTCTTATGATCATCGGGTAGTTGGGCGACGAGAGCCATAACTGCGAAATAGCGAAGAGCATGACTGGATGGAGTGCGGTCGAAGATGAACCATGTATCGTTCTTGTCAATCAAGTCCGGAGTGTTGACGACATCGCAGAGGAAAGCCATGGCTTCGTTCTGGAGTCTTGAGATGCCGTACATGTCGCAGAAGATCCAAAGGTCGATTAACATCAGCTTTGCTTGCAGTCGCTCGTGCTTGCTCGCTGACGGCTTCAGGGGCTGCAAATGCTCCGTATATGCCCATCGTGCGAAGACCTTCACAGCCTGCACGCCAACGCCGCGAAGATCAATTGCTGCAAAAGGAGGTCAGTAAAAAGCACAGTCTAAAGCACAGTCAGAGGAAAGCCCGAGGACTTACTAGTAGCGTTTGCATTTGGCACGTCTTCAACTTTGACTTTTGTGGTGAGCTTCTCTGCGAAGGCATTGGAGTGCAAGGCCAGGAATGCCTTTTTGATAGTGAGATGTTCTTGACCGTCGCCAACAATAAGCGTGACATCATCGGACTTGAGAGCGCGGGCATACGCATCCTCCGTTTTGAGGGTTCGCGCCATGGTGTCTGATCTTGCGCTTGCGGATGGTATGTGACGGAAGAGTAGATGTTGTCAACGTTGTCGTGGTACAGGTTGAAATGAGGTGCGTGTCGATGATTGCGTTTCAGGCTGACAATAGCAGAGCTGTGCAGCCCGTGCTTGGGTGTTCATTGGACAAGACTCAACACGCTAATGCACCGTTGAAGTGAAGTTCAGGTGCAGCTTTCGCAAGCAGAGCACGGGAAGCCCAGCTCGCAGGTAATGCATTGACTGGGCGGATAGTGCTCAGAATGCCCCACGAAACTGGTCAGCCATCCCTGCGAGCATCCCTCTTCTCCTAGTATTGTCCTGAGCGGTGTCGACGCCTGTAGCTCGTCCCGCCTCACCTTCCATCCGTCGCCTCAGATTGTCATAACGCTCTTTTTGTTCACGTGCGCCAATGACCCAGGCAGGCACACGCCAGCTCGCTGCACCGGGAAGCAGTTCTCTTCTGTAAGCCAGACCAACGATCCACCCAATGCCTGCCGCAAGAGCGGAGCCTGGAAGTTGTGAGAGTGCGAGCTGGAGCGGCAGGAGATAGGAGGTGGCCTTTGATGTGAGCATCAGGCCTTGCTGCTGGTCCGGAGTGGTTGCGCCGGAGATGCGGTACTTGTAGACGTAGGGAACGGCGGCGTAGTACTGAGCGAGCAGCGAGAAGACAATTGGGGTCGGTCCTGCGGGTAAGTAGTTGATGCGCCCGAAGGTCAACGGCCGTATCACAACGGCCAACAAGATTGGAGGTAGCAGGGCATTGTAAAGGAAGGTGGACAATATGAAGGACTACCTACCTGTCAGCCAATGCGCATGACAGTGGGAGATGTATGTGAGCATACAGCGAACTTTCGAGTGCCCCATAGCCTCTCAATGACGCGCAGATTATAGATTGTCATGGCTGCGAATAGGAGCTCAGCGCTGTTGGTATAGCAGATCTGCCATGTCAACAGCCTCCAGAACTGCATGTAGTCGAGGAGATGCGGTCGAACTTCGATCCATATGAAGTACTTGGTGTCGGTCAAGCTGGCCAGGAGAGAAGTGATGACGATGCCGATGAGCAGGAGTCGAGAGACGGGGGCATTTGTGAAGCCGGATGCGAGCATGGCTACAGGATGCGATCAGAGAGGCAGCGTGAATTGGGGTTGTTGTGATGTGAAGCCAAGTGGCGTGTGAGATGTGATGTGTTGTCCTCGTCACGAGGCACGCTCGGCTGAACTTTCCTGTGAACTGCACTGCGTCTATGCTTCTATTACTACTGATTGTCTGCCTGTTGTTCTGCACAACTCAGAGGCCAAACTACGAGACCGAACACGCAGAGAGAAGCTAAAAAGACGAGGAAAGGCACGCAAAAGGCGGCCGCGGGTCATTGGATGACTGCACAAGATGGTTGGCATGTGAAGAGAAAGCTGGCTGGCATATGAAGAGGAGGAGGAGGAGGAGGAGGACGAGGACGAGGACGAGAGATCGATAGAAGATGTTGCTCTACTTCACGATTGCCGTGCCTACACTTCAGTTATGGCACTACTGGATCAATAATGGAAGACCGTCTTGGAACATACATAAGAGGTCACCGAGTGCTTGGCAGCGGTCCGTAAAGCGCAGCACCATCGATATCGGGTCGATGGAGATTTGCAGGCCAGGCGAGGCAAGAAACAGAGGCTGAATCTGACGCGGAGAGACGCGAGCACGTCTTTCTCCACGCATGGCCTGGCATGGCCCATCGCCCAAGTAATATTCCGACCATGTGACGTCCCAGCAATGTCTTGTTTCTGCCCTGAAGTCTAGCAATTCATGTTGCACACGCGATGCAGAGAAGAGTTCAAGTGGTGAGCTGCGACTGCCTTTTCCACAGCCTCGTGCTGCCTGGACTAGTGTCTTGGCACGCATTGACTTCGACTTCCTATAACATGCTCATGCTCATGCAGACTCTGCACTTCCATTCTGCCACTCCACCTCATTCCATTTCACCAAAAGCCTCGTTCAATCAATCCACACATCAACACCACCTGCCATGGCCAATGCGACTGCCTCAGAAGCAGCGACTGTCCGCACCAGCAAGCGAAAGCGCAACCAAGTTTCCTATCTCGATGACGATCACTTCAGTCGGCTCAATGACATCGACGACGAGCCGGCTGTTCACGAGGACCAAGATATCGTGGAGGGAGATCCCGAGGATTTAGCGTTCGGCACCAAGGTGCGAGGCACACCTTACGACGTTTAGATTCCCGGCTAATGCATGCACAGAGAGGAGGCCGCGGCGTGAAGCGCCGTGCAGTCAAGAAAGCGAAGAAGCCCCCCACCAAAAAGAAGCAGAAGCAGAAGCCATTCCGCTTCCTCGATCTCCCCCCTGAGCTTCGCGACGAAATCTACGAGCTGGCGCTAGTCGAGCCTAAGGGTCTCACCTTGGTATCCAGAACGAAATCCCACCGCCGCACCATCGCTCGCGGAGCCATCAGCGTGACCGACAGCAAGTACTACTACGGCAAGGCGCGGCGCCGAAGATTCTACTGGCCACAGGACGATTCCCAAAGCAGCATCGAGAACCATCGAGACCGACAGCTGATCCCCAACCTCCTCGCAGTAAATCAGCAAATCCGAGACGAAGCGTCCACGTTCTTGTACAAACAAGAAATCGTACTTGCCGATACCACGGCACTGCTCCAATTCATCGCGACCATAGGTTCTTACAACCGTAAACTGATCAACGACATCGTAGTTCGAGGCTGGGGCGGAGGTAAGCTAAGCTACGCAAGTCAGAAATTTTCCCAAACATACTAACATTTCCCCTCCCCAGACCGCGGTGTGACTAGAGGTCACAACTTCAGCGCCCTCACCAGTCTCGCCGAATGCACGAACCTGGACTCTCTATACTTCGACTGCTCAGTAAGCCACAGCCTCCCGCGCCTCAAAGAGCAAAAGAAACTCGCCGGCCAGATTTATCGCGATGGGCATTTCTTCTTGGAGGCTTATGCCACAGCCAACGGCCTCGAAGCCGCTCTCAAAGTCGTGCAGTTCGGAGACCGACAGTTTGCTAAGGATAGAGGTGCCAAGAAGTTGGAATTCGATCAGAGTAAGCGTGATGAGTTCGAGAATGAGTTGGAGACGTTGATGAAGAAGGGTGGGTTCAAGGTACGCAGTGAGAGCGAGTGAGGTTTGAGGGGAAATCACAACTGCATGCATGCATGGTATGGTGTTCAGCAGAGATCGAGAATTTTGGCACGACAGCATGGGATTTCTTTTGGAGCTTCGACACATGTTTATTTAGATTGCTACAATGCGGACGGGCCTTCTCAATATACCACCATAGCATAACATAAAGGCTTCAGCACCGTGAATTTTCAGCATGATGAAGGTATCACACTCTTCGCGGCTCTCACTCAACAAATCTCATAGTACCTATTCTCACCGCGGCAGCCAGTGAATGTACCGTCATCTCTGACACCTCCCATCCCATCTCACGCTACCGCTTCGGATACCAAGGATCAGGGCTTTGCTCTCGAACCTGCTGAGTTGAAGGCGCCATGCTAAGAGCACCCCAAGTCTGCATTGGCGGCGTGCTCGTGCTCGTGCTCTGAGCCGTCTGCCAAGTCTGATTCGAAGAAGCTTGCGAAGTATCTTCCGTGTGGTTCTGCAAATTCTGTGAAGAGACAGAGTAAGTGGAGCCACTAGGATGTGTCCAGGACTGTGACGCCCCTTGAAATCCTGCGTTGGGAGGCGGCGGCGGCGGAGGAGGAGCAACACGAGGTTGTTCATATGCACATTCATTGCCTCTTCCCTTCTTCACGCACGAACCGCAAGGCTGGCCTTCATCGCACCGCATTTTAGCAAATCGACAATTGGTACAGCTTTGCTTGGCTCGCGGTGCAACGTACTTGGCGAATTGCGTCGGACCTGGTGGGTACTGTGGCGTATTGTAAGATTCTGCTGGCCATGGTAGAGAGTCTGCGCGAGGATTGGGCGTTGGCTTCATCGTTGTGAAGAGCCCGTGTGCTTGCTGCGCATTCGTAGATGGTGTGCCAAGCTTAAATTGCTGATACACTTTCTGCTGCGGGCCTGTGGCGTTTATGGAAGCTCGCTGCGATGCCGTTGCCGGATTCACTGACGTGGGTGTCAGTGGTGCTTGAGTCCTTTTCGGCTGGTATGGCAAAGGGTATGGAAGGTCTTTCGGGGCTTTACCGAGCGAAGGCGGTGGAGCCTGCCATGAGGGCAGATCGTAAGCCACAGGAGCGGGCTTATTGGAGAACTTGGGAGGCTCCACTTCGAATGAGGGAGCAGGTGTTTGGGCAGTGTCGCTCTGTCTGAGAAGGTCCGCAAGCGAAAGCGGCTTGTGAGGATTTCGGATTACCGGTGCAGGCGGCGGAGGCGGTGGTGTGCGCTTGCGCTTCAAAGGTCTGCTCGTGTTGGAGGCAGCTGGGGTGCCAGGTACCGAATTGTCCGCGATGGCCAAAGCCGAAGATGCATATTCCTCGGCTTGCAAGGTCGCAGAGATTCCTCCTGATTGTCGCACATCATTCATCGTGGCTGCCGCGCCTTGAGGCACTTTGGTCCAACTCGTTGTCGTGCGCCCTGCAGCGCCAGAAGCAGACCTACCTGCGGCCTTTCTCGCTGCGACAGTCTCATGAATTGCCAAATGTCTGTAGTACACGTCACAGCTCTGACGGGTCGTGCTGAACTTGACACTGATGCTTCCCTTGCAATCATACGTGGGCTTCCGAGGACCTCTTTCTACACCGTTCGGGTCTTTCAGATGCTTCATTACCCTTGTGTATCCATTTGCATGCCGATCTTTGTTCTGCATGCTGTCTTGACAAATGTACGAAAACCGCGAACCCTCTCCATCTTTGGCCGCCCAAGCGTTGTTGAAGCTATACCGGAATCCATCGACGGCCTCAACAACCTGCTGAATACCACGAGACGCTGCTCTTTGTACGATTTGACTTCCTCGCGGATCGACTATGTTTATGATTGCACTGACTGGCGCTTTGGGATGTTGCGTGCCAGTGGCTTCTTCTGTGCTGGGCTCAGATGTGGAGGTATGGGGAGGTTCGCGCTTGAACTCGGCAGGAAGATCATGGTCACCACCTTCGGCATATGGGCCTATCGAAGGTCTAACGAGCGGCTGGTAGGTACAGTATCAGCACTCCATACAGCTCCGAGAGCTCAGCATAGGATACAAATCTGCCAGATACTCACAATGACTGCATTCAAGCTCAACCTGAGCTCAACGGTGCTACATTGGAGGGTTTGATTCTCCGCAGCAGCATTTAACACGGACTTCAGCGCTTCTGAAAGGGCATCGAGTGAATCGAAGGATCCGCTGGCCATGGGTTGGGAGAAGACATTTGCGTTCGCGTTCCCGCTGTTGTAGTCGCTCATGCCGCCAGCACGGAAGCCCAGAGATGCGCGCGCCATGCCAGATTCATTTCCGAAGAGTGGTGCGGCCCGAGTATTCGAGATTGGAGTTAGGATCGATGGTGGTCGTCAACGTCAACATCGACGAGTCGCATACAGCAGTCGCGAATCGCTCAAAGCGTCCTAGCTTCATCATCTGACAAGGGGCAGAAAGCTTAAAAACGTCGATTCCACTCACTCCTGAAAAATAGGGTTTTTCTAAATGGCGGTACCCGAAAAATACTGTATTAGGTAGGAAGCATTTGCTGCTTCCATCGGACCATCGTTGCCTCACGTCCAAGCTAATAACGATGTCTGTCGCAAACTTTTGGAGAGCGCATCTGAGAATGGAGTGCAGTGGAAAGGCCGTACAAAGGCTGAACATAGTAACCAATATTACCACTTGCAATACGACATACAAACTAGATAGAAGTAGGTACAGACTGGGTATTTGCTGCTGCTTTCACTTCGCTGCTCCTCATACCCGCTTGTCACGCTCAAAAGTACAAAGGAACTCGCTATCTTCTCTCTCACAAAGTGGTATCTCCTTCGCAATACACCTCATTCCATTCGCAATATTGTCTTGAAGCTGCTGTCGCTGTAGGACTTGTAATATCGCATGCGGGCCGGTCTCTAATTTGGAACTGTGACATGCTTGCGCTCGTACAGATGCTCTTGGTTCTTGTGCCACGAATTCTCACCCTTCTATGGGTGGGAGGCACCAGCATCAGTCTCATCGTCCTCGTTCAGAGTGTGATGAAAACCCATTGGTGTCTGTTCGCGACCCATGCGGCTTTCGAGCTCCTTGAGTTGCGACTCGCGAGCCAAAAGCTCCTGTCTCTTCTCGTTGATCTCGCGCTGCACCTTGAGCTCGATCTCGCGGAGCTTCTCTTCCTCGCGACGCAGTTGCTCCTCCTTCAGGCGCACCGACTGCGAAGCCAGCGATTGTGGGTCTAGGCTGTCGCTTTCCGTGCTGATACCCGCGGCCTCGTTAGCACTAGCAACACTCTTACTAAGCTTCTCGGTACGGTAGTTTTCGTAGAGGAAGTCGTGGGTGATTTCCTTGAGATCTGCAAGATGAGAGTGGAGGAGGGCGGAGCGGATGGCGAGGAAGTCGGAATGTCTGGGGTTCTCGACCTCAACAACACCCCATGGGTACTGGCGGGCTCGGACGCGCTTGCCGTCAATCTCGATGACCTCTTCAGATCCGACGATAGCGAATGGCATCAGACCGCGAAGCTCGGCATTCTCCTCAACAGTGTCCTCGTCGTCCTCTTCAATATCGTAAGGAAAGTTGTAGACTGGGATGCGGTAGTGCTCAATGTCCTCCATGATGAGCTTCTTGCTCTCAGCGAGTTCGAGCGGAGTGAGGGAGTCAGCCTTGCCAATGACGGGAATAACGTTGACACGAGGACTGAGGCGGCGCATCAACTCGATGTCAAGTTCTCGGAGGCCGTGACCTGGGGAAATGATTAGCGTGATTTGGGGGGATTTGTGCAGCGGTGCTTACCAGTCGGCTGGACGAAATAGAGAAGCACGTGAACTCTGTTGTCACGGAACCGCGGGTTACGCTTGATCCTGCTCTCCTCGGCCAAAATGTCGTCGTATTGTCGCTCGAGATAGCTGGAGATCTCGCTGAAGGAGGCCTCATTGTCGATGCTATCGCCAAAGCCAGGGGTATCAACGATGGTCAATGACACTCGTGTACCTTCCTCATCAAGCTCCAACTCAACCGTCACTGGCTTGATCTTGACGCCTTCCTCGAGGTGCGCGATCGTCGGGTCATCGGAGTCAAGTGGTGTCAGGACCTGCCTGCCGCAGAGAGTGTTGACGAAGGTGGTGCGGCCAGTACCTGAGGCACCGCAGACCATCAGGCAAAACTGGATTCCCTTCTTCACATTCTTCTTGCGGCGCAGCTTGATGGCGGAGGTGGAGGTAGACATGCTGATGCTTCGCTGCGAGCTTGTTCCGTGCAAGGACGCTATCCTGTGCGCTTTTCCCGACTCGGGCGGCGGATGTTTTGTGGTTCGTGGATGGGAGCTGAGAATGGCAGACAGTTAGCACTTTATCATGAGGTGGTTACGGCGACACGTTTCAGCGCAATGCAGAGGATGACCAAGCGCATTGAGCTGAAGTGCCAATGCGACGTGGCCTGCGGTCGGAGCTGCACCGCGTGCTGGCGTTGCCTGTTTCCGAGGGATTTGTGTGGACTCACCAGCGCTGTCACTGTCGCGTCCAGATAGTGCTGGTGATGAATTGCAGATTGACGGGGCAATTGGCAGCGGAAGAAATTGAAGCTGCTGGCAGCAATTGAGGCACGCGCAAGACACGAAAGAGCAGCAAGTGTAGTGCGGTGCGGTGCGGTGCAGGTGCAGGTGCTCGCTGGCCACGAATGCTGGGAGGAAGTTCCAGGGGCTTGCAGGGATGCATCAACGCCCACGGCTGCTGCCCATTCGCCAGCGGCACACCTCATTTTGCGGAGCGGCTAGAATATCTGAAGCCAAGAAGCGGACATGGACATAACGTGACATGGTGACCTGAATCATCACTTTGCCATGTGATGGACTGAGGTCATCAGTAGACATGTGAAGATGACCCGAATTGTCTGACGCTGGGAGCGCTGCCTTTGTTTGCTGCTTCTCACCTCCGCTTGCTGAAGTGAGCTTGCTCGCTGCTCTGGCTGCCTTGACTCACCTCAACGTCTTGACGTCGACTCCGAGCACTGAAGACATGCTGCGGTAACGGCAGCGAAGGCACTCGTGTTGGTGAAAAGCCTCGAGTCCGAGTCGCCTCGTGCGCCATGAATACACGCCAGGCAATCCAACCCTCGACAACCCCCAACGTCCTCTCTGTCGCCTTCTCCTCCTCCCGAAAGCGCTTCGTCGCGGGCTTGACGGATGGACTGCGCATATTCCGCACGGATAACTGTCTGACCACCCACCATCCTGCCTTACCAGTGGCGTGCGTGGCTACCATCGCCGAGGCTCTAGATGACCGCTACGTCGCATTTGTCTCGAGACATAAAACGTCAGAAACTGGAGGGCCGAATGTCGTCGTCTTCTGGGACGCAGTTCTTGATCGGGAGCTCAGCAGATTCGACTTCTATGAACCTGTGTTGGGCTTGAGATTGAGCTCAAAATGGATGGCTGTTGTGCTTGCTGAACGGACGATACTGTTTCAGTATCAGGAGATTGCTGAGCCCGCGACGCCGAAGCTGGACACAGACAATGACAGCAACCCAGATGACGATCGTGCAAAGATTGGCCCCTTACGAGCCCCAAATCTGGTGCATTCCATTTATCCTACATCACCGAACCCATACGCACTGGCATGCCTCTCAAACGATACGCTACTTCTCCCTGCCCAGAGTATCGGTCAGGCCCAGCTGATCAACTTGAAGGCCGGCACTTCGAGTACGAAGCGTGTTCTGCGCGCTCACAACTCATCTTTGAGATGTATAGCACTTTCTCAGGACAACTCCTTCCTGGCTACAACCAGCGAGCAGGGCACATTAATCAGAGTGTTCAGCACAACAACCCTCGACCAAGTGGCAGAATTCCGCAGGGGAATGGATCATGCCGTCATTAATGCTGTCGACTTTAGTCCGGGTAATCGATTTGTGGCCTCCACCAGCGACAAAGGAACTCTTCACATCTTCGACCTGAGACCTTCTAACACTACGCATACGGCAGCTTCAGCGAAAGAACGCGACGCCGAACACCGCAAACATCGCAAATCGCAATCCTACGCTAGTCATCGCATGTCAGCGGGCTACGATAAAGAGTCGATCTCTGGCTTCTCCGTCGGCCGCTCCTCGCCAGCGCCGTCTACAGCCATTGGGACTGGCGCTGGTGCTGCCGGCTATCATGGTAGCGTTCAAGAGTACTACGGACTTCGGCCCCCGCCAATATCTGCGTCACCACCCGCACGAGATGCAGCTGTATCCGCTGTGGCCGCACTGAAAGCTAGTCCATTGACACCTCGTGCCTTCCGCGACCTTCGTAGTGTGGCTTCTGCACCATTCTATATTGGTGATGATCCTCCGCACTGGCAAGGAGGCCCTTCACATAGCTGGACAACGGCGCCAAATGGCACGAGGAAGCGGATCAAGAACGCCATCTTGCCGCTCCCAAACGAGCCATCTGGACGGCCACCCAAAGGCATGATATCTTTCGCTCCTGTCGCGAAGGATAGCAACGACGACCAAGGCGCAGCTCTGTATGTAATTGGAGGAGGTAATGATGCTCGCTGGGAAATGTTTGAGTTGGTGCCAGCAGCATCTGCGGACGGAAGTGCGGGCTGGGCATTGATCAATCGAGGTTTCAGAAAATATCTGACCCGACAGTTTGCAGATTGATGAGAAGAGTGCATGATGGCAAGCTGCATGTGTGTAGAAGGACCATTGAATATTTGTGGCAGAGCATTCTGTGCAGCTACAGCTCTGCCGAGAAATTAGAGAGAAACGATCTGATCAATCCGAAACGAATCCAAACTTCACCCAAGAACATCACTCTATACCACACGCCAAGCCGTATTTCCGCAACAACCATCTGTTCCACATGACAATCGTCGTACTCTCATAAAAACATCAACCCAATTCACAAACAAATGTACCTATCCCATTCAATTCCCTCATCAACACAACTCCACCATGCACTTCACCTTCACCTCCTCCTCCCCTCACCCCTCTCATCAGCAACTCCCGATCCCGCCCTCTCAAACTCCAAACCCCGCCGTCCAAAACCCTACAACTGCCAACCCGCCAGAACCTCTTAACAAATTCAAAGCCGCAGAATGTTCTCACAATACGAGGACACATGAAGAAAAAAAACAGGTAAGAAAAGCGAGCGAAGCGAGCAAATACCCACCCTATCAGAGTCGTTTAGTTGTGACAGACCACACCTTCGATTCCGCTGCGTATGGAGCACCGTATGGGACTTGTGAGGCTTATACGTAAGAGCCGCCTGCGACGCCAGGTAAGAATCAAATATCCCTCCTCCCTCCTCCCTCCTCCCCTATCCTTACTTTCCTTTCTGTCGTTCTTTCTCTTTCTACTCGTTAACGCTCGACCAGGGGAAATGCGCGACGAGATCGACTGCTGGACTTTTATTTCTGGGAAGAAGGATATGGAAAGTCAGCGGGAGAAGGAGCGGGATGTATTAAGTCACCGGATGATGGGACGTGTGGGTGTGAGAATAGTGATGGGGAGTTTATTTATGGTGGGGATAATTGTGTTTATAAAAACGAACCACGACCACAAAGAGACGTCGAAGTGATGAGGGTGGGGATGACTGTACTTGGACAACAAGGAAGAGAGTGGCGAAGAGGGTGGAGGACAAGAAAGTTGGTATAGATTTGGATTTTCGGGAAGGGGTATCTAACGCTGAACTGCTGTCTCTCTTCACTGATTTGATGATTGGCCTTTTGAAGATTTTGTTGGCGTTACATCTCGACTTGATGCGCCGCCGCCTTTCTTCATCAAAGACTGAAAATACTCTTCCAACTTCGCAGTGTCAAGAGGTTCCTTGTTGTCCGATACCTTAGGTGATGTTACGCCAGGAGTGCCACTGGATGTCTTTTTGTCATCTCCCGCGTGACTGGCATCGCGATGGGATCGGCCAGGAGGTTTTGGCGTTGATGTCCGGGGTGTTGGCGACATTGGGGAGTCCGACGACTGGTTTGGCCGCTTGAGACGATCGATTGCTGCTTGCGCGGTCATTGTGTCGTAACTGACACCTCCCACGTTGAACGATACTTCACCTAGTTCGCCAAGTGCTCCGGTCGACTCCCCAGCTGGCAGACCAACAACACGGCCCCCAGTTCCGGAAAGGCTGGTATTCGAGACACTCGTATGGTGGCCCTTCGATTCTTTTTCGCGATCTTGAGCTTCTAGCTGTTGTAGATGCTGACGCATTTCCGCCAAGAACACTTGATCAGGTTTTGTTGTGACCTCTATCTGAGGTGGTTTTGGAGCTTTGTGCGCCTGAGGATCTAGCACTCGTTGCTCATACGTGCGCACAGCGGACGGTGACAGTTTCGACGGTGATAGAGTGGCTTCTGGAAAGTCCTCATTCTCGTCCACTGGAGAGCTCTCGTAAACTTCAGCGCCTCCATTTGCTTGCTTGACCTCAACGGCTGTCTCGACGGACATTGGTTCAGGAGCAGGCTTAGGTGGTGGGGGCGGCTCAAGATCTGCGAGCCAACCGTTCATAATGTCTTCTGGGGAGAAGGTCTCGCTCAGGGTTCTGATGAAAGCTGGGCTGTCCCAGCCTGCCGGGATGACAATTGCCATTCGATCCATGAATTCGTGCTTTGGCGTCAATTCTTCACGCTTTTCTGCTCCTGAGCTGGACCTTGCCCTCCTTGGACTTAGTGTGGTCAGGTCTAAACCAAGCGAGTGGAATATGACCTTCTGCTGTTCACTCAGCGGCCCTCCAGCTTGCTGTGGTGGCGCAGTCGAAGTGGTATAGATCAGTGCACTGAATGGGTGCAGAGGCAGAATGGCCGTGCGTAGACATTGTGAGATGTAGTCGAAGTCCTCCTCTTTGTAGCCTTCTCGGAACAAATCTTCCTGTGCCTCTGTGTGCTGGACAACGACGGTGATTGCGAGCTGAGCTTCCTTCAACACGTCGAGGGCATCAGTCGCAGGTACACCAGGCTGGAGCAGAGCCTGAGCAAGTAGCTGTAGCCATCGCTTAAGCTGTTGTAGGAATTGCCACGGTTGCTTCCAACTCAGCAGAATACAGACACCAGGTTTTCGTTCCTCCAGCGGGTCACTCTCGCCATCGAGCTCTACGTCACCACGCTCACCCTCCTCTTTCGGCTTCTGCTCTTTCTTGAGCAAGCTTCGCAGCGTGCCCACATACTCTTCCATGGCCTCTGGCAGCGTATGTATCTGCAGACTCGCGACTTCCTCGGCCTCGGCACCCAGCACTTGCACCCCAGTGCCACTCTGCTGCGGCGGCGAGTAGAGGGTGACGTGGCCGTAGCCGTAGGCATACTGGTTACTCAGGCGCAGCTCTCCCTTCGTCCTCTGCTGCTTTCGTTCCTGGTTTCTGCTTGGCGGCTGTGCGGGAGGCGGTCGGGCGAGAGTCGACACAAATTGCCGCTGGTCATCTGGAGATGCGCCGCATATCAGCAACTGCCGATGTTGAACGGCTTGGGTTTTGTTGCGGGATTGAGCTTCGCGAGTCTGTCGCAGGAGATTCGACCAGATGTCGGTTCGTTGCTCTTTCTTTCGCTTCTGTGCTCGTTCCGTAAGCGTCGTTCGGGACATGACGGTCGATGCCATCTCGCTAGGTCTGCTCAGCCCAACTCAGGCAATACTGTCCGGCTGAATCGCATGCTCTTCCATGTCCATGTCCACGTCGACCTTCATCACAGTTTCAAACACGCGCCAGGGCTGCGCTACGCGAGTTGGCGAGGTGCCCAATGCAGTGCAGGGATCACAGATCAAACTTTCGGCAGTCGGGGAGAGCCCCACGCCAAGAACGCCAAGCCACACCAAGCAAGCCAGCCTTCCCGCCAGACAATTCTTCGCTGTTACTCTCAGTTCTCCAGTCACGAGTCAATGGCCAGCGAAGCCCGATTCCGCTGCAAAGAATGTGCGTGGGCGTAGAAAGTGCTCAATCTCAAACACGCCACCATCTTCACCCAAGTCCCGACAATACTACATACAATGGGCAAGCTTCGGTATCGGTCTTGGCACTTCCGGCACGCCGGTGCCCAGCTCAGTCACAATCGGAACTTTCACCAGCAACTTCGCGCACTTCGGCACCTCCACCTCGCCATCGACGAATATGCCAGCCTTGTCCAAAGTCTATCCGACAACGAGCATTTGCCTGACTGGTCTTCTTCTCTTGCAATGCCAGGTTGAGGGGAGATTATGCTACATTGAATTGTCAACTTCCTGGGTGCGTGCGGGAAAAACCCTCCGTATGCTGAAGATGTTGAGCTTCTCGAAGCATGAGCATCCCAGCATCCCAGTCCAGTCTTCGCCTCCTGCTAATTATAATGCCACTGATCCTCCGTAGCTATCACAGCAGCAACACTGGATTTCGCCATTGCCAACATGATGCTTCCCGAGGAGTTGCTGATCCATGTTTTCGGCCACTTGGACCAGCGAGACGATCACCACAGCCTTTTGAATCTTCGTCTGGTCAGCAAGACGTTCCGTCGACTGGTCGATCCGTTGATCTCGATTGTGCTCGATGGCGCCCCGGAAACCAAATCAGATGTCCACCTCAGCGGCTATCCCAATCGACTGGTGGCCATGAGAGATCCTCAGGTCCGCGAGAAATTACGACCCAAATTTCTGCAACTTAAGAGATGGGCGGAAAAAGTCTCCCAGCAACCATGTCTGGCTCGGGTGTTCGTGAAAGAGGCCAAATTTGGCCACATGCATCCGCGACGCGAGCCTGACGCCTACACGCCTGGATCCGTCATGCCCATGTACGAGCAGCTCTCAACACCGATCGATATGTGCGCCTGTCTTCGCCAGCAGGTGTTATCACGATTGGCAGAACATCACGAGAAAGGCCATGTTGCCATCATTCTTTCGCTGTGCCACTCACTGGAGATCCTAGACTTTGCCTTTGGCTTTGAAGCAAGTGGCAGGTTGCTGACACGCTACTTTCAGTTCATCGCTGAACGACATTTGGGCTACTATGCTGGACGAAGCCCAGCCTTCCCCGTGATGGGTTCCATCAAGATTGTCAGAATTGGTGTCTCGACATGTAACTACTGTACAGGGCTTTCGGATGCGCTCACAATGCTCACCCTGCCGCGATTGGAGGAGTTGACTATACGTGGGCTTGCCGATAATCGAAGCCACAGTAATCACGATCTACCTCTCCTAGATGGCCTCATTCGCAATCGCAATCGCAATCTTGTCTTGCACTTTGACTCGTGTATGCTAAGTGGGGAAGGCCTGGCGCACATTCTTGCTGCATGCACGTCCATCTGCTCCCTAACCGCCAGGTGGCGCGGCGGTCTTTGGACAGAACATCTTCGAAATCCCCCAATCGGAGACGCCATCAGGGCACATGGATGGAAGATTCGACGCCTTCATCTCGACACCACGCCATGCTGGATTGGTGTCGGCAGAAATCACACCCCAGAGGAACCATTTGGAAGCTTTGCGGATATTCAGTCGAAGATGCTGGCATTGCCCCGAAGCACCTTTGCTATAGATGATCTTTGGCTCCCTTCGCATATCGTCAGAGGGACATACGTCGCCGGTCAGCTGCCTCCAAGTCTTGAAGAGCTATATGTGCTTGGGGCAGACGACGCAGCCGGGTTCGATGCTCTGCTCAACCATCCAGACCTTCCGTATTTACAAAAAGTTGTCTGCGTGCCATGGCTGCGAAAGAGTGCCCGTCAAGGATGGAGAGGCTTTGGAGACACTACTTGCATCAATTATTGGAAGGCGACGGGATTGGATATTGACAGTCTCGCCTCGGCTTGACCTCTTCCATCTAAAAAGCTGATCGTGATTGAAGACAAGATTCCAACTCGACTTGCTTGGCATTGCTTCCAACTGCCGCACACCTGCATCGCATCCCACGTTTCTGTACCCTAGAATACAGCAATGCACTTCGGTGCATTGCCTAACCGGGGTTTCGGGATTTGCAGTCCCCAGCATCTCGTCACGTTGCCTGTAACTAGACATAGCCCTGACATATCACGATGGATGGAGCGCTTCGACTAAAAGCTTGTCTCAGCAGATTCCCACATGGACGTGCGATAAGGGCGAGGCGATCACAGGGCACTTTTGTTGTCGATTTGCGAGGAGGTTCGTACCGCGTAAGGTAGGATAGAGGATAACCGTTTCCATGTTGGACGGCTCCTTCATTGGATTGCGTAGTTCTCGATAGTGCAAACTTCATCGACTGACATAAAGAGTGCATGTTTAGCTATACTTCCCAGAATAATTACAAGGATATTCTCAGAGCCAGCGAGCTTGCTCATAAGATCAGGTCCAGCGAAGAGTGCAAAATATCGCATGGCTCTGAGCTGTTACTTTGTCGCCATGTGTGCAGCTGGGGAGGAGGAAGGAGCTTTTTTGAAATTGCAACGCTCGCCACTCCTTCTACGCACCAGTCTGATTGTGATTTCGTACTCGCTCTAGACGCCTTCCACAACTCTCGTCACGAAGTAAACTGAACGTTAGCGGTACCTACAGGTATTGAAGATCAGGACAGGGAGGCCACCATTCGCGTTAAGATCATGGAAATTCGAACAGTGGCTGTAAGAATAGGAAGCCAGCCTTTGTTGAAGGCACCTTCCATTTCAATAGCCCTTGACTTGTCCTTCTGGTGATCAGGAGCAAGCTGAAGTGCACCATGATCGTCCAACCAAAGATCTAGCCCATCAGGTATGTCCATGATCTTGTACGTTCCGGAATCATCGGATGCCTTCCGGAACACTATCATCTGCCAGCGTGACTTCCCCGAGTTTGCTGTCATTGTGCAAAAGGCATCTCCAGGTCGCAGTTTCTTGCATCTCGCCAAAGCATAATCAATGGCATGACGCGGAGGAAAATCTGGATGTCGCAGCAAGGCTCCAAGCCGCAGTCAGTTACATGCATGTATAAGCTAGCGTTTCTTCTCGAAGGTCGAACGTGTCAATATGTGGTTCGAGTTCCGTTCAGCACAATGCCACTCATCACTGGGAGCCATATAATACGGTAGGAGGACCGAGTCGCACCGTGGGTTCAAGGTAGGATGAGTTTTTACAAGGAGAATCGGAAGTCGAAGGCAGGTGCGGTGGCAAGGCGTAAGGCTGCAGTAGAGCCGCCAATCAGGCCGCCAATAAAGCAAACTTTGATTAACCAACTTTATTAAAGCCATCGCGGCAAACATACCTCACCTCCGCCCACCTCAATCTTCCCACCTTCCTCTATCTCCCTACGCATCGCCACAACCATGGTCCTCCGCCTCCGCCTTGCCCGCGTCAGCACCCCCAATGGCGCAAAACGGCACAAACCCTTCTACAACATCGTGCTGGCAAAAGACAAAACCGCACGCGACAGCAAACCCATGGAAGTCCTAGGAACATACGACCCCATCCCCAAACTCCCCGTAGGCGCTGAACCGGGCGAGAAAGCACAAAAAGATATAAAAATCGATGTGTCCAGAGCGAAGTATTGGTTGGGGGTGGGTGCGCAGCCGTCGGATGTTGTTTGGAGGTTGTTGAGTATGGTGAGTGAGCCAGCGAGAAAAACCTGGGTTGGGAGGGAGAAGGGTGTGATTGATACTGATATGGAGTAGATTGGATTGTTGGAACCTAGGTATTTACCTTCGGGACCGCAGTCTTTGAAGCAGGCGAGGTTTCCTACGCATTTGCCGAAAGTTGGGGAGGCGACTGCGGTGGGGCAGGAAAAGAAGAAGAAACGAATTGCGCCGTTTAGATTGCTGCAGCAACAGAAAGAGACGAGTAAGGGGACGAGTGTGAGGAGCGCGTTTGAAGAGGAGAGGATGAGGAGGAGCGAGGAGGGGGTTGCGGGGACGACGAGTCCGGTGGATCCTAATTCTGTGTGGTGAGTTGGATGATGGGAGGGAGGAAAGGATTGTATAAAGGCTTTGACGGTATAGAAGAAGCTCAAGGCGCTCCAACGTAATGGTGGAGTTGGAGGCGTTTCGCTACGTGTCACGCGGCTGAAAGATCCGTGAAGACATCCATGCGCAAGGAATCGGCCTCCTCCAGAGCTCGCCATCTTTGACAAAGCAGATATGGACAGGCTGAAAAACATATCTAAAGCAGCGAAGGAGCTCGAGCGGATGGGACAATGATGCTCAGGCATCATGTAAGATGTGTATAAACATCCACGAGGAAAGCAGAGTGCTGCTCAAGCAGCTTACCGAATAAGAAGATCTTGGAATCAAATACGAATTTTTGCTGAGAAGTTCTCGATACCTTTTATTACTGATTCTCGAGCGAGCATCGAGCGTGAAATGCGTGACCTCTGCGACTTTTGATCAATGAAGCAAGATAATCGCCCTTTGCTCAATGACTACCCTACCGTTCGCCATCACTAAGCCGCGCGACTAAGCCAGAAAACTTAACCTTGTGACTTTTCGCTGGACCATTCAGTATGCGCCAGATCATCGTGCCCAGAATGACTGTCAAACACCGGGGTTCTGAGGCTCATATGTACACCTTGAACGGACCCAGATCTTGACGGGTGAAATGAGAAGAGGCTCACCAGTGAGAAGTTCTCCTCCCAGGATCAGTGTACGCAGATGAGTTGAGTTGCATGGATGAGCTCGACATATCATATCATGTGCCAGATGATCATGAAGCATGCCTCCAGAGCGAAGGATACCGACCTCATCAAGTTGTGCCATTGCTCTTTTCCCACATTGTCCCTCCAAATATGTCCTTTGGCTCTTGAAAGTACCTACTGTCAAAGATCCCTGCTGTCAGAAACGCTTGCTGACACTATGGCTGCGCAGATTCCATGTCTCGACTAACAAAACAGTCTCCACTTACGCTTTGCTTCTGGTAACGCGCCGTGGTCAGCGATCTGCTGTCGCATACCGTCTGCTGGGCGATGCACCGCTTCGCAGAAGTCATCGATGTCGTTTTCGATGCTCTTCTCTGGACTGGCTACACGATGACGGCGGCGCTGGGCTTGGTGAGCTGCTCTATTCATCACTTGAAGGTTCGAATATCCCGCTGTCAGCCCCGGTTCTTGTGCGACTTGCTCTACAACATCGACTTCTGGTCGCGGAGCGCCAGTGAGGGCAGCATATGTCGAGGTGTCGTGAGAAGGCGGTGCGGGTGTCCAGGGACCTGGGCTGGAGGTAGAGTCAGTGGTATCGGAGACGGTTGATGATGTGGCAGTAGAAGTCGAGGAGCTGAATGGTGTGCTGGTCCATTGCTGCCGGGACTTAGCTTGAGACTGGCGAAAGCCAGGGCCACGCCAGTACAGTTGACGCATTCGTCTAGCTGCATCCTGGCGACCTTGCTTGAAGGCTACGTTGAGATCTGCTATGGCCGAGACACGCCGCAGCGAGCGTGGCTGCTGGGCCTGAGACATACTGCGCTGATATGCAATCTCGGATGGAAGCTGGAACCTGTGCATGCTGGAGGGTGGGAGCTGTGCGATTTCGAAGACCTGCTTCGGAATGGTGGATGCTGCTGATTCACAGGATTGAGAAGTTCTTACGTTGCTATTGAACGTAACGGACGGTCCGCTCGAGTCTCTCATGGAATGGTATGCTGGAACTGCTTGATGGAAGCAGGAACAGGTCTGATCTGGCTGAGTTATATACGATCTCTTGCCAGCACCAGCGGTGGCCAGCGCCCACGTTGCTCGGCACAGCCTCGAGGGAACAATGCCATTCTCCCATCCTAATACAGGCTTGCTCAAAGGCCTGGCGAACTCAAGCGTAGTGAATGTTTGATACATGACCAGTCGGCTGCATGCCTGCTCGTCCACTGGTCAAGGGCTCCAGCGGGAAGACTGTGAAACGCGAGAAGCCATTGTTCTCTCTGCTTGGCGTAGCATGAACATTCACAAGGCCAGCTGAGGTCGGAGAGAAGTGATCAGGCCCAGGCTGGAGGCAGCGCAGGTCATGCTGTGAGATTCTCAGCCCACAGCACGCGCCCGGGTCCTTCGGCCTTGCAAAGCGGTATTCTGGAGGCGGCCATGACGCTTTTACTGGGCTGCAATTCCACGCGCCGGATGTTGTATGAGGCAAAACACAGCATGAAGAAAGATGTGTGAAGTTGAGTTGGAAAGTGTTCCGAGATGCCTGATATCTCAGCCATTTCAGCCGCACTGACGCTATACCCAGCCGTAGTGCTTGCGACGAGCCGAAAGACCCTGCAGATCTTCAAGCCTTATCCCTGCTAAGGCAATTGCAATCGACTCACACCTCTTCCTACACTGTGGTATTCTGATGCTTTATACACATCACGCGTCGGCGGCCACACGAACGTGTTTTGCTCATCCGGATCATGATCCGCGAGTTCAGCTCGATAAGACGATCCGAATGACACCGATCTTGGCACTCTCTGTCCATGGTAGCTGGATACCCGACTGCTGAACGGTATGTAAAAGTGACGAGTTGTAAAGATTCACAAAAGCTTCATGTTCCAGCGAGGCGTGCAAGTCTTCCAGCAGCTTCGAAAGCGCCGGGTTCGTATGGTGAGCAAGGCACGAGTGAGTCGATGGTATAAAAGGCGCGTTGAAATGGTATGGAATCAGCTTCTTTTCCTCACTCACGAACGCTCGACCTCAAAATCTTCCTCTGCCCCTACTTACGTCTTCAACAACTTTGAGAAGAAGAATGTCTCACTTCTCTATGTCTTCCATACCTCTCATGGCGGCACACGAGTTCGGCAATCTCTCGTCAGCATCCTCCCTCAGCCCTCCACCACAGGTCTTTGTCCTTGAACGCCACGAGTATGGCGAGATGTACGGCGAAGATGGAACTCAGCAGACCATCGCCATCTACTCCAGCCTGGGAGCTGCCATTGAAGCCGCTCGTAACCTCGCGGAAGATGAAGCCAGCCAATACGACTCCGACTTCAATGTGGAAGAGGACGTTGGTCGACCAGGCCACTACCACCTATCTTATGCATTCGATTTTGACGACTATTATTCAATCTCATTCAACGTCTTTCCAAAGGCTCTTCATGGCTCCTTGGATATGCACCACAACGCTATGGCCTACCATCATCATACTCAAGCCCAACCTCCGGCATCCACCTACGGGCCTATGATCACCATACCGCAGGGCAGACGCCTTCTGCGAGGTGCAAAGTGTAAGCCAGTCAGTCGCTCCATCGCAGGTTTGCATGGACTAATGTGTTTCAAGTCATGTTCACGGGCACACTGCATTCAATGGCTCGCGACTCTGCCATAGCTGCAGTAGACGTGTACGGAGGGCAGATGGCAGCGGACAACTCAAGTGTCGATTATGCAGTGGTTGGGAGCAATCCACATCCAGACGTGAGTGCAGAAGCTCCGGTGTCTTCCGAAATGCACTGACCAGAGGACAGAAACTTAGGGCCATCGCACAGCTAGGACTCGAGGTCGTCGACGAAAGGACGTTCCATAAGATTCTCGTCGATGGAGTGCCGCCAAATAAGATCCTCCGTCACGAGCGACTGCGAGAGATCAACAGCGGAGCCAGCAGTCCGCTCGGCCTTCCTCCACGCATGTGAAAGTCGTGCTTCAACACTCAGATCAGACTGCCCTCCGACCAGGTTCTCCAGCAGCAGGTGGTGAAGAGATGATGGGATTGATTTGAGATTTTGACCTTGATCAGCTGGAATCGCTGCCGTAATCACAGCACTGGAGTCCGAAGATTTGTCTTTACCCCAACGTTTGAAAGGGATCTGTCTCGAGCTTGAAGACGTTCGCCATGTTGTGCAGGATGAGGGATTCAATTTGGAAAAACAACCAAGTGAATGGCGGAGGCCTTCCATTAGCGCAGCTGTCGCGATAGCCAATCGGTGAGGTTGTAGGGCCTGAAATCAAGACTAGTCGCTATGACGCTGCCAATGCTCAACTCTTTCTGTGCACGTCCTTCGGCTAATCTCGTCTCTTACGACACTTGACGTAGTTTTTCCAAGTTTGCTGTTGCGCCTTGTGCGCCTCCATCAAGGCACGATGCTAGTCATGATGATCTGCTTCAGGTACAAGTGGTAAGCTCGCAGCACTCTTTAGTAAAGGTCAGTAGCTCTCTTTCTCTCTCGTTACGCGCGCTGCATTCACGACCATGGCAGTCTGCACTATAGCTTTGGTCATTGCCCTGGCGGCAATGACAATGGGCATTAGCCAGCAGCAGCCACTATACTCGACATATGAATTCAACCCGCTTGAGCACCTTGCCGGTATTGCTCCATACTTCGAGCCATCAGATCCACCGCGAGATCCTTCACCACCAAGAGGATGCGAGGTAACAAAAGCGGCCTACCTTGTCCGGCATGCTGCGATCAACGCGAACGATTTCGACTACGAATCCTATCTTGAACCATTCATCCACAAGCTCACGAACACGACCGTAGATTGGAGTAAAATACCTGCGCTATCTTTCCTCGCAACCTGGAAGCCGCCTGCTCTGAAGGAACAAGAGCGCGTTACGCGGACTGGCAAGCTCGAGGCTGCGCAGCTTGGTGTTCAGATATCATATAGATATCCCAACTTGGGATTGCCAAAGCGCGTTTGGACCAGCAGTGCTGAACGAACTGTTGTCAGTGCCGAAAGTCTGATACGAGGTTTGGAGGTTGACGAGAATGAGATCAATCTCGTTCAGGTCTACGAAGGAGAGAAGACTGGCGCAAACAGCTTGACACCTTACAAATCATGTCCTGCATACTCTTCCTCGCGAGGCTCCGAGCAGAGCACGACATACGTAAAGAAGTACACGGCTCCCATTCTGGCTCGTCTGCATTCGCTCGCGCCGAACTTTAACTGGACGTCAAGCGATGTCTTTGGTATGTTTGAGTGGTGCGGCTATGAAACCGTCATTCGAGGAAAGTCTCCGTTCTGCTCGCTCAGCCTATTCAACCCCGACGAGTGGCTCCAATTCGAGTACGCTCAAGACATCATGTACCACCACAATACAGGTTACGGCAACCCAGTGTCCGGCAGCATTGGCTTTCCATGGCTCAATACTACAGCCAACCTGCTCGCTTCGGAGGAGGACGACGATCAGGACATCTACATCTCTTTCACCCATCGTGAACTTCCTCCCACAGTACTGGTTGCGATGGGCTTATTCAACAACTCTGCTATGACGGGAGCCAACGATGTCAATGCCACCATGCCTCTTGAGCAAGTCAACCACCACCGCCAGTGGATCAGCTCCTATATCCTCCCCTTCCTAACCAACGTTGCGGTGGAGAAGATGAACTGCTCTGCCTCATACGGGTATCAGAACGCTTCAGACCCCACCTACTACCGTGTCTTGGTCAACCGGAGCCCGCAGACATTACCTGGATGCTTTGATGGTCCACTCGAGAGCTGCTCGGCATCTGGCTTCCAGCAATTTTTGGAAGAACGAAGCGCTCAATTTGGGGACTTTGGGAAGGCGTGCGAGGTCGATTACGACAATTCCACGAATACAATCAGCTTCTATACTAATCAGAATAATGGGACTACAGTTGGCAAGAGAAGCATGAGATATGGTAGAATGTAGAGGCATAGACCTACAGTAAAGTAATGATTGACGACTTCACGTGCGCACGCGTCATATAAGTGAAGACACTGAAGAGAGGAATGTGAACAGTAGACTGCTGAAGATTTTCAATTCTTTCAATCCTTTCTTCATGCTCATATTAATGAGGTCGGCCATGTGCCATTGTTGGTTTATGTGACGCCCGATCAAAGTCTAAACTTTGGTGAACATCTCCACGTCCCCGGCTTCGAGTGACGCGCAGCAACGATGTCTCCCACAATCGCAACGGTCTCGTACAAGAAAAAGGATGGCACGCTCGCTGTTGCCGAAGACAAGCGCAATACCTGGTGGACACCGGCAGATCCGCCTTCATCGGCTCCCGCAGTGACGATTAATGTCACTGACATCACGAATCTCCAGCAAACGCCCAAAACCTCGAAAGCGATCGCACTGAAAATCCTCGTCAAGGAGAACAGCTATGTCTTCACGTTCAACCATAAGGACAACGCACGAGAAGAGCAGCAGACAGTGACGGATGTGTTGAGCGGCGCAATAGCAGCGAACAAGGCGAAAGATGCGAGCAAACTTGTCCCGCAGGCAGCAAGTGCCTCTGGTGCGGCAACGCCCACACCTAACCCTGGCGAAAATGGCGGACAGAGTGCCGCCATGGCAATAGCGAAAGCTGTGTCCTCAAAGGGTGTTGACGATGCGTGGTATGATGACGCCAAGCTCAAGTCCGACTTCAATCTACAGCGGTCACTGCTCGAGTCCAATAAAGCGCTGAGCGAACGCTTCAATCAAGCTTTAAAAGATAAACCTGAGAGCGTATCGGTATCACAATTCACATCTCAGTTCTGGTCGGCGCGAATACATCTGCTACGCGCACATGCTATAGACAAGGCTCAAAAGCAAGGAGAGTACAATGTCTTACCGGAAATCAAGTTTGTGCGAGAGCCCGCGAAGAAGGAGGGCGAACCTGATACGAAAAAGCTTCAGCTATCTAAGGAGCAGATACATATGATCTTCAAGCAGTATCCCGTGGTGAAGCAAGCGTACGATGACACAGTTCCGAAGCCGCTCAGTCCCGGCGAATTCTGGACCAAGTTCTTCAACAGCAGATTACTCAAGAAACTCAAGGGAGAGAGGATCACACAGCATGATCCAACGGATCGGGTGCTGGACAAGTATCTCGACCGGGAGGCGACTGGGCCTGCTAGCATAGCACATATCCCGCACTGGATGGATCTGGAGGGTAATGAGCAGAATCACAGTCAGCGAAAGGGAAACCGACCTGACGAGGATATGCGACCGAGCTCATATGATAAAGTGCCCATCTTACGAGTGCTCAATAACTTGTCCGAAAAAATGATGGCGCATGTAGCACCACAAGATGGAGAGGCACATGCGCCGATTGGTCTGGACGAGGAGACATTCGAGCAGCTTCGGCTTCAGGATCTTGCCAACGAAGAGTCCGACAATAGAGTCCGACTCAATGTCAAAGAGCAGCAACGCTACGTCGGAGGCGACAAGGACGCTCTTTCTGCAGACGCCCAGCTGTATGCCAAGCAAGACCCCCGGAAAGTGCTGTCTATGCTTAACTCTGGCCTGCAGCCATCAAATCTCGGCAGCGATGAGCAAGGCACACTACGCCTCGATCAAGTAATAGGATACAACAGCGACGATTCCGAGTCTGATGAAGACTTGACGTCGCAAGAAGCCAATGGCGCGCCTCCTAAGAAGAAGCGGAAACACAAATTTGCATCTCACGGCGCCATGACCGCCGCATCGAAAGACATCATGTCATCAATCAAGAATCGACGGAACGCCACTTCATCAGACACGAATACCCTGAATGGTCTCTCCGAGTCTACGTACGAAAACCTCGCAATGACACACAACACCACCACCGAGTTTTTGCATTACTTCTGGTCACTCTTTCTCTCAGGTGACGCATCTCGAACTGCAGAGCTCGCACAACTGGTATCGACTCTTGATCGGTCATTAGATCGGATCAACGCTGTAGGTGAGCAGGCGGAAGCCGAGCGGCAAAGGCGGATAGACGCGCTCAAACAGAAGTTGGAGGAAAGAATCAAGAATGGTGCCAAACGGCGCAACGTCGACTTCGAGAAACAGGTGCCCGGAGGAAAGAAGGCTGTGGACGCGATGATCAAGCCGACAGTACAGGCTTTGCAGCAGGCGAGTAATGCGTATAGGAAAGCATTGGAGGAGCAGACGAAGGAGGCTGCGGCGGCTGGTTCAGCGGCTTGAATGGTTGCTGGCCATTGTTGTGGATGGGTGTCGCCTTGCTGAGTTCACCGTCAGCTAGTCATGCAATATGCATTCAGACCGCTGTACTGTAATGTTGCCATTGGCATGACTAAACAGCCTCCAAGGAGTGCAGTGACTGGAATCCGCAATAGACATTCGAATGCACAACGTTGCAGAGACATGAAAAGAGAAAGTTGCATGACCACTGCTGCAAGGCGGTGCCGGATCTTCACGAATATTCTCATTACTTCAAAGGGAAGGAACCTTTGGTCTTGCAATGGAGTCCACCGGTCTCGAAATTGACCTTTCCATTCACCAATCCTACCCACATGGCAACGCATGCGAACGTTCCCGTTTCGCCGCTAGTAAACACGATGCAGCGGCTTTGATACTCGTTCGTATACTGTCGATTACAGCGAGCACGAAGATTTCGATCACCTGCTTCGGCTTCATCTTCTTGACGCCCAAGCTGCTCAGCTGTACCAGCCATCGAGACGTGGACGATTTGCCAGGGGTAACTGACACGTGTGAGAAAACTGGCAAGTCGTCCCAAGACTGTTCGCAAGAAGCGATTCTGACACGCACGCGACTAGGTGATGTCTGACAGGCCTCTTTCAATAAAGTCTACACAGCGTACAGTTACGAGTATTCCAATTATGCCGCTCAAGTCTCGCAAGCATCAACAATTACAACATCCTCCGTCTCTCCCAATTGACCGAAGTCTCCTTTGATGTTCGACGAGATTCTCATGCAGAACAAAGCGACAATGCAGCGACGAAAGCAGAATTCACTGGCGCACTGAGAAGCAGACGCGTATCTGAACACCCCCGGTTGCAGAACGCGTCGAGGCGCACAGTATGAGTAGCTTGCGGGAAAACGTTTAGCCAGCCGTTGGATTGGAAGAAACACTATGACTATGTTTGCCCCTTCCTCGGTCCTGGGACAGAGGCAACGCCTATCCATCTCACGCCGCCCAACTCCTCTCGCCCCTCAAAAACTCATCAAACCAACACACCGCCTGCAAAAACGCCGCCTCCTTCGCAAACTTCACGGCAGCTTTCGTCGTATCCGCACGCACCGCAAACCCATGTTCCACATCACTGTACAAAGAAATCTGGTACGGGATTTTCATGCCCCGGAGGATGTCTTCCGTCTCGCGACGTTTTTCCGCAGGGAAGATTTGGTCTGTTTCGGCGGCGGCGATGGAGAGGGGGCCGGTGAGGGCTTTGACTTCGTCGGCGTCGACGAAAGAGGGGTGTGCCATGTAGCCGACGTCGAGACCTTTGCCTCCCGTCATGAAGCGGGCGACGTATTTGGCGCCGAAACAGTAGCCCTGAGAGAGAGGGGAAAAAATCAGCGTCAAGCTTTCCTACTCTCTGTATCATAACTCACCACACCCCCGATTTTCGTAATCCCCAACTCACCCTTCATATACTTGATCACCTTCTCAACAATCGGATCAACCTGCTTCGTCGTATGCCCCTGACTCGGTCCAGACGTCTGCAGCCACTTCATGATGTCAAAGTCTCCTGGCCGGTTGAGTGGGACGGGATCCCCTTCGAATAAGTCTGGCATGATGACGTAGTACCCATTTGCGGCGAATTGGTCGGCGATGAGTTGGGCGTTGAGGAATTTATGGCCGATGACATCGGTGAGGATGAGAATTGCGGTGGAGGATTTGGGGCCGACGATGTAGGTTGAGACTTTTTGTTTTTGCATTATTAGATTGAGGTGTTGAAGAGGGTGTGGAGGGTCATACTGTCACCGATAGTCTCGAGCTTTCCTTTCGCCTCGCCCTCGTGCTTGACGCCAATAGTGCAGCATTTTCCTGGTGGGTTGGAAGACATGTTGGGGAACTTGGAGCTTCTGGTGTTGTTGTTACGGGGGGGTGGAGTGGTAGAGGATATGTAACAGAGAAAGGTGCCAACAGGACCAGAGCATCTCTAGACATTTAGCGCGTGTTTCGGTAGAACTAAACCTGCGAGCCGCGTGGTATGACGAAAAGAAAAAAAATGAACCGTCTTCCCTCTTAGCGTGGTGCCTGTCAAGACCTCGAAATTGTTGATTAGGGCAAGTCGACACCGTCGTATTAGCCTCGTTCTAAAACCTGTTCCGGGCTGTCTGAAACCGGAAACCTGTTGGCAGAATTCTTCAGAATCCTTCGATACTATAGACTGTCGCTTTTCCAGTCGGCGTCGTTGTATCCCGTTATAGATTTTTCTTCCCCCTAGGTTGTTTACTAGACGTCGCTTACAGTAGCTCGACGAAATGATGTTTGCGCACGCATCGCTATCGTCGATCCTGTCGCCGCTGTCGGTGCTGTCACTAAGAAGGGTAGTAGTAGGTGGGGCAAGTTTATGGCACGATGGCACAAACTATTACGCATCCCCTAAACGAAGTCCGTAGTTAAGTCCGTCGAACACCCACCCTAGCAGTCCCCTTGTTAGGTTCTACTTTCTATGCTAAATCCGGTGTAGCTCTATACAAACCTGCATTACTACTCGAACAGCGATACTATCCGATTAGGTCTCGGATTCAGCTATAGTAGAGCTTAGGGTTAAGAAGCCGACACCTTTACGAGTCGTCCCCTAGTAAAGGTTTTGCAGCAAACCTTAGTAAGTAAAGGTCTATAAGAAGGTATAGAAGAAGGTATATAATATAGAGGCGTTAAGCACGCTACCGAGATAGATATATAGATAATAGACTATAGATTAAGACCTTCTAACAACTAATTAGCTACTACTAATAACCGAGTCTCGGCTGTCTCGTATACGCCGTCGACTAAGGCGCTATAAGCTTAATAAAGATACCCTTTAAGCCCTTCTCGAGCCGCCGAGTCTACTTAAGAAGTAGTTTAATATTAGTCCGCTTACCGCGAAGGTGAACCTTCTCGTAGAGGTAGTAAGGGACTTAAGGGTAGACGTAAACCTTCTACTAAAGAAGGAGGAGGTAGAGGTATTGCTAGCGGCTAGCTCCGGCGTAGAAGGCTCTTAAAGTAAGGCAACGGTTGTTGTTGCTATTAAGAGATCGGAGTTTAAGGCGCTTTAGCGCGAGGTTGCTTACCTTCGCGAGACGATTGCCGCACTCGTAAAGCAGCAGTATGCCTTAAATGTCCTCTCTAAGAATAATATAGAAGTAATAGCGACTGTTATTAATCGCTAGCGGCGCTCGAAGGGTTATTAGGTTGCGGTCTTAAGCTCTCGAAGAAGGACTATAGATTAGCCTCGTTATGCTATATTATATAGTATAACGAGCATAGCGCAATAGGACTACAATAGTCGCAAGCCATTGTAGTCTAGTATTCTTATATACGTCCGAGAGGCTAGTATTTAAGACCCTAAGCGGTCCTTACGTACTTATAGAGATAACAACGTTACATTAGTAGAATAGACTTCCGCGAGTAGATAGCGTTACTACTACGAGCGAGGCGCCTTACTTCTTCGGCCGTAGGAAGACTATCGCCCTTCCTAATTTGATATCGCTTAGATCGCCTTCTACTACTATTATAGCTGTAACCTACGACGAATTGGCCTTAGCTTCGAGGCAGTAGCGGAGTTAGAGTGCGCTGTGCCCTTGCGGCCGCCTCTATAGCCTGTTTGTTATTAATCTCTTACTAACCGAGTTAGACTAGTTGCTACGCGAGTGCTATACGGAAGTCGCGTTAGTAAGTGAACTGTTAGTCTTTAGTCTACTTCTTATTACCTCGTAGAAGGATAAATGAGTTAACAACAACGGCGTTAAGTAGGAAATAGAATAAGGGGTACTAACCCTTCCGTAACTTGTGCTATATCGAGCAATAATAGCGCAACTAGTTATATATGTTAACGCTACCTATATAGTCGTTATATAGGGCCGCGACCTCTAGAAGAGACATCTCTTGCTTGCCGTCGGTATTCTAATATAGTCGTACGTACTTATCGATATAGGCGTTGTTTCTAGCTCGAGGGCAGGCACGAAGCCGCAGTATTCTCTCGAAGGGTCGACAGCCCGTTATAAGGAATTAGACGAGGTTCCTATCCTACTAGATTACCGCCGCTATACTATAAATTGCCTTATAAAGTAGTGTATTATAGGGAAACCGGGTAGTCTTGCGATTAAGGCCTAGGTATATAGATTTCTGCCTTATACTATCCTTTTTTAAATTCCCTAGCTTTTCGAAGGTTTTGCCTCGCTACGGCTACGAGAGTGAGCTAGATCGTACCGTTCCCGTCGCCGCAATGCCAAGGTATCGTAGGATTGCAAATAATAGTACGTTGTTAAATAGATTGTCTATAAAAATATAGAAGAAGTAGTATAGGAAGGGAAGTTATAAAATTAGTCGAAGGACCGCCTACCGAAGCGAGCTTAGCTTTGCGCTTAGCGAGACGGCAGGCGATACGATTAGGCTTTCGGGTCTCTCGGTAGCGCGGTCCGCGCGGTCGGTACGGACCGCGGTAGTATAACTTTCCTTTCTTACTTGCTATACTGAATATAGCCCTGTATTCAGTCCGTAACTAATACTATTAGGACTACGGTTCTTACGCTTACGGCGCTTCTTATCACTCTCCTTCTCTCGCTCCTTATTCTCGGCGTCCGTAAGAACCTCTAGAGTTACTACCGGGTGCTAAGCGACCGTCGAAGCGATAGAATCCGGATCTTCTACCTCCTATTTATATACCTTCCGAGGGCTCGAGAATAAGAAGGAATATAGGTACCCGTCCTTATACAAATACAATATATAATATCCGATAGGCGTTAGCTTGCCTCGCATTATAATTATATGCCTAGATTTGCCTATAAACCGGATTATGCTCTCGTTAATAGATACGTTAGTACTAGGTACGATAATCTCGCGGAATTTGCTACGCAATATGTTAGCAAGCGGCAATATCTAGGTCTAGGTAGGTAGGCCTCTTCCACTTAACGAGAGCGCGTTATTCCGGTACTATAAGGCCGCCTTAATCTGTTTGAAGCGCTACTCGCTTATATAACCGATAATAGGATACAATAGCTAGTATCCATCGTCCCTCTAGTAGTCGCTCTTGTCGGCTATTTAGATTGCTAATATATAGATAATAATACCTACGAAGATCCGTATTGTTAGCTTGTCTACCGGCTTCTATAGATAGCCGGAAACGACGATCTTCTCGCCCTTCTTAAAGTCCGATTTATTGCTAGCATACTCGTTAGTGCACTTAACGAGCTGGTCTATAACCTCTTCGGTCTAGAAGAGTAAGAAGAAGCGATATTAGACGTTGTCTATTAACGACAAGTTACTACTATAGAGGTCTATAGGCAAATTGACCTACCGCTGGTAAGAGGTGCTAGTTAGTAGCTCGTAGCGACCTTCTATTCTATCTCCTTCCTTCGGATAGTACAATCCGCCTACCCTACTATCTTTGCCTATACCCTCGATATTATTATCTCCTTCTACGACCTCGTATAGCTTATTATCTATACTACTTAGTATAGATTCCCCTACCTTCTCGAATATCGGTTCCCTTCCTTTAGTTAGCTAATTAGTATTCAACTCGTCGTCGTCTATTAAACTAGCGGAGGTGTCTAGCTAATTGTCGTTAGCATCGTCGTTATAACCTTCTTCTATAAAGGTATAGAAGCTCGCTATTATATTGCTGTTTATATGCTTCTTAGCGATATTAGGTTAATAAGGCAAAGGCAATTAAGTCGTATATGCGGAGCAATAGCGGCGGCAACCGCTAAGCTACTTAAAGAGGTTTAACGTACTTATAACCGAGTCTAACTAAGGCCTGTTTATTTACCTATAGAGCGGCTATAGAGCGGCTTCTATATACTAACTAAGTAGATACTATAGGGGTTGTTCCCTATTTTGCCGATAAACGCCGATAGCTAACGAGTTATTATAGGGGATAGCGCAGTTAAGTACTTACGTAATACTGCATTGTCGGCGGTTAAATTAGCTTCGTTGACTTTATATACTAAGAAGTTATGTAACAGTCATATAACTGAGCTAATGCGTTACACGAACTCGGACCGTAAGAGAGAGGTCGCCGATAGGGATAGCAATTTAACGTCGGCTCGCCGGAGATAGGCGTTAAGATGGCATTAGGTGGGCACGGTCCGTTCGAATGTTGTCTTTCTGGATACTGTGCCACTGAGCTTATTGGCCTCTTTACCGTTTACATTAAGGCTATACCATCCTAAGAGCCGGCGGGCTCTATACCATCGGTACCATACAGCCTCTGGTCGCATCGGAGTGAAAGCGCTCCATTCCTCAATCCTGGATTTCAGATGACTAAGCGCCGCGGACCGTAGGCATATAATTCCACTCCGATGTGTGAAGACGCTGTATAGGGACCAGGAGTAGGGGCTGAAAAGGCATTCAGGAACGGTCCAGCGACGACGAGGGCGTTGCATTCTGTCCGTATAATGATTCCAGCCTATATCAACATCAGCCCAGCACCAAAGAACCGCCTTCATCCACCCAACATACCTCGCAGTCGCTACTGAAAAGAGTGCTGGTACTTGGTTACCTCACTACACTACACATTAAGCTATTAAGGTGAAAACCCCATCTATCATCTATCCATTCCGCCTAGGTATCACAAAAGTCAACAAATCACTTGCCCTTGACATATTCCACTAAAACATTAACTAGCATCGTCCGATCCTCCCCCGCATCGAAAACTTCCGCATGATCATACCCCTCAAACCAAAGGACATCAACACCTTTGCCTTTCCAAGGCATATAGCGTCGTAGCGGAGTATCGTGCAACTGCATTTCCATCTGACCATTCCCATTCTCCACCACGACGGGATTCGGAATCTCTTTCTCCGTAAGATAAGCTTTTACAGCCTTCGCATTCACGATCAAATCCTCCGAAGCCAGGGACGCCGTGAGACGCATGCCATGATTGACGACCAAATGTTCGATTTGATCTCTCCATAAAATGTTCTCGCTCCAGAAGAAGTGACGGCCGATGGTGTGTGCGATCTGAGGGTCTTTGGATGCGAAGTACCATAGCATCCATTCGTTGGCGCGCACCGGGTGGCGGATGGTGAAGTTGTAGGCTACGTCGGGCATGTGGAGGAGCATGGAGATTGGGTCGGCGAGGAGACAGCCGGAGATGCGGCGGGATAGAGTTGTGTCGTTGAGCATGTGCGTGGCTAAGATGGTGCCGTAGGAATGTGCTGCGAGAACGAAGCGGCCAGGCCCGAAGTGGTGGTCGAGGATCGTCGTCAGCTCGGATAAGAACTGCTTGCGAGTTGGGATGGCAGTAGTCAGTCGTGAGGAGATCTGGAGTATCTCAGGCGCAATGATGCCAACATGATCGTCTTCTGGCCGACCATCATTGAGAGCGTGATCCAAATCCGACAGAAATCGTATAGAAGGCAAGATACCGATCCCAATCCCATGAATGTAGAGAATCGGAAGCCGCGTCTTTGATGTATGCTTGCGATGGAAATAGCTGTAATTGGGAGCACAAGAAGCGTGGCGCGTGAAGAATGCCGCCGGTCGTGGAGGGAAGACAGCCAGCGTGCCGAGGACACTTCTTCTATAAAACTCGAATCCCTTCGCCGTGAGCAAGATCAAGGCTATAGTATCCACGAGACCCATAAGTCCATACCAAAACAAAGACCTCGCCTCTATAATGATGGGATCAAGAGTCAATCTCAAACTCTGCATCTTGCCCTTCCCTTCTTGAAACGGCTCAGGCATCATGATCTCGATTTTCCGAATATACTCTTCAATCTCCCTCTTATCCCTATTCTTCTCTCCCTGCCCCGCTCTTCCCTCCCAAAACGCCCAATCCACAAATCTCTTCAACTCCTCGCGCCCAATTTCTTTCGGATCCGCCCCTCGGAACCAGCCCGAGAGGAAACTCCCCGGATCCAAAATCTCGCTGCGCACTTTATTGAAAAGCGCCAATCTCTCATCTTGCGTGCGCATAAGCGGATGGATTGCTTCGCGCTGAATGTAATGCTGGTAGAAGACGAAGAACAAGTAAAACGCGGCTTCCGGAGCGCAGAAGTACCAGAGAAGTTTGTTGTAGAGAAAGCATTCGTATCCAAGACCGAGAAGAGGATAGCGTTGTGCGAGATGGCTCCAGACTGCGTAGCCGACGCAGAAAGGCGCGTAGGACTGTAGCGCGAAAATCACGCTTCGAATCGCGGCTCGGTTAGGTGGAGAATCTTTTAACATGTTGACCGTGCAATGAGAACTGGCTGGCCGTGACGCGGGCGCAGCGTGCGCGCGATGTATTTGAGAGAAACAGGAAGATCATGGTGAAGAAGGAGCGTCATCACTGAATGACAGTGCAGGAGTCAAGTTTGATTGCGAGGAAAGCCTGGTGTCGCAGTGAGGCCCCTGCTGCCAGCCAATCTGCCGCCCGTAGGGAGGCCTATACGTACCAGAGGCTCAATGCAGCACTTCTTACCGCAGCGATGCAGTATAATCTTTGCCCCTATAAATTGTTTTTGATGTATCTTTTTATCTAGAGAACTTATAGCTAAACAATATATAGCAAAGATACTCTAATTTAGGTCTATTTTTAGAAAATATTAAAATTTTTAGTCGCTTCCTCCTAAATTAATAAGCTATATAGATTAAAACTCTAAGTTAGACATTTTAGAATTTTAATGTTTTTTAAGCCTTAGTATACTGTTTTTAGTAATCCAAGATCTAGGTCTTATAGTTTTGTTTAAAAAGAATCTAGTTCTAGATTTTTATTCTAGTATAGCTACTATTAGTAATATAATCTAGAAAAGAATATTATTAGAACCTAAATTCTTACTAGGTTCTCTTTAGTATATCTTTTTATATAGAAGAGTTATACTTTAATAATATAAAATAAAGATACTCTATTTTTTATCTATTTTTAGGAGTTAAGTAAAACTATTATAGTTATCTACTAAGATTAGCCTAAAAATGTTATAGGCAAGCCCTTTACGAGCTAGCGAATATATAAAAGCCGGCTCGGCCCGTACCGAGCCTTAGCACCTATAGAGCCCTATTTAAATACTTAGTCCCTACGACCTCTTAGCTAGTTGTTCGCGACTTCGTAGTTACCTTAAATATAAGGTCTCCGTTACATTTCGCGAACCTTATACTTATAGGACACTACTATATTAGTATCGCGTAATCCGCTTATTCGAAACCCGCATCCGATACTTGTATTCGAAACCGCTACTACGTAGCGCTATAGGAGACAGCCTCGCATATTCGCATCCGTATTCGTACTCGCTCGAATATAGTCTATAAGAGGTAGACGCGCTCTCCTCGAGATCCGCCCTACCCTAAGTACCCTTAGCCGACCGCGCTATTCTATATAAGATAGATACGCGTCTACCGACTCGAGATATCGCAATTATATCTCTCGTAGCAAACAAAAGAATAAGTATATATAATAGTAAGTATTAATATCTTTCGTACTAACTCTCTCCGCTATAGCGCGCCCTAAGCGACTACGTTATCGGCGTACTACGCGGGAATCCGTACTCTTTATACGACCCGACGATAAGACTTAAGTAGCCGCTATCCCCGGCGAGTTTCCCTCTAACTAGTACTCCGAGTAAGAAAAGGAGATCCTCGAGAAGTTACTAGAAGGCCCTAAGTAGGAGTATAGAGATCGCTAAGATACGACTTATCTAGAACTTCTAGCCCTAACCTTCAATTTCTCCGAACTAATCTACGATGCCTATATTCGCAAAGATAATATAACTAGGTAGTATAAGGTAGCTATCGATTATAAAGGAACGGAAGCCGAGGCCCTAACGACTATTACTATTTCCCTAAAATCTCTCTAGAAGCTAATATCCGAACAATTCGCCTCTATAGTATTATAAGATAACGATTCGATCTATATACTACTACGATAACTTGAATTAGACTATCGTAAGACGATTTATTAGTACTTAGTCTTGTTTAAAGCAAATAAGCTTAATAAAAAGAAGTACGAAGAGTCGAATAGTAAACTAAAGCATATTGCTAAAGTATCCGAGACTCTATAGAGAGAGATAGACTCTTATAAGAAGACACTCTCTAGTAATCCGGTCGTAGCCAATATCGAGAAGTATAAGATATATACGAAGGAATACCGGCTATAGGCTAAGAAGGCGGAGGCTATAGAGAAGGAAGCTTAGCGGAAGCTTATCGACGCTAAGGGTAATATAGCCTATCTTTAAATCGTACTCGATATAGTATCCGACCCCGATACTCCGACCGTATAAGATATAGCTAATCTATATACTAAGATCCGCTAACTCGAGAGTAACCTCGTAGATACTTAGCGTAGTCGCCCTACTTCTCGTACTAGTTCTCCTAATAATCGCCGATTATCTCTCTCTCGATCTCTATCGCGTAGGCGCCGCGGCAGCCTACTACCTCTGCCGCCTAGAGATAGCAATAATAGTAATAATGCTAGCTAAGGCAATAAGCCGTTACCCGTTAATCTTACCGGTAGAGATAATAATCTACCCTCCTCCTCCGACGATAACTCCTTAAATAACGAGGACGATAAGGATAAGAAGAAGCCTAAGAAGTCTAAGAAGTCTAAGAAGAATAAGAAGATTAAGAAGTCGAAATTAGCTAAGGGCTCTAATAGCGATAGTAGCTTAGACGAGGAAGATACTATCGACCCTATTAAATACAACCCTATATTATATAATAAGTTTAAGACTTCTTATAATATCGATAAGCCTCCTAAGTTTAAGGGAGATCGAGATACTAAGGGACAGATTATCGGTATCGATCTAGATACTTAGTATTCGTCTCTCGGTATAAAGCTAGGTATTACTCGCTTCTAAGATGTCTCGTCGGTATTGCGATATATCTATAGTTATACCGACTCCGACGAACTCGCTTATAAGATATTAAAGCCGTACGTGCCTATAGTTCTACTACGTAAAGACCTAACGGCGTCTTCGAAGCCCTTTAAATTAGTGCGCGCTATGTTTAACTTTATAAATAAGCACTTTACTAAATACGATCGTATCGAGAAGGTATAAAATTCGATAGATATACTAAAGCAAGGCGATACTAAGAACTTTAGCTCTTTCTACGCGAAGTATTAGCAGTATACCGCTCGCATCCCCTCTTTAGAAGACGCTTATAGCAAGAAGCTAGCTATGCGTCGTCTCGAGAAGAAGCTTAACTTTAAATACCGTAACCGCCTCGTAATAGAGATATATTACTCTAAGAACGAACTAGCTAAGTTATACTAGGATATTAAGCATAAGCTTAAGCGCTTAGAGATTAACTTTCTATATAAGCCTCTAGCCGACGATGCTAAAAAGGCTACCGATACTATAAAGAAGGCTACCGAAGCGGCGAAGAAGAACGCTATAACTACGTCTATACCCCCTACTAGCACTACTCTACCGCTAGGAACCGCCGCGGCTATATATGCGGCTATCGCTTCTACTATCTTAGCTAAGGCTCCGTATAGTCGATTACTAAATACTAGCAAGCCGCTACGCCTATAGAATAAGCGTCTAGATAAGTTTAAGAATCTAGAGCCTATAACTGCCGAGATACGTACCTAACTAGTAACCTCTAGTACGTGTATTCGTTGCCGCCGCCTAGGACACTCTACTAGAGAAGCCGTATACCCGCTCGACGAGTACGAGCGACTATCTACGCGCCGATTAGGTACTCCTAGTAACGGCTAGAGAAACGCTTAGACTATTACTTAAGCGTAACAAGTAATAGTCCGATATAGGATATATTAACTCTAACCTCTCTATATAAACTAAAAGCTCTCTTATTAAAGGCGTCTATAGAAGAAGAATCTAATAAATTGCCTCCTATCTCCTATTACTTTATAGTTAACGGCAAAATCGGATAGAAGATAGTAGAAGTATAAGACGTAGAACTGTTTCTAGACGATAGAGCTAATATAGAATACATCCGTAAATCCTATATATGCAAACACAATCTTAGAACCTCTACTATCTAGCCGATCGCCCTTAGACTCGCAGATAGCAGCTACGCGCAGAAGCTTATTAGCGAGGTATACACTATTAATACGAACATTAGCGGACATACCGAGTAGGTACGATGCTTTATTACGGACGATCTCGAATATAATATAGTATTAGGGTTTAGCTAGCACGCTAAATACTAACCTAAGAAAGACTAGCGTAACTAAGTACTTACGTTTAACGATCCTATCTATAAGGATTATTTATAGCACCCTAAGGTTATCTTAGTTCCTATAATCTCCTAACCTAAAGCGATACGGACTTCTCGATATTAGGACTTCCTATCTAGGCCGGACATCTTAGGACAAGAGCCTCCTTCGCCCGTAAAGGTATCCGTAGAACAGATCGGTAAGCGTATCCGATAGATCGACCTTGTAACTCTAAAGAAATTAAGCCTTAAAGAAGGCACTAAGATTTATACGATATAAATCAACCCTAACGAGATATACGTAGCGAAGTCCGCTATAGATCCGGTAACTGTATACGCCCTATTAGCTTACGCTATAACGGTACGGCCTGTCTACTCTAGAAATGCAGCCTTCGCCTACGCTATATACATTTTAATCGCCGAACAAGGTGCTATTTAATTAAACAATTGCGCTATATCGGTCTCTAACTACGAGAAGTTTATAGCTAAAACTAAGGCCGAATAGGACAATATAGAGGAAGTATTACGCAAACTTCCTAAGAGATATTATTACCTAGCCTAGCTCTTTGTTTATAGGGAGGCGTCTAAACTACCTCCTTACCGACCTAGTATAGACTACGAGATTATTACGAAAGGTAATCCTCCGTACAAGCGCCCGTACCCTATATTAGCCTTAGAAAACGAAGTTATTAAGAAGTAGCTCGATAACTAGCTCGAGAAAGGCAATATATAGCGTAGTAACTTACCCGCCGCTTCGCCTATTATAATCGTTAAAAAGCTAGGTAGGGGACTGCGCGTATATATCGATTATCGAGCGCTTAACGAGCTCACTATTAAAAGCAGATATCCTATCCCTCTAATTTAAGATATCCTTAACCGAATTAGCGGCAAGAAGTTCTTTACTAAGTTAGATATTATTGCCGCCTTTAACCGCATCCGTATTACCGCTAGGCACGAGTAGAAGACGGCCTTTACTACGAGGTACGGGCAATTCGAATGTCTAGTAATGCCTTTCGGTCTTTATAATGCACTAGGGACCTTCTAATCCTATATTAATAATGCTTTCCGAGACTTCTTTAATAATTTCGTATCGGCCTATCTCGACGATACTCTAGTCTTCTCCGACGATAAGGAAGCTTATTATTAGTATATCGAAAAGGTTATAAAGAAGCTATTAGATGCTAGCTTATAACTTAACATCGACAAATGCGAGTTTTACGTTTAAGAGACGAAGTATCTAGGCCTAATTATTAGTAAAGATAGTATACGTATAGACCTAGAGAAAGTAGCCGCAATCTAGGAATAGGAGACACCGAAGAATGTAAAAGACGTGCTTTTATTCTTAGGATTTGCTAACTTCTACCGACGTTTTATCCGCAACTTCTCTTATATAGCCCTACTAATAACGCAGCTTACTCGTACTAAGGACGCTCCGCGCTAGGAATAGACGCTACAATGTTAGGTTGCCTTTAACATACTAAAGAAAGCTTTTACGGAGGCCCTAGTGCTAGCCTATTTCTAGCTAGGCTTAGAGACAGTGCTAGAGACTAACGCGTCTAACTTTGTAATAGCCGTAGTGCTATTATAACGAGGAACCGATAATGTCCTTCGTCCTATTACGTATCTATCTAAGAAGATAAACCCGCAAGAGTACAACTACGATATCTATAATAAGGAACTTATAGCAATCGTAAAAGCTTTCGAGGAATAGAGACTAGAGCTAATAGCGTACGAGTTTACGGATAGCGTAGAGTTTAAGAACCTCTACGATACTAAAGGAAAGCCTATTCTCGTACTATTAGATTACAAGAACCTAGAATACTTTATAACTAGTAAATAGCTTAACCGACGACAAGCGCGTTAGGCTAAGTTCTTATTATAGTTCTTCTTTAAGGTCGTCTATCGACTAGGTACCTAAGGTACTAAGCTAGACGCTTTAACTCGCCGCCCGTAGGATAAGCTATAGGACGACTCTAACCCTCGGCTAGCTTAGCAAATTCGTACGATCTTAATACCTAACTGACTAGTCGTAGCTGCAATTACTGCTACGCCTAAGTCTTAGCCTTACTAAGATTCGACTCTTCTAAAGGGCATTCGGGAAGCTTACGCAAGTAACGAAGCTAAGGAAATAGTAACGCAGTTATCGGAACGCAAGCTAGTTAGCATCCTCCGTAAGCACCGTATAAATAAGTAAGACGCTATTAAGGTTAGGGGATTAGTATACCTTAAGAACCGCTATAGAGGTTACTATGTGTTTATTCTATCCGGAGATTACGACCTCTATAATATAGTACTACGCGCTTACTACGATGCTCCTAGTGCCGGGTATCTAGGCCGTACTAAGACGTTCGATCTAGTGTCTCGAAGCTTCGTATAGCCCGGTATATCCTAGTTTGTACGTAAATACGTATAACGATGTTATACCTATCGTACTACGAAGCCCGACTAGACTTAATATCTAGGCCTTCTACGCCCTATACCGATATCCTTTAATCTATAGGACGAGATCTTAGTTGACTTTATCGTATAGCTACCGCTATTAGTAGGTTCTTATAACGGCTAGACATACAAGAACATATATACGATTACTATTCGTATAGTAAAAGGAGCTTATCTTCTACCGGTCTTGTCTATAGAAGCCGAGTATATAGCCTATGTTTTCCTAAAGTACTACTACCCGCACTATAGTCTCCCGATAGGCCTAATATCCGATCGCGGCCCTTAATAGGTATCGGCTTTCTAGAGACGATTGTGCTAACTGTTAGGTATTAAGCAACGGCTATCGACAGCCTTCTATCTAGAAACGGACGGCTAATCGGAAAATACTAATAAGGAAGTCGAGAAGTACGTTCGTACGTATATAAACTATACTTAGGACGATTAGGTAGATCTATGTCCTCTCGCTAAGCTAGCTCGCAACAATTACATTTCCGAAAGCATAGGTATATTACCCTTTTATACTAAGAAAGGTCGTTATCCGAGGATTAATCTTAACCTAGACCTTCTAGCGAAGCTCTTACTAACAAAGTAGCGATTAGACGCTGCTTCCGCCGACCGTTTTACTAAGCGAATGTCTAAAGTTTACTTATATCTTCGAGAACAACTAAACCTAGCGCAGATAGTACAAACTAATAATACTAACAAGTACCGAATACCCGTACCTCGATATGCGATCGGCGACAAGGTTTATATTAGTACTGCGAACTAGAAATCGACGCGCCTATCTAAGAAATTCGATATTCGTTAGTTCGGTCTAGTTACTGTAATTAACGATCTAAACGGTGCTTATAAAGTCGACCTGCCTGCGCGTATTCGAGTATACAACTCTTTCTACCCTCGCTACCTTAGACTATACTACGGAGATTATGCTATACGCCCGCTACCTCTTAAAGTTATAGGCGAGGATAATCGACTACAAAATAAATACAAGGTAGAACAGATACTAGACTCTAGAGGAAGTAGAAGGGGATTGAAATATCTAGTTTAATAGAAGGGGTATTTAGATATAGAGGCAACGTAGGAGCCCTCTAAGGTAGTAATTAAGAATGCGTATACATTAGTTGCAGACTTTTACTACGACTACCTAAACAAGTCTAAACTAGCGAACTTCTAGCCGCCGAAGGATTAGATACTATACGAAGCAGTTAAGGCTATTATAACCGAACCTATTAATGTTGTTATCGGTAGCGACGCTGCGACTAGCTTAACTAATACTCGTGTTATACGCTTATCTCGTACGACTATCTAGTCTTCTACGCTCTATAAAGGGGGTCTCGTACCTGCTTAGAGTAAGTATCGTAGTATAGATACTAGGGTTACTACACTCTTAGAAGCGTCTACAAACCTATTAGCACCTTATAGAACAGGCGACGTTGCCTTAGATAAGGATACTACGCGAAAGGCGCGGCTAGTTCTAAAGGAAGGAGACATTAACGCAACGTCGGTGCCTACTAGCGCGTAGAATATTACCGGCGTTATAGATAGCGCAATTTAGAGCCTAATTAGAGTGGCTCGTTTAAAAGAAAATCTGTCGCATAGACGCAACGATTTAAAAGGGGGGGGTAATGTTACGGGCAAGCCTTTTACGAGCTAGTAAACATATAAAAGCCGGCTCGGCCCGTGCCGAGCCTTAGCACCTATAGAGCCCTATTTAAACACTTAGTCCCTACGACCTCTTAGCTAGTTGTTCGCGACTTCGTAGTTACCTTAAATACAAGGTCTCTGTTACAAAAAATCTAAAAGAAAGACTTTTAGATTTTAGTATTTATTAAGCCTTATAACACTATTTTTAGTAATCTAAAAGCTAGAACTAAAGGTTTTACCTAGTTTTAATCTGTATTAAGATTCCTATCTAAATACGCCTACTATTAGTCTTAAAATCCAAAAGCGAATATTTTTAAGAATTATAAGCTTAAGAATATAAAGTTTAGAATTTTAAAAAATATTCTTTCTTAAGTTATAAGACTATTTATAAACTAATAAAAGTAAAAGCTCTAATAGGAAGTTTTACTAGGTAGAACTGTTAGGTTTTGATTTTAGATTACTAAAAATAGTATACTAAGGCTTAAAATATACTAAAATCTTAAAATCTTAATTCTAGAATTTTAGGCTAATCTTAGTAGATAGCTATAATAATTCTAGTCATTTTCTAAGGATATATAGAGAGTAAAGTAATTTTGTCTTATATTACTAAGCTATAACTCTTCTAAATAAAAAGATATATAAGATAGAATCTAAGAACAATTTAAGTTTTTATAGTATTCTTTTCTAGATTATATTTCTAATAGTAGCTATATTAAGATAGAAACCTTAAGATAGAGTCTTATAAAGTAAGGCTATAAGACCTAGACTTTAGATTAATAAAAATAGTATACTAAGGCTTAAAAAACGCTTAAATCCTAAAACGTCTAACTTAGAGTTTTAGGCTATATAGCTTATTAATTTAGTAGGTAACGGCTAAAAATTTTAATTTTTTCTAAAAATAGACCTAGATTAGAGTATCTTTGTCTTACATTGTTTAGCTATAAGTCCTCTAGATAAAAAGATATATTAAAAACAATTTGTAGGGGCAAAAATTGTAGTACAAAGTCTACATTGAGCCTCTAGTATATATAGAGCTCCGTCCGCCCGGCTATTCTACGGTTACGGCTAGTTCGGAGTGAGGTTATACTAAGGGAAAAGAAGGATCCAGTTATCAACGAGATTTCGCACTTGCTTCTTTGATTATTAATCGTTTCTTACTAGGAATCAAGATATACGAGTTACTATTACGCGATATATATACGCGCGAGAAATTGAAACAATAGAGACGTACACTTACCCTTACTCTTAACAGCTCCGAAACAAGGCCCAAAACATTAGAACAACTTTTATTAGAGAGCATACCGTACTTAACTTCACTAGCACTACCTAAAACCCCTTACTAAACCTAGAATAACAATCTACGCCCTTCCCCCTCTTACTCTTCCTCTCCCTCCTCTTCGGAACTCTATAACGCAGTAGAATCTCTAAATAGAGCCTACGCAACTCCTCTCCTCTCCTCTCCCTATATAAGAAGGGTTATATTAGTAGGTAGATAGGGTAGTAGTAAATTAGTATAGTATTCGATAAGGATCTAGGAGGAGAGGGAGGAAGGCAGGAGAGTTAGCCTAACGCTAAGCGCTAAGCCCTGCCTAAGGCATCGAGACCCTAGCTTCACTCGGCCTAGTTATATACTAATTACGTATAGCCTCTTTAGCCCTAATACACGCTTCCCTTCTAAAGGCCGCGCCCTCGTAGCCTGCCTATATTCCAATCCCGACCTCTATTGCCGCTAACTTAGCAAGTCTAATAAGCTGCTTAGCCGCGCTAAATTGAACACTTAACTACCTAATTATATAACTATATTAAACCTTACCTCTAAACAATACAATATACAACTCTAACTGCGCTATCTCTATATATAATGAACTATAAAGTAATATATATCTATAAGAATTAAGGGCCTTCGACTAATTACAATACGAGCGCGTCTTCCCTACTATAATAGGTAGACGTACGAGGTATTGTAGCCCTGCCTCCGTTCTAAGTAATATCGTACCGAGTTCTTTGTATCTACTCTTAAAAGACCTAGCAATGTCCGCTTCCGAGGGTTTGTCCGCTTCCGAGGGTTATTGTTCTTATTGTTACGAGGGCTATTATTTACTATCGTAGTTTTACTAGCCCTAATTAGTTAGGTTTAGTAGCCTTTAAGTGTTAATCTTATCTTATCTTTTCAAAAAACACAGCTCGTCTAGTTTCTATAGATTAAGGCTATTATAAGTGCAGTAGTAGAGGTTCGCCTCGCTTAAAGGGTTAGATAGATCGAGGAGTAACCTATTGTCCGCAAGATCGACCCCGGCTAGCTTAGCTCTATAGTTTTGCCCTTAGTTAGTTAGTCTATTAGTCGCTCAATCTTTTAAGCGGCTTAAAGTTTTAATTAAAGTTTTAATTAAAGGTGCCTTAGGCTCGTAGTATAGGTAAGGTTGTGCCCGTAGGCGCAGTAATAATAGCAAGTAATATTAATAATAGCGGTGCTAGCCGTCTTAGCGCTAACTTTACCTTGCTTCTAATTTCCTTCTTTAACTAATAATAACTCGGCAACACCGTTACTAACATAGCTATGTCCTTCCTTTCTTAAGTAGCAATACACTCCGCAACACTATTACTAATATAGCCGCGCCGGCCGCGCCGTCCTCGCCGATTGCCTAGGCCTCGAGGCCTTAACAGAATAAGGGAACAAGAGGGGGATCTATAGGGCGCGTTAGTAAAGAGGTAGAGTCCTTAAAAGAGCAGGCAATTGGTTAACGCGTCGTAGCGCGCCTAGTATAGTCTTATTGTCCTTTATTGCTAACAATTGCTTACCTCTAATTAGTTAGCTAATAGTACCCCGGGGGTAGCATTATTCTAGGCCTTAATAGTAACATTATAAGCTTTTAGCCTTCTTCTTGTTCTTTACGCTAGTCTAATACTTATCTAATAACTCGGTTATATCCTTAAAGGATCCTTTAGCTTCCTACGAGTCCTATTTAGGTAAATAGCCTTGCTACCTTAGGAGGTATTCCTTCTTGCCTTTCCTAGTCCGGTGCTATAGGATGCGTTCTATAGACTATAGTTCTTTACTATTAGCTAAGACTTCTTCTAACTTAGTAGGCGCTTTATCGCCTTCGCGTTAATAGTATAGCTTAAGGAGGGATATATAGAAGGTGTTATAGATAGTATAATAGGGTAGAAGCTATAACTAGTAGGCCTGTATACCCTTCGGTTCTCGAATACGGAATAGGCTAATGTATCTTAGTACGAGCTTAGGCCTTGTTTTGCTATCGGGTAATAGGTGTTTGCGGATACGGAGGTTCTTTGTACTAAGTATAACTATATCGCCTTGCTTAAAGGTTATTAGAAGGTAGTGTTTGTTATAGTAGGTCTTTTAGTACTCTTAAGCCTTTATCAACTTCTCGGCTATCTTAGTATAGATTTCTCGCATCTTCTAAACCCTCTTAATAGCCGCTAGTATCTTAGGTTAACCCGCTTCCCTTTCCTTATACTCGGCCTCGAGCGATAGGGGGTCTTATAGCAGCGTAGGGTTGCTTCCTATTATAGCGAAATAAGGTGACACCTTAGTAGATAAGTAGACACTGTTATTATATACGAATTCGGCTAGTTATAGGAGATTGACCCAATCCTTAGGGTTCTCGTTAATATAACTATATAGATACTGCTATAGGGTAGCATTCTGTCTCTCTGTTTAACCGTTAGTCTATAGATAGAAGGCTATTAATAGCCGATGCTTTAGTCTTAGCTATAGGCATATTTCGCTCTAATAGTACGATATAAATATCGAGCCTCTATCGGAGACTATCCCCTTAGGGGTTCCCTAATAGGTATAGAAGATATTAGTCTATAGCGCCTTAGCTAGGTTAATAGCCGTCTAATCCTTTCGGGTAGGAATGTAACGAGCGCCCTTAGTAAACTAGTCTACGATAACTAGGATAGCATTATATATATCCTTGCTTCCCCTACGCTTAGTAGGCGGAAGGCCTATAATGAAATCTATTGTAAGCTTAGTAAATAGCTTCTTTGGAATAGGGAGTAAAGACAACTCGCTAAATAGTAAGTGCTTTAGTGCTTTAACTCGTTAACATACGGCATACGTGTTTACGTAGTCCTTTATATCCCGCTTACTATTTAGCTAGTAGTATATACGCAATAGTAGCTCGTACGACCTCTCTATGCTATAGTAACCGGCAAGCTTATTATTATAGTGTCGCTTAAGAAGTTCTTATTAGATCGAATGTTTAGCGGGGACATAGTATCTGCCCTTAAACTTTAAATAACCTTTGTTATCGATCGACTAATTATTACTCTTACTAAATCGAGTCTTTCGCCTACTTACAAGCTTATCTATACGTTTAGTAGCAAAGGCGTCCCTCTACTAAGCCCGTAATAGCTTATCTATAAACGATTAACTATCCCTATTTATAAGGTTATTTAATAGCACCCTCGCTATTAAACGAGGTACGTATTATATATATCTAATAGTACTAGTAGCCGGATTAACTATAGCAGTGCTATCGCTGTTACTATATATAGCGATATCGACTAGGGAGTTATTATAACTTCTCCTATCTGTATCCTTAATACGCACTATTAATATAGTAAGAGCATTAATATACTTTAAGCCGTCGCGGAGTCCGGTAAGCCGCTTATCCTACGCTTGCTTATTAATAATACGGGCTATAGCAATCTTATACTACAGGGTTAGAAACAATAAATTAATGGATTACTAAGTCCCGCTATCGTAATTAGGTCGCCTCGATAGGCTATTAGTAGGGTTACTTACGCCTAGCCGATATAATATATTAAAATCAAACCTAGCGAGGTAGACGGCCTATCTAGCCTGTCGACCTATAACCCTAGTAACCTTCGTAATTCTACGGAGGTTGTTATAGTCTATATAGACCTATATTGTATATTAAGCCCTATCGAGGTAGTGCCTCTAATACTTAAAAGCCTCGACAATAGCTAGGAGCTCTTGCTCGTAGGTCTCGTAGCGACGTTTAGCATTAATTATCTTCCTTAAGAAGAAGGCAATCGGGTGCTAGTAGGTGTTATTAGCCTGCTGTAACATAATAGCTAATATAGCGAACTGTAAAGCGTTAGTCTCAATTCGGATCTGTTTGCTTAGTACGAAATAGTACAACAAGGGGACTTTAGTGAATCGTTTCTTTAGACCGTTAAAAGCGGCTTATGTCTTATTAGTCTATCTAAACTCTCTAGATAGATTGGCCTTGGTTTTAGTAAGCTTAGTTAATAGCATTATATGCCTCGAATAGCCCTTAATAAATCGGCGATAGAAGTTAGTAAAACCGAGGAACGACTATAGTTCCTTAATTAACGTAGGAATAGGCTATTTAGTAATAGTTTTGATCCGATTAGGATTAGCCTTAATACCCTTAGTTAATACGAGGAAGCTAAGGAAGGACACCTCCTTAGCAGCAAAGGTGCATTTAGAAGGCTTGCAATATAGGCTATAGGCCTATAGGCGGTCGAGGACCTTTCGTACTATAGCCTAGTGTTCTATAATATTAGGTAAGTATATATAAACTAGGATGTTATCTAGGTAAACTATATAGAGGTAATCTAATAGGCCTAATAGGGCCCGATTAATGTAGGACTAGAATATTGTAGGGGCGTTTGCTAGCCCAAATAGCATAACTAGATACTCGAAATGGCTATAGCGGGTACGGAAGGCTGTTTTCTATTTATTACCCTTACGGATACGGATGCGATAGTATGCATCCTTAATGTCTAATATAGTGTAGTAGTAAGTACTAGAAAGGCGATCGAGGGTCTTATTAATAAGAGGAAGTAGACAGCGGTCTTTAATAGTAACAGCGTTAAGCCTACGATAATTAATATATAGGCGTAGGCTACTATCCTTCTTTAGTACGAATAGGATAGGGGCGCTAGCAGGGCTGTTACTATACCGAATGCGACTATTAGCTAGGTTTTCCTCTAGGTACTTACGCAATATAGCAAGCTCTCGTTTACTAAGGTTATAGAGAGGGCTAAAAGGGACCTCCTTGCCCTCTATAATATCAATCTTATAATCCGTCTCTTTAAATATAGGTAATGTCGATGCTAAGTAGTGTTTAAATATATTAATGTAGGTTTCTCGAATAGGCTCCGGTATACGAGCAAGCTAATTAGAGTCTATGCTATTAGGGGGTACAGGCTTATCGTTATTGCCTAATAGGTCGACTATTAGGTTAGCTACGGCAGGTATTAGGTTGCCGATAAATAGGACCCTAATATCGTTAGGGCACTCGCTAATATCGATA